ACATGGTGATGTTGCTTAATGACAGTATACATGGTGATGTAATGCTTAATGACAGTGTACATGGTGATAATGGCTTAATGACGGTAGTATACATGGTGATGTGGCTTAATGACAGTGTACATGGTGATGTGGCTTAATGACAGTATACATGGTGATGTGGCTTAATGACAGTATACATGGTGATGTGCTTAATGGTGACAGTAATACATGGTGATGTGGCTTAATGACATGGTGAGTGTACATGGTGATGTGGCTTAATGACAGTATACATGGTGATGTTGCTTAATGACAGTATACATGGTGATGTTGCTTAATGACAGTATACATGGTGATGTGGCTTAATGACAGTGTATATGGTGATGTTGCTTAATGACAGTGTACATGGTGATGTGGCTTAATGACAGTATACATGGTGATGTTGCTTAATGACGAGTGTACATGGTGATGTGGCTTAATGACAGTGTACATGGTGATGTGGCTTAATGACAGTATACATGGTGATGTGGCTTAATGACAGTATACATGGTGATGTTGCTTAATGACAGTGTACATGGTGATGTGGCTTAATGACAGTATACATGGTGATGTGGCTTAATGACAGTGTACATGGTGATGTGGCTTAATGACAGTATACATGGTGATGTTGCTTAATGACAGTGTACATGGTGATGTGGCTTAATGACAGTATACATGGTGATGTGGCTTAATGACAGTATACATGGTGATGTTGCTTAATGACAGTGTACATGGTGATGTGGCTTAATGACAGTATACATGGTGATGTGGCTTAATGACAGTGTACATGGTGATGTGGCTTAATGACAGTGCACATGGTGATGTGGCTTAATGACAGTATACATGGTGATGTTGCTTAATGACAGTATGCATGGTGATGTGGCTTAATGACAGTATACATGGTGATGTGGCTTAATGACAGTGTACATGGTGATGTGGCTTAATGACAGTATACATGGTGATGTTGCTTAATGACAGTGTACATGGTGATGTGGCTTAATGACAGTGTACATGGTGATGTGGCTTAATGACAGTATACATGGTGATGTTGCTTAATGACAGTGTACATGGTGATGTGGCTTAATGACAGTATACATGGTGATGTGGCTTAATGACAGTATACATGGTGATGTTGCTTAATGACAGTGTATATGGTGATGTGGCTTAATGACAGTATACATGGTGATGTTGCTTAATGACAGTATACATGGTGATGTTGCTTAATGACAGTGTACATGGTGATGTGGCTTAATGACAGTATACATGGTGATGTTGCTTAATGACAGTATACATGGTGATGTTGCTTAATGACAGTATACATGGTGATGTTGCTTAATGACAGTATACATGGTGATGTTGCTTAATGACAGTATACATGGTGATGTTGCTTAATGACAGTATACATGGTGATGTTGCTTAATGACAGTATACATGGTGATGTTGCTTAATGACAGTGTACATGGTGATGTGGCTTAATGACAGTATACATGGTGATGTTGCTTAATGACAGTATACATGGTGATGTTGTAATAATGACAGTATACATGGTGATGTGGCTTAATGACAGTATACATGGTGATGTGGCTTAATGACAGTATACATGGTGATGTTGCTTAATGACAGTATACATGGTGATGTTGCTTAATGACAGTATACATGGTGATGTTGCTTAATGACAGTATACATGGTGATGTTGCTTAATGACAGTATACATGGTGATGTTGCTTAATGACAGTATACATGGTGATGTTGCTTAATGACAGTGTACATGGTGATGTTGCTTAATGACTTAATGGTGACAGTATACATGGTGATGTTGCTTAATGACGGTATACATGGTGATGTTGCTTAATGACAGTATACATGGTGATGTTGCTTAATGACAGTATACATGGTGATGTTGCTTAATGACAGTGTACATGGTGATGTACATGTGATTAACGACAGCATACATGGTGATGTGGCTTAATGACAGTATACATGGTGATGTTGCTTAATGACAGTATACATGGTGATGTGGCTTAATGACAGTATACATGGTGATGTTGCTTAATGACAGTATACATGGTGATGTGGCTTAATGACAGTGTATATGGTGATGTGGCTTAATGACAGTGTATATGGTGATGTGGCTTAATGACAGTGTACATGGTGATGTGGCTTAATGACAGTGTACATGGTGATGTGGCTTAATGACAGTATACATGGTGATGTGGCTTAATGACAGTATACATGGTGATGTGGCTTAATGACAGTATACATGGTGATGTGGCTTAATGACAGTGTACATGGTGATGTGGCTTAATGACAGTGTACATGGTGATGTGGCTTAATGACAGTGTACATGGTGATGTGGCTTAATGACAGTGTACATGGTGATGTTGCTGACAGTGTACATGGTGATGTGGCTTAATGACAGTATACATGGTGATGTGGCTTAATGACAGTGTACATGGTGATGTGGCTTAATGACAGTGTACATGGTGATGTGGCTTAATGTGTACATGGTGGTGTACATGGTGATGGCTTAATGACAGTGTACATGGTGATGTGGCTTAATGACAGTGTACATGGTGATGTGGCTTAATGACAGTGTACATGGTGATGTGGCTTAATGACAGTATACATGGTGATGTGGCTTAATGACAGTGTACATGGTGATGTGGCTTAATGACAGTGTACATGGTGATGTGGCTTAATGACAGTATACATGGTGATGTGGCTTAATGATAGTGTACATGGTGATGTGGATTAATGACAGTGTACATGGTGATGTGCCTTAATGATAGTGTACACGGTGATGTGGCTTAATGGCAGTGTACATAGTGATGTGGCTTAATGACAGTGCACATGGTGATGTGGCTTAATGATAGTGCACATGGTGATGTGGCTTAATGACAGTATACATGTTGATGTGGCTTAATGACAGTATACATGGTCACAGTCACGTATGTAATTATGAACTGCATAATCAACACTAACAGTTGATAATTCCTTATTACACAACAACACAAGCTGCCATCTTGTTCAATCAGGCAAAGGCTGGACATCTGCTGTAAACTGTGGACTATTGTCGGCGCCCCAAGCTCAGCTCTGATCAGCTGTAGCATGCCAGGTTGAGGATTTATGCCGAGGTTGTGTTGTAATGTTGTGTAATGGTGATAAAGCAAACTCCACACACTGCGTCGTTGTGTCCTGCTTGGTGGCAGAGTTTCTAGCGATGATCAGGGATACTCTACTCTTATAGAGTCTCCTGCTATGATATACTGCTATCATAATGGCATTGCGTATTCATAACGATACGGATTTTTGCGCCTAACTATATATCGCGGAGGGTTTTAAACTGCTTCTTAAGGACAGGCATACAGGCTCTGAACTTAAAACTACAAACGCACACACATTATGAATCGATCCTAACATCATCGAAAGGAAAATGTAAAAGCTGGTGGGTACAATGTTTCATAACGACTTCGTTATGTGTGTCACTGCGATGCTGTTTTGACTACATCTAGGTGATTACGTCAGCTCTCGACTCACGTTCGCGAACACACCTTTCTTTGTCCGACCGACAGGAAAAAGAGCTTGTCAGGTGACTTGTTGGCACGATGCCAAAACAGAGTTCAACCTGTTTCGGCCGCGCATAAAGACCTAGATTTATATATATACTAACCGTCACGTACAGAGTTTATTCAAATCTTACAGTTTGAAATTTGTAAATTTAAATCAGTCACATTCTAAGTCTGCATAACGAATTCTTGAACTCGACACACCGGGATTTTGTATGACGGTTATTTGGTTAATGATGCCCGGAAGGGGGCTATAATATATAAATTAGCCCCTTTTGACACATAATTAATTAAATATCCCCGTCGTTTGAAGCTTGGCACGAATGAATACTTCTTATGTAAGTCGAAATAAATGCCATGATGCCATTCTTAAAATGGAAGCGACTTCATTTATTTAGCTAATCCTTTTTATCAATCAACCATCCATTCGTTGATCCCATACAACAACACCGCATTTTAAACGACACATTGTTTCAATTGGTATGACACATCTAAGAAATATACTTTCATTGTTTGACATCGTACCGTACTACGTGAGTGAACATCGTTCTTCTACACGCAGCTTTTTACACGTGTCACACAAATACATGGATGAGTTCAGTTAAATCAGAGACCATATCGGTATATGGTCTCTGGTTTATTCATAAGATCACTTGTCATAATGGTGACTTTCAATAAATTATATAATTCACATCATTATCTACCATGCTAAGAACCCCGTCAACATTGAATGCAGTATATATATACGTCTACATAATTGCTTCTCTGCATGAAATATTCAGCGATTACGCGTCAACCTTGATCAAGTAACACACTTGCCTCTCGGCATGAAATATTAAATGCGTGCCCCGTGAGCTTTGATCACGTGATACTCTCAACTGCTGTGGTCGAAATAGGAATCTGAGCAAACCGTATTTACCACTCAAATGATACTCGCACAAAAGCGATGTATGTACACGGGGTGTAGCTATTTCTTCATAAAGTGTACACTATTACGTGTTACAGACATGTAAGCATTGATGGTAATAAAGTAACACATGACAATAATCATGGTTCTATAGTCTTATATCAACAGAACGGGATCTTGAATTCACGGTGTGTCAACAGGTTTAATGTGGGAAAAGGTTTGCATGGTTTGGCCATTGACAAACATTCCGCTGGCGTCTCAGGGTGCTACGTATATTTATTATGCTACGGAACCATGTTTTATGGATACAAATATGGCTGTCGAATGGCTTCTCTAATCCATTAAAACGCACATACCGCTATGGGGCTAAGGTATAATGTGACACGAGCATAATAATATTCTTACATTATACACGGTATAGCTTGAGCATGCTCAGACGCGCTGTTGATACACAGAACACCGTCGAACTTTCCACGTTGCCCAATCATAGAGCGCACTCATGGTCATGTGACTTGAACAATCTCGCGACTATAAATAAAACCCGCCATTGCAAGAGCGTCATTAACACAGCTGTTCCACACCGAGGAAGAGTCAACGTTACCACCACGTAAGTAATTTGAACGTGTTTAAAAAGCATTGATGTAAGACTTTAGTTGACTTTATCGTAGATGAGATGATTAAGGCGATCGTGAGTTCGATTAGTACCTCTGATCAACGAATGGAAATGAATTAACAAATCTGGGACCATCGTGGTGTTTACATTTAATCAAGAATGATAAGGGAAAACCAACACGAATATGTATCTCAAACTAGACCATCCTTCCCGGGCGCTGCTGTTGCGATGACCATATTTATGTCTACTACTAGGATGTCTTATTACATGATCTGGAACAATGACGTATATACGTGCCTGGAATATATCCGGGAGGTAGTCCGCCATGATGGATTATTGTTACTCGGGAACTGAGACAGGTGTAGGCCAACATTAGGGTCTGTCAATCGTAGTTTATGTAGTCTTGGGAAAGGATTCAATTAACCAGTAATGTTTACATCTTGTCTTCATTACCCTCCTACCAGATGATGTTGGAACTTCACTATGATAGATCTTAATTAATTTGTTCAGCATATTCATGTTGTTTTTTCTTTTCAGAAGATGCAGATCTTTGTGAAAACCCTCACTGGCAAGACCATCACTCTCGAGGTCGAGCCATCTGACACTATTGAGAATGTGAAGGCCAAGATCCAAGACAAGGAAGGTATTCCCCCAGACCAGCAGAGATTGATCTTTGCCGGCAAGCAGCTTGAAGATGGGCGCACACTTTCAGACTACAACATTCAGAAGGAATCCACTCTTCACTTGGTGCTCCGTCTGAGAGGAGGTATGCAGATCTTTGTGAAAACCCTCACTGGCAAGACCATCACTCTCGAGGTCGAGCCATCTGACACTATTGAAAATGTGAAGGCCAAGATCCAAGACAAGGAAGGTATTCCCCCAGACCAGCAGAGATTGATCTTTGCCGGCAAGCAGCTTGAAGATGTAAGGACACTTTCAGACTACAACATTCAGAAGGAATCCACTCTTCACTTGGTGCTCCGCCTGAGAGGAGGTATGCAGATCTTTGTGAAAACCCTCACTGGCAAGACCATCACTCTTGAGGTCGAGCCATCTGACACTATTGAAAATGTGAAGGCCAAGATCCAAGACAAGGAAGGTATTCCCCCAGACCAGCAGAGATTGATCTTTGCCGGCAAGCAGCTTGAAGATGGGCGCACACTTTCAGACTACAACATTCAGAAGGAATCCACTCTTCACTTGGTGCTCCGTCTGAGAGGAGGTATGCAGATCTTTGTGAAAACCCTCACTGGCAAGACCATCACTCTTGAGGTCGAGCCATCTGACACTATTGAGAATGTGAAGGCCAAGATCCAAGACAAGGAAGGTATTCCCCCAGACCAGCAGAGATTGATCTTTGCTGGCAAGCAGCTTGAAGATGGGCGCACACTTTCAGACTACAACATTCAGAAGGAATCCACTCTTCACTTGGTGCTCCGTCTGAGAGGAGGTATGCAGATCTTTGTGAAAACCCTCACTGGCAAGACCATCACTCTTGAGGTCGAGCCATCTGACACTATTGAAAATGTGAAGGCCAAGATCCAAGACAAGGAAGGTATTCCCCCAGACCAGCAGAGATTGATCTTTGCTGGCAAGCAGCTTGAAGATGGGCGACACTTTCAGACTACAACATTCAGAAGGAATCCACTCTTCACTTGGTGCTCCGTCTGAGAGGAGGTATGCAGATCTTTGTGAAAACCCTCACTGGCAAGACCATCACTCTTGAGGTCGAGCCATCTGACACTATTGAGAATGTGAAGGCCAAGATCCAAGACAAGGAAGGTATTCCCCCAGACCAGCAGAGATTGATCTTTGCTGGCAAGCAGCTTGAAGATGAGCACACTTTCAGACTACAACATTCAGAAGGAATCCACTCTTCACTTGGTGCTCCGTCTGAGAGGAGGTATGCAGATCTTTGTGAAAACCCTCACTGGCAAGACCATCACTCTCGAGGTCGAGCCATCTGACACTATTGAAAATGTGAAGGCCAAGATCCAAGACAAGGAAGGTATTCCCCCAGACCAGCAGAGATTGATCTTTGCCGGCAAGCAGCTTGAAGATGGGCACACTTTCAGACTACAACATTCAGAAGGAATCCACTCTTCACTTGGTGCTCCGTCTGAGAGGAGGTATGCAGATCTTTGTGAAAACCCTCACTGGCAAGACCATCACTCTGAGGGTCGAGCCATCTGACACTATTGAAAATGTGAAGGCCAAGATCCAAGACAAGGAAGGTATTCCCCAGACCAGCAGAGATTGATCTTTGCTGGCAAGCAGCTTGAAGATGAAGCACACTTTCAGACTACAACATTCAGAAGGAATCCACTCTTCACTTGGTGCTCCGTCTGAGAGGAGGTATGCAGATCTTTGTGAAAACCCTCACTGGCAAGACCATCACTCTTGAGGTCGAGCCATCTGACACTATTGAGAATGTGAAGGCCAAGATCCAAGACAAGGAAGGTATTCCCCCAGACCAGCAGAGATTGATCTTTGCTGGCAAGCAGCTTGAAGATGGGCGCACACTTTCAGACTACAACATTCAGAAGGAATCCACTCTTCACTTGGTGCTCCGTCTGAGAGGAGGTATGCAGATCTTTGTGAAAACCCTCACTGGCAAGACCATCACTCTCGAGGTCGAGCCATCTGACACTATTGAGAATGTGAAGGCCAAGATCCAAGACAAGGAAGGTATTCCCCCAGACCAGCAGAGATTGATCTTTGCTGGCAAGCAGCTTGAAGATGGGCGCACACTTTCAGACTACAACATTCAGAAGGAATCCACTCTTCACTTGGTGCTCCGTCTGAGAGGTGGAAACTAAGCCTGTGCTATGAACAGTAACTTATTGTGATGTGCTAATAAATATTGGATTGATATGTTCTCTGCAATAAATTCACTTGATGATAATTTGTTTTTGTTACCAGTTTGTGGCTGTATGCACCGAGGACAAAGTTCAGCACCAATCCTTCATTTTCTTTTGCATTGTGAGGTATTACACTTAAGTATGCCTGATGAAAGGTTTGCGTGAGAACAGTGTTCCTCCAGGTTTTCTCAACGACTTAACCTATCAACATTTTTTAGACGCAACTGAAAGCATTGCCTGTTATCTTTGGGATGAAATTACTATTTTGGATGCAAACAGAATGTTATATAAGCATCTGTATTTCAAGGAGGTATTAGTGTTAAAGATGCTTGTTTTGTCTGATTTGAACAAGAAAACAATTATGAAGTGTATTTTTCTGGGAATAAAAGTGACAGGGCATGTTTTGAGATTGGGGAAACTAACTTATCCTTACTGCAGGTGGTGAAAGATATAGGGGGATTACGAACATAAACAGGTACTCAACCTGTGGTTGTCTGGGTATTAGAGATTAAACTGTTATGCATTGATCCTGATAAGCTGACTGTTTACTCTCAAATGACCAAACAATTACATTTGATAATTCATATGATATGCAGCTGCATCATTGGATGATCAGTTTCATGTTAGAGGCATGTTTTCACATCATTCCCACTCAGGCCTCCAATGGCTGCTTAGAGTTAACAAAATGTATTCACAACATTGTAAACATGCACATAACATTATGATCATATGCAACGGCCTGGAAATTTGTTTTAAAAAGCAAGCACAGGGTTTCATAGAAATGATGAAAGATGAAACCAAGTCCCAGTTCCTTCAAAGATAAGGGTACCCAATTATGTTGACAGGTTGCAAGAAAATTGCCCTTAAAATTCAGTTAGTTTATGAGGACAACTTGGAAGCTTGTTCCAGAATGAATTTTGTAATACGAGATTCTGAGAGACCTGCACAGAAGGCCATTGTTGATGATTGCAGTTGGTCTTATCTGAGAATTTAAAAGAAAAATTCAATCAACTTACGAGGGACAATCCGTATGTATGAAAAAGTACCTTACGGTGGGATGTGAACAGATTGGGCTGTAGGAACATAATCCATGGTATATGCATTTGATCTAAAATGCTGAAGTTAATGTTTTCCCAATTACAGCACAGACCTTCCTTTTTGTATTACTGCAAAGTTGATCTCTGTATTCTAATACCTTGAAGTGTGCTCAGAAAGAAATGTTTATATAAAACATACAATCAATGAGTTGAAAATGGTGATAATTATTGAATACCATAAATATACTCATAGAAACGAATATGGGGAACACATGAAAGTACAAGTGTTCCTTTATTTATTTCCAGAAAAGAAACATGGAAAAGAAAACCGACAATACCGAACTTTTAGAATCTTTTTATGAATAATATTTAATGTTTAATTGAATACTAATGTAATTCTCATTAACCGGCTCACACTGATGTTTGGCATATAATTGGTCAGGGCATATGCTAATTTGAACCATGATAACAATAGGAGAATTCAATTTAAACTGTTAAAAGTAAAAAGACTGAAGGAAATCTTCCCCATGCAACACTATTGCTGATGCTGTGAAAGAGATTCCAGTTCTGGCACTGCTTGTGAAGTTGGAAGGTGTTTTGTTAGTTTGTTTGTTCTTTAACACCATACTCAGCAATTGTCCAGCCATGTGGCAGCTGTCTGTAAGTAATCAAGTCTGGACCAGACAATCCAGTTATCAATGACATGAGTGCTGATCTACACAATTGTGATACAATGACATGAATCGGTCAAATCAGTGAGCCTGACCATCTGATCCCATTACCCACCTCTCAGGACAAGCATGGGTTGCTGAAGGCCTCTTCTAAGCTGGATCTGTGACCTGGATAAATGTGTTTAGTCACACCCTGACAGGTGATTCCATCATTCATGCCATCAACCACTGGGTTGCCAAAATGAAAACACATCAAGCAATCGTGTTTGACATAATAGTCATGAAAGATGACCAATTGTAATCATATGTCAAGACAGTCCAGGGTTGTTTGGTGTTGTTTAATAGCCAGTCAGGATCCACATCAAACTCACACTTTCATCTCTGTTAACTTGTTCTTCAATCGAACTGTTGAACTTGTTGGAAATGCAAATAACCACACATTTTGCCATAGCAAGTGCATCAAGTCAGAAGACACACAGATGTTTGTGGACAAACTGAACATTAAAGATTTATATTGATAATGGTACAAAAGACATTTCCTAACGCTTGGATTTGCACGTCGGTACATTATACCGACGACCAGAGAATAAAAGTTCATAAAATTCAGGCGCTATAAAAGTACTCTTATTATTGTTATCATTATAAAACATGAGAGGGATCAGTCATAATTTCGAAGCTAAGTTTAGAGCCTTTCCCCCATGAAGTTCATCTGTTCTCTTAAAGATACGATAGTAATTTTCTCTCTTTGTTTTATAAAGTTTTTTAGTCGGTTTTTATTACTGAGTGAATAGGAGGATGGGTTATACACACGTTTTATAGAAAAGTATAATTGACAATATATATAATTTCTCTCAAAAAAACAATTCCGTGTCAGTCTCACCTTCATTTCCCCAGGAAATTCCGATCTTTTCACATAGGTTCAACTTTTTGGGGAGCTTCCTGGGGAAATGAAGGCTGAGACTGACACGTAATCGTTATTTTTAGAGAAATTATAGTTATTGTCAATTATAGTTCCAAGATACTTACACAATTATTAGTATACAAAGTGAAAAGTATTGGAGACAATACACATCCTGTGGAGCACCGGTATTAATAGATACAGTCTGAGAACGAGTACTTTTCAGTTTGACATATTGGGATCAGTTAGATAGTAATAATGAGGCTATCCAATTAACTAGAGAGGGACATATCTAAATCAATCAGTTTCCTTATCAAAAGATGAGGCTGAATGATGTTAAAGGCTGACTAGAAGTCTACAAACATAATTGATGACTTATATTGTGCTTAATGTGGAGAAGTGAACTTTTTTGGACGGGTGGACGCTCTAACCATCAGGCTTAACTGCCATCCTGGAACACATGTATAGTGGACATAACATGTAACAAATAAAACTATGTTACATAGACGTATCCAGGAATTTCCAAAGGGGGTGGGGTGGGGATCAAACCGCCAAAGTAAAACATAAACTTCAATGTGTTTTTTAGTTATTTCGGGGGAAGGGGGAGGAGAGATTTGGTGGTTCCCCCTTAACACCAACACACACACATTCTCTCTCTCGCTCTCTCCCCCACCCATTGAATCCCCCCCAATGATATTTATCTGAACGAAAACCAAGTTTTATGGAGTGATGCTTCATGAGGGTGTTAGTATCTACACCGAAACGTGGCATTCATTGCAATAAAGAAGTTGACTCTCCATAGAACTTGGTTTTCCTTCATTTTACAACTTGTAAAATGACTCTCAAAAAGTTAATTTATCTGGATGATCGAGTGAGTACAGAACCCCGTTTGAACATCTTCTTATCGCTATGGTTTAACGAAATATATATTTTAGCCAATGACATATCAGCAAATCATTGTGTGCGTGTGAGGATTCGTGACTTCCGTTTCCGTAACAAGGCGGGCTTTCTCTTCTCACGCCGGGTTTCAAGCTTGATAAATAAGACGTAATAATGTCTCGACGACGAAGAGCATCCTACAGCGATGACGAAGATGATGGTGCGTTGATAATGCAAGCCATATGATATAGCTTTATTGTATTTAGTTCCTAAAAGAAAAGTAATGAAATATTGCCTTTTCAGACCATCCAATCTCGTGTTCTGCAGATTGTAGTTGACTGAGATAAATGCTACAAATGTAGATTCAAAAGGGCACACCTCATTCAAGGGACATTTGCCTCTCATTCGCCTGTTTAGTAAGAAGCTGGTCATTTTGTAAAACGTTTATCGTTTGCAAGTTTCAATTGTGTGTCCGTGAACAGCGACCTTTGTTTCTTTTCTAACTATTGTTATATTTTCATAATTTCATAGGCTACTGTGTGTAATGTCAGGAATAATGTATCCTGTTGGTAGACATGCAGCGCACCAGTAATACACAATTAGTAAATTGCTATTCTGACGAGTCAGTATGAACAAATGATTTACTTGTTTATTGCTGCAATTCCAATGTTTACTCTGCAACCTACTGGTTACCTGTCAGACATATCCCGGTGTCAGGGGTTTTCGACGATGTAAGACAAAAACGTAGTTTTTATCTGTAATATCATTTAAAGTTTTTATTTTACTAACCTCAAGTGATAAAGGATATATTCATCTATTTCACACAAAAATATGAAGTGTTTCCTACAAAAATATGATATGTTTCCTACAAAAATAGCGTTGATGACATCGCATCGGCAAAACAGTGGCCGCTCGTAACATCCGGGTATTTTGTATGGGTTTTCGACGATGAGCCATACTTTTTGCTCCGCACTGCAAGGGAGTGTTGTGATCACGTGGCTTCCTATTTATATATTGCCTGTCACCAGCGACGACTGATCTTACTGAATTTTTGCTTGCTATGTTTTGTTATAAAGGCAACTGATTTTGCATCTGAAGTGGTATTAACTATCTCGGGTAAATAATATTGATGTTTGTTTGCTTTTTATATAACTTTACTTTACGATTTCCATTGTCAATAAAACTTTTCACGACAGTGACTGGGCACCCGCCCTACCAGTGAAACTCTTTGTGCACTCCGATCGCACACGTACTCATCCGATATAGTGTGAGCAATGCAATCGTCGAAATCACCAGAACATCGAATTCAGCTCGTGTTGGGATATTTGTTGATGTTTTAAATATTGCAATGTGTGACATAAGTCTAGACTGAAAGATGAAATCTTAAAGATACAAAATTCTACATTCATGGAGCCAAACATTGCCTGTATTAATGGAATATGGCCTTTTTTCTGAATAAACTGTGTAGTCTCTCTGTCGGTAAAAATTGTAGAAAGATGTGTGTGTTATTATTTGTATGGGTTAGAATAATTCAGCATTAAATTAGATATAGTTGTTCATTTCATTGGCAATTTAAATAAAAGTATGACAACTATTGATATAAATGAACAGTATTCGATGTACAGCATAATAAATGGCAATGACAACTTGAATGCTTAGTCATATCAGAAGCTGCTTTTTATCAATAGTGTAACATGTACAATTTAGGGTATTTTGTGCCAGAAAATGCTTAATTGTAAATATATGAACAACATCTGTTATGCGAATCCTGTTGATATATGATTAATACAGGTGGAATGATAATGGCAATCAAAGAAACTGAAAACCATTACTGAGATAAGGAATTCAATATTGGTTGAATGCATTGTGTAAATTATCCACATTTTCAACATGTTTTGCTTTTGTGATATTTAGCAATTCAGAAATATTTGTTGTCCCTGAACATATAATTGGACAGTTAACATAGTTTTATGTTTGTCAGTTTTATTGGAAAGCATTGCCTTGAATTATTTACAATTCGAAAAATAGATCATTTATGCATTTTATAATGTGCCTATCCTAAGTATTAGTAATATGTATCCAGTGAGTACGCAGATTGTCCATTCTGATATTTTTCCACATTAACATGTAAATTTAAGTTGAATACAAATATTGTGGAATAGCAAGAAGCCTTTCAACTTTGATTGTCTTGTCAGGTCCGTCACGGAAAAGGAGACGTCAGTCAGATGTTGTGGACATTGAGGACCGTCTGGAATCTCTTATCACAAGAGTTGGAGAAAAGGTATTTGTTGTCTTGTGCAGACTTTGATAAGAGGCTATTTGGTAACCATGGTAATGTTTTGCTGAACATATATGGCGTATTAACTGAATGGAACTGATTCACTATTAATAGTATCTTTCTCTACAATTCTGAGGCAAAGACACCAGTACACCGGGTATGGTCTTGTGAGCAGCAACATAGATACTATATCTTTACATGCTGCCATGTTATGGTGTTAATCATAAGTACTGACAGCTCACTCTTCGCAGTCGATTGTATTCCTCAGCCCTCGATATGTAGACAGGGCTCCAGATAAAGGCCGTATCGGCGTATGTACGGATAAAAAATATGCATGATACGGTAGCAAAAAAATTCGAAAACGTAGCAGATACGCACCACAGCAATGGTGTATGGTCTTAGAATCATTTACAGACGCATTTATCTGAAAAAGTATTGTTTTATTGTTTATTGACCTGTTTACACAAGAGTAGCAATGTTGTGGTGCATATATGAAACGAAAACACATAATTACTGATACGCCTTTTACTTATCTGGAGCCCTGTGTAGAGCCACATTAGGTCATTTTACATAATATTGGATTTTTACTGATGGTTTGATTGATAGTTTGCTGATGGTAAATCAGTAGAGTGCCTTACCATTAACTCCTGCTCATTAGTTTAAGATAAATTACAAGATACCTTTTAAAGGCAAATCAGCTTTGGATTAAACAACATTTTAGAGATAATTTTGTAAACATTACAGAGTACATCATCTCTGGAGAGCAACTTGGAGGGACTAGCCAGTGTGCTGGAAGCAGATTTGCCCAACTACAAACAAAAGATACTGAGAATCCTCTGTGAATGGTAGGGAAATTGCCAGTGTTAGTCATCTGTTCTCAACTGCTTTGTGCTTCAAAGTATCTACTGGAAGTCAGTGATTCTCATGCCTTTCATATGAGTCATTAATATTATGGAAAATTAACCATATAGCCTTGAAACATTTACTTGATGCATATTGATTGTGAATTTTATGATTCAAATACCGGAACCCATGAACATCTGGGTTATAATTCGTCTTCAGTGACCCATGCTTGTAGTACTGACTGACTGAGTTTTGGTTTTACTCCGCTTTTAGCAGTATTCCAGCAATATCACGGCGGGGGACACCAGAAATGGGCTTCACACATTGTACCCATGCTTGTAGTAAGCATGGTAAGAGGCAACTAACGGGATCTGGTGGTCAGGCTTGCTGACTTGGTTGACACATGTCATTGTATCCCAATCGAGTAGAACGATGTTCATGATGTTGTTCACTGGATTGTCTGGTCCAGACTCGATTATTTACAGCCTGCCGCCATATAGCAGGAATATTGCTGAGTGCAGTGTTAAGCCAAACCAACCAACCAATCAAATACTGGACTCATCCTGAATAATGTCCTTGTACAGACAGTTCCCATTCCATTCTTGTGAGTTTTCCCAAACTTGTTCATGTTTGACCTGTTTGATGAGTGCACCACTTACGGCTTTCCTTCCACATAAGGCCCAAAAAATAAATGTTGTGGTTCCGATTTCCTACATTTCAGAACTAGGGTAGGTAGGTAGGGTTTGGTTTTTTTTGGTGCAAAATATTTTTACATTACTCATGTGTCAGAAAATAAATTTAATTTATTATGTGGTGAGTAAATTTGTTAGGCTCAGCGGGAATATTTAGGGTCGGTCGGGAAATCGGAACCACAAGCTTTTTTTTAATAGGCCTAATGGCATCAAACTGACTGTTTGAATATGATTAGTTTCAAGGAGTTTCAAGGAGTGGTAAAACACCCATCATACTCTGCATACACCAACCAGTACAAATGTATCTTGTGTGTTTCAGTGTTGTGGGAATGCCGGAGAAACTATCTGTCTACACAACATTGATTGGTTTGTTAAACGCAAAAAATTACAACTGTGGAGGAGAGGTTAGTATTATAGAGAAGAACAACCAGATTCAATCGTTCTTGTAATGTCATGATAGTTTATAGTTCTTAATGATAAGAATTCAATAAATACATTGAGAATCAAGAAATTTGAGATTGACGTAGGGAGGTATGTTCCTATGTTCCTTAGGTGAGTCTCCTTGTAGGAATGGATCCATTATTGATTTTTTTAACAATATTGTGAGATATCCAAGTTCTGTTTGAAAAGTTTTAACAACTATTTTCCATTTAAAAAGAAATTTAACACAGTTTTTCATTTAATGAAAGTTGGTTGATACTTAGGACTAAAGATACTCATTTTGAGGTATTCGTGTCTTAACAGTAATGAGAAGTATTGTAGCTACAGATCCCGATTAGTTGGAACAAACACCTCTGAACCCAAGATGGAAACTATGACCCATACTTACTTTTACTACACTGTAAACCACTGTAAGTTTTGTGGTACTCTGTAACAAGGTTGAGTTGACATTAACTCTTCTTTTATATTTCAGTTCATAGAAATGTTAGTGCGCAACTTGAAAGAGTCTCTTAAGACAGCTGAGTTTGAAAGTGCACGCATGATTGTAAGTAGGTTTCAATTTCAACCCAAACATACTTTTCCTACCATGACAATGTGACAGTAATTTATTGTTGATGCTCATCAGATTTGTTAATTCATGTTTCACAAAGATTCATGTTTTCTGAAGGACACAACAACTGTTTGACAAATGATTGTTGTTTGTTTGCTAGTCCCAGTGAAGATGTGTAGGGCAAGGTGTGATATATACCTGATATTGGACTATTGTAACACTGGTTCATCCACTCATGTCTGTTTGCCCAGGTGTGTTTCCTGTCTGACTTAGTCAACTGTCATGTGTCATGTGTCTGTTTGTCTGTGTCAACTGTCATGTGTCTGTTTGCCCAGGCTTCCTGTCTGACTTAGTCAACTGTCAATGTGTTTGTTTGCCCACATGGCTTGTTTATGTCTGTCTGACTGTCAACTGTCATCTGTTTGCCCAGGCATGTTTCCTGTCTGACTTAGTCAACTGTCATGTATCTGTTTTGTTTGTCTGACTTAGTCAACTGTCATGTGTCTGTTTTCCTGTCTGACCGACTTAGTTATATGTCAATGTGTCTGTTTGCCCAGGCATGTTTCCTGTCTGACTTAGTCAACTGTCATGTGTCTGTTTGCCCAGGTGTGTTTCCTGTCTGACTTAGTCAACTGTCATGTGTCTGTTTGCCCAGGTGTGTTTCCTGTCTGACTTAGTCAACTGTCATGTGTCTGTTTGCCCAGGTGTGTTTCCTGTCTGACTTAGTCAACTGTCCATGTGTCTGTTTGCCCAGGTGTGTTTCCTGTCTGACTTAGTCAACTGTCATGTGTCTGTTTGCCCAGGCATGTGTCTGTTTGCCCATGTGTGTTTCCTGTCTGACTTAGTCAACTGTCATGTGTCTGTTTGCCCAGGTGTGTTTCCTGTCTGACTTAGTCAACTGTCATGTGTCTGTTTGCCCAGGCATGTTTCCTGTCTGATTTAGTCAACTGTCATGTGTCTGTTTGCCCACGTGTGTTTCCTGTCTGACTTAGTCAACTGTCATGTGTCTGTTTGCCCACGTGTGTTTCCTGTCTGATTTAGTCAACTGTCATGTCTGTTTGCCCACATGTGTGTTTCCTGTCTGATTTAGTCAACTGTCATTTGTCCGCCCACATGTGTTTCCTGTCTGACTGTGTCAACTGTTATGTGTCTGTTTGCGCAGGTGTGTTTCCTGTCTGACTTAGTCAACTGTCATGTGCCTGTTTGCCCACGTCCGGTGTTTCCTGTCTGATTTAGTCAACTGTCTGTTTGCATGTGTTTCTGATTTGCCCACTGTCATGTCCGCCTACAGTTTCCTGTCTGACTGTCCATGTGTCTGTTTTAGCAGGTGTGTTTCCTGTCTGACTTAGTCAACTGTCATGTGTCTGTTTGCCCATGTGTGTTTCCTGTCTGACTTAGTCAACTGTCATGTCTGTTTGCCCGCATGTGTGTTTCCTGTCTGACTTAGTCAACTGTCATGTGTCTGTTTGCCCATTGTGTTTCCTGTCTGATTTAGTCAACTGTCATGTGTCTGTTTGTGCTCCCACATGTGTTTCCTGTCTGACTGTGTCAACTGTCATGTGTCTGTTTGCCCAGGTGTGTTTCCTGTCTGACTTAGTCAACTGTCATGTGTCTGTTTGCCCAGGTGTGTTTCCTGTCTGACTTAGTCAACTGTCATGTGTCTGTTTGCCCAGGTGTGTTTCCTGTCTGACTTAGTCAACTGTCATGTGTCTGTTTGCCCAGGTGTGTTTCCTGTCTGACTTAGTCAACTGTCATGTGTCTGTTTGCCCATGTGTTTTTCCTGTCTGACTTAGTCAACTGTCATGTGTCTGTTTGCCCAGGTGTGTTTCCTGTCTGACTTAGTCAACTGTCATGTGTCTGTTTGCCCAGGTGTGTTTCCTGTCTGACTTAGTCAACTGTCATGTGCTGGTGTCAGGGTCACTGCTGCAGATGTTTGACAACTTTATCGAAGTGACACTTGAGGACAACATTCCACAGGTAGGGCCGTGAACACCTAAATGTACCACATACCATTGATTGACTTTGTTTATTGTTCTCTCAGCAATATTCCAGCTATATGACAAATTGATTTTGTTTGTTCTCTCAGCAATATTCCAGCTATATGACAAAAGCTTATGACAATAATCTGTCTTGGTCAAATAATTCAATGATTGTCATCTTGAGCATCAATATACACATTTCTGATAGCATGACACACATCAACAATGCTAGCTATCTGAAGAGATATGCAGTATTAAAATGCATGATTTTTTCTTATCCTGACTCATGATCTTTTGCTTATCTCCCTTTCCTTTTCGAATGGTTGTGGAACACTTGAATCCCTTGAAGTTCCCGAAGCGGACGTAAAAATATACTCACCCACGAGTTACCTCCGTTTTGCCCTTTTCCCGCACAAACAGTCATCTGACCAGCCTTACTTGTCACTCTCTCCCTTTTCGCCCAAGCGGATGGTTGGGCGAGCACTGGAGTCCCTTATAAGGCTTTATATCCTTTTTATTTAGGTCCTATTCTTCAAAATTATGCTGTATATGGATTTGGCAATAACTACTATGTATTATTTGTAAAAAAATTGTTTACATTTCATGAAATCTTGCAATGTTTGCAGGCACAGGTTATCCGTGGCTGATCCTTACCCCCAGTGCCCTTCGTGCACAAAACCATGTTCTTCCAGCTTGTGCTGTACTTATTGTGTTGATTTATCAAATCTTCAATTTAATCAATATTTGTCTTATATCTATAGACGTGCCATGGATCGGGTGAGGAAGCCATCTCAAGTCACGCTGATTAAACAGGAGCAGTCTGCTTGCTACTGCTGAAGTTCATAATACTGGGGCCAAGAAGAAATGGCTACAACGCAGTTGACTCCGACGTAAGTTAAGAAAAAGACGTCATCTTCTTCTACATCGCAGAAGAAAGCATCTGTTACCAGATCGGAGGGTAAATCTACGCGTGTTAGTAAGTCAACGCAGCAGAAGCCTTCAACGAAGAGATATTACCTCCACATGAAGTAGACGTTTTTGATGACCCCTCGTTACTTCTACCCGAAGTAACTACGAGATCAGCGACTCAACCGACTTCTACAACTACTAGATCGTCCCTGCAATGGTCACAGCAGGCCAGCTGAGCTGTTTGACGAACTACCACCTACTTCTCAATGGAGTGAAGTTGAGGCGCAGAACTCATCAGCATTTTCGAACGCTTCATCTACACCGCAGCAGCTGCAACCAACGCAGAACTTCGACCTGGAGGACAAATAGACGATGCAGCTAAGGAAGCTACGCACGACTCAACAATCAAGTTGCATCAGGAACGTGGTCCAAAATAGAGCAGCATCTTCACATCAATCTGCTGAAGATGAAAGCCATCATCAACACCTTAAAACTATGGTTGAGCTCGTTGAACAACAAAATACTGATGGTCCACACGGACAACTCTACAGTGGCATTCTCCATAAATCGGCAAGGATCCACAAGGTCTCCAAGTCTGCTACAGCTCACATTCCAGTTGTTCCACATCATGGAGGAAGCAAACATCTGGATAAAGGCGTGTCACATACCCGGAGCCAAGAACGTACTTGCAGACGCTCTGTCCCGACCACTGCACCCGTCACCTACGGAATGGATGCTCCATCCAGAAGCGTTCCGCTCATCATAAGGGAAATAGGATCCTCTTGCATAGAGCTGTTTGCCACGAGGTTCAACAAACAACGGTTCCAGATCCTCAAGCCTGGGCAACAGATGCACTGAGCATATCTTGGGAAGGACTAAATGCTTACGCGTTTCCACCCCCGATATTACTACCGGAAGTACTGTTGAAGATCAAACAGACACAGGCGCTACAACTGACTTTGGTCGCGCCATACTGGCCAGCGAGAGTATGGTTCCTAGACCTAATAGAAGATCTCGGAAGTCCAACAATGGCCGAACCTACTCATACATCCGCACACCAAGCAAGTCCCTGGGAAACCGACAGCGTTCCAGCTACACGTGTGGACCGTATCAAAACATGTTTGAAGAAAAGAGGATACTCCGCCAGGGCAGCCAAGGCAGTAACGCTAGCGTTACGCAGATCTACTCATAACCTGTATGATGACAAGTGGCTGAAGTTTGAGACTTATGCAAGGCGGAAAGGCTTCACTGCGATGAAAGCTACTCATCCTCAAGTGGCGGAATACCTGTGTCATCTTAGACAGACCAGACATCTGAAAGGTTCGACATTATCTACATCACCTACAGTGATTACCATGAAAACAGGCATCAAGTTGACTAAAGTACCAGAATTACTTGCTCTGCTGAGATCTTTTAAACTGGAGGACCAGCAAAAGAAGTTCAGAGCTCCGGCCTGGGATCTGAATGTAATTCTACGTCATCTTACGAGTGATGCCTACGAACCTCTAGACCAGAATACCTTCGAGTTGCTAACACAGAAGACTCTGTTCCTGCTTGCGCTAGCCATGGCAGCTCGAATATCAGAGATACATGCGCTGGACTTTGGTAGAACCAGATTCGACACGGGGGGCAACATGCTGCAGATCATCTAGGACTTAGATGGGACTTCATTGCCAAGAACCAACTACCTGGTCAGCCAGATAGACAGTTCCACGTACCAGCATTATCAACAATCCTCGTCCCAGAGGATATAGAAGACCTATCCTTGTGTCCGGTCAGAGCCCTGAAGATATATCTTCAAAAGACTGAGACAATTAGACGAAAATTCAAGCGCCTGTTCATCCCATTATCAACAGAGACATCAGCAGAAGTCTCAAGAACGACAATATCATTCTGGATGAGAGCCGTCATATTGAGAGCCTATAAAGCAGCAGGACTAGAACCTCCTAGAGCTTCCAACCAACACGAAGTCAGAGCACTGGCGTCAACACTGGCTCTGCACGGAAATTGCTCTATACCAGCAATTTATGGAGGGCTGTTTTTGGAAATCGGACACAGTGTTTGCCAACCACTACCTCCGAGACATAGCCACTGAAGACGTCCCAGGCATTCACCAATTTGGGCCTCTCATTGTAGCACAGCAACTAACGGTTCCTCAAAGGCGCTGAGTTGGAAAATCTCACCCTTTATCACGTTGACTTGTTGATAACTTTTACTAAGGAAAAGTATTAGTTTGAAAGTCAATGCACACAGTCTAGAACAGGCTAGCATGAGTGATTAAAGATCCTGTACGGGTAAAGATCTTACCTATACGTGAAGGGGTCGCAACTCATTTATGATAAAGATCTTATCATAATCTATTGGTTGTTATAAGATATTTAGTAATAAGAAGATACTAGTTTATCTGTAGCCACATAAATCAACATGATTCAACTTGTCTGAGACTGAAGTAAGACAAGAAAGTGGTCCCCCCGAGAAGAATAGGATCGGGGAAATGTTGTTTCGCAGTTCCCATGGGGGGGATACAGGACGCATCTAAGGACAGCTGATGAATCCACGAAGTGGCTTGACCCACCACCAATCCGTCGGATTCTATAAGCTAAAGATCATGAGTCAGGATAAGAAAAAATATGTAATTTTCAAGTAAAATTGATATTTTTATACTTATCCTGACTCATGACGAGAAGCCCTCCTCACCTCCCTGCTGAAGACACTTTGGATTTCACAGCAGATCCAAGTGCATGGGCAGAAAATCAGGAGAGAGTGACAAGTAAGGCTGGTCACAAGACTGTTTCACGGGGAAAAAGGCAAAAGGGAGGTAACTCGTGGGTGAGTGTATATTTATGTCCGCTTCGGGAACTTCAAGGGATTCAAGTGTTCCACTACCATTTGAAAAGGAAAGGGAGATAAGCAAAAGATCATAAGTCAGGATAAGTATAAAAATATCAATTTTACTTGAAAAATGACATTTTTTCATAAGTGAGATTTCAGTAACCATTGTAATGAAAATATGTATACACTGAATAACTGACTGTTGATTGTGTGCACTTTTCCTGGTTCTAGATTCATACTTGTTACGTACACACTCATTATGCCCTGGTGACTTTCAGGTTCGATCTGACTGGTATGTGTACTGTGTTCTGACAGCCTTGCCATGGGTAAGTTTTCCAAGTCTTTGTGTCAAATATTCAAAACCCATTTTATGCTGAATGAATCAATCGTTTATACAGTGTTTGAAATTGAATATGAATGTCAACTATACCTTGTCTTTACCATGAATCCATGATTTTTAATGTTACAAATTGAGGGAGTCCCAGTGTTCAGTAGCTGTCATGTTGTAGGGGCAGTGTACAGGATCCACATTGTAGGGGCAGAGTTCGGTAGTGTTGAGTAGCCATGTTACTGGGGTAGTGGTGAGTAGCCATGTTACTGGGGTAGTGGTGAGTAGCCATGTTGTAGGGGTAGTGTTCAATAGTCATGTAGGGGTAGTGTTGAGTAGCCACGTTGCTGGGGTAGTGTTGAGTAGCCACATTGCTGGGGTAGTGGTGAGTAGTCATGTTGCTGGGGTAGTGTTGAGTAGCCATGTTGCTGGGGTAGTGGTGAGTAGTCATGTTGCTGGGGTAGTGTTGAGTAGCCACGTTGCTGGGGTAGTGTTGAGTAACCATGTTGCTGGGGTAGTGTTGAGTAACCATGTTGCTGGGGTAGTGTTGAGTAGCCACGTTGCTGGGGTAGTGGTGAGTAGTCATGTTGCTGGGGTAGTGTTGAGTAGCCATGTTGCTGGGGTAGTGTTGAGTAGTCATGTTGCTGGGGTAGTGGTGAGTAGCCATGTTGCTGGGGTAGTGGTGAGTAGCCATGTTGCTGGGGTAGTGGTGAGTAGCCATGTTGTAGGGGTAGTGGTGAGTAGCCACGGTGCTGGGGTAGTGGTGAGTAGCCACGCTGTTTAGGTAGTGGTGAGTAGCCACGCGTTGCTGGGGTAGTGGTGAGTAGCCATGTTGTAGGGGTAGTGTTCAATAGTCACGAGGGGTAGTGTTCAGCAGCCATGTTGCTGCGGTAGTGTTGAGTAGCCATGTTGCTGGGGTAGTGGTGAGTAGCCATGTTGTAGGAGTAGTGTTCAATAGTCCGCGAGGGGTAGTGTTCAGTAGCCACATTGCTGGGTTAGTGTTCAATAGTCACGTAGGGGTAGTGCTGAGAAGCCACATTGCTGGGGTAGTGTTCAACAGTCACGAGGGGTAGTGTTGAGTAGCCACATTGCTGGGGTGTTCAATAGTCGCGTGAGGGGTAGTGTTCAGTAGCCATGTTATAGGGGTAGTGGGCAATGTCACGTGGGGGTAGTGTTGAGTAGCCACATTGCTGGGGTTGTGTTCAATAGTCACGTAGGGGTAGTGTTGAGTAGCCATGTTATAGGGGTAGTGGGCAATAGTCACGTAGGGGTAGTGTTGAGTAGCCACATTGCTGGGGTTGTGTTCAATAGTCACGTAGGGGTAGTGTTGAGTAGCCACATTGCTGGGGTAGTGTTCACTAGTCACGTAGGGGTAGTGTTCAGTAGCCACATTGCTGGGGTTGTGTTCAATAGTCACGTAGGGGTAGTGTTCAGTAGCCACATTGCTGGGGTTGTGTTCACTAGTCACGTAGGGGTAGTGTTCAGTAGCCACATTGCTGGGGTAGTGTTCACTAGTCACGTAGGGGTAGTGTTCAGTAGCCACATTGCTGGGGTAGTGTTCAATAGTCACGTAGGGGTAGTGTTCAGTAGCCACATTGCCGGGGTTGTGTTCAATAGTCACGTAGGGGTAGTGTTCAGTAGCCACGTTGCTGGGGTAGTGTTCAATAGTCACATAGGGGTAGTGTTCAGTAGCCACATTGCTGGGGTAGTGGGCAATAGTCACGTGAGGGGTAGTGTTGAGAAGCCATGTTGCTGGGGTAGTGTTCAATAGTCACGTAGGGGTAGTGTTCAGTAGCCATGTTGCTGCGGTAGTGGTGAGTAGCCATGTTGTAGGAGTAGTGTTTAATAGTCATGTAGGGGTAGTGTTCAGTAGCCACATTGCTGGGGTTGTGTTCACTAGCTGCTATGTTGTGTTGCAGGTCGGACAGGAACTGTATGAGAAGAAGGAGACTGAGCTCAGTAAGCTGCTGGCCACAGTGGACAACTACATCAGGTACAGGCATTGGCATGATTGGAGGACCTCTCTGTTTTCTGTGATTAAGGGCAAGGCCTGTTTTAAAATGTTTTAAAAGCATACCAAGCCTGTGTTTTGAATGTCCCTTTTTCATACTTTGAAGACTAAAATGTAGTCATTTTCTATATGCATCCAACGTCCCAAAGGTGGTATTGTGTTGATTCATCCTCTGCATTCCCGATGACTGAGTGTCGAGTCTTGATCATGGACTTTGAGTTTCTTCCAGCAAACGGCAGCACATCCATGTGCCAGCGCTGAGAGTATGGGCTACTGATGACCCTCACCCACAGGAAGAGGTAAGTCAGCTGTTTCACACAATAACACTGTGTAGCTGTTACACACACTAGCACTGTGAAGCTGTTTCACACACCAGCACTGTGAAGCTGTTTCACACACCAGCACTGTGTAGCTGTTTCACACACCAGCACTGTGAAGCTGTTTCACGCACCAGCACTGTGTAGCTGTTTCACGCACCAGCACTGTGTAGCTGTTTCACACACTAGCACTGTGAAGCTGTTACACACACCAGCACTGTGAAGCTGTTACACACACCAGCACTGTGAAGCTGTTACACGCACCAGCACTGTGAAGCTGTTTCACGCACTAGCACTGTGTAGCTGTTTCACACACCAGCACTGTGTAGCTGTTTCACACACTACCACTGTGTAGCTGTTTCACACACCAGCACTGTGAAGCTGTTTCACACACTACCACTGTGTAGTCGTTTCACACACTACCACTGTTTAGCTGTTTCACACACTACCACTGTGTAGCCGTTTCACACACTACCACTGTGTAGCTGTTTGACACGATAACACTGTGTAGCTGTTTGACACAATAACACTGTGTAGCTGTTTCACACACTACCACTGTGAAGCTGTTTCACACACTACCACTGTGTAGCTGTTTTACACACCAGCACTGTGTAGCAGTTTCACACACTTGCAATATATAGCAACTGTTTCACACTCTTATCCTGTGTACCTACTTCACCCATTAGCTACACATTAGTTTAGTGTGTTGCAAGGTATGTTGATTGTTTTGTACTGGCTGCTGTGTTTCAGTACCTTGACTGCCTGTGGGCACAGATCAAGAATCTCCGCAACAACAAGTGGGTTGAGAAGCAGATCCTGCGTCCTTACCTGGCATTCGACAGTGTGCTATGTGATGCCCTGCAGCACACCCTTCCCCAGATCATACCCCCCTCTCACAACGAGGAGATAGAGTATCCCCTACCCACAGTCACTTTCAGATTGTTTGACTACACAGATGTACCGGAGGTGAGTTTACTTCACATTACCAGGGTGGTAGCATTCGCATGGCACTCTTTGAAAAGTATAGGTTTTAGACTTCAGAATTCTGACTTGAATATGAAAAGTTCCTGAAAGATTCTGAAGTGATTTAGTGCCTACTTCATACTTCCTTGAATCCAAAAGAATGACAAGAGATAGCCTGCATGTAAGAAATCAGAAGACTGCTTAAGCTTCTTTTGACAACCAAGGGGATCTCAGAAAATCGAGGGAAGAAAGTTCTTCATTAGTTCAGTCTATTTCTAGACAAGATTCCATAGACAGACTCAATAGTATTGTTCACAGACTTTGATCACGACCATGACGGATTGGATGTTCTGTCTGACCTACATGTCTGGTGCTAGGTATGGGAAACTAGTTATCATGTTTCTTGTTCTTTCCCATGAGCAAGCCACAGCTGAAAGGGGATTCTCCATTAATAAAGTGATAGTGTGCGAATCTAAAGTCACAAGTATGTGTGGCACATACTGTCATCTGTGATCACGTCAGAAGTATTGCAGGAATTGACAATCCAGTGTTCAACAGCATGAGCATCGATCAATACAATTGGGAACCGATGACGTGTAAACCATGTCAGCAAGCCTGACCACCCGATCCTGTTAGTCGCCTTTTACAACAAGCATGGGTTACTGAAGATCTTACATATGTTATTAGAAGGACTGGATATGTATGTTCGGATTTTGGCGACAGTTTCAAGTTTGACCTTGGCTTGACCTTTGTATCTTGACCGTACAGAAATCTTTAACTTAATGGACCGAACTTATTGCTATTTTGAATGAAACAATGTTTAGTACATGGGATTTAACAGTGGACTAAACATGTGTTTCATTTTTTGCTTTATATGCAATATTGACTTTATATCAACTATACCTTTTAATTCTCTCCAAGGTATATTTGGCTCTGACCAGCCTTCTCCTAATAGGTAGCAAGACATGTGAATTGATAAATGGCCAATTGCCCATAAATAAATAAATTCACAAATAATCACTCTGTACAAATTGTTTTCTAACATGTTTCAGTGTTATCATAGTCACATTAGTAAAATTAGAACATTTACAAAAACTTGTGTCATACGTTTGTTTTGTGAATTTTGTTGACAATCATCAGATTATGAAATTTTTATGGTAGTTTTCAGTATTTGTGCTAAATATATTTGAATATCAGTGTTACTGATTTTCATGAATAGGTGAGTTATTCCTAAACCTTTCAAGTCTGAGCGTTGTTTTAATGTGTTTCTCAGGGGAGTGTATTGCCAGGGAGTCATGCCATTGAGAGATACCTGATTGAGGAGCATCTCCACAAGATCATCCACACATACTGCATCGAGAGGAAGGACTGGTAATATACTGCCATCTTCCACTGATAAGTACTGACTGACTGACTGAGTTTGGCTTTACGCCGATTTTAGCAATATTCCAGCAACATCATGGCGGGGGACACCAGAAATGGGCTTTACACACGTTGTACCCATGTGGGGATTCGAACCGGGTCTTTGGCATGACGAGCCAACGCTTTAACCACTAGACTACCCCACCGACCCCACTGATAAGTAGGGCAAGGCAGTATGTGTTACAGAGCATGTTCAGTCAATCACTTATACCTTATGGTTTTAGTTGTTTCTTTTCTTTAAATTCTGCCGTTTTTCATTTTAACACTTTGTTGTCATATACATGTACATTTTTACTTACCATCTTAACTGGTGCACTTAGCTTCAGCATAGTTAATTACGCAGGGTGATGTTCCAGTTGTGCCAGGAGGCAATGGTGATGGGAAAGACAGGTCCATCCTGACTTGGATGGTTGGTTTGTTAGTAGCTGTAGCCACAGCTTCAGGAGTAAATGGCCATGTCCTACGTCACATTACTTCCATTATACAATTGCATAGAGCAGACAAATCATAATATGGCTGAGGAAGACGAGAACAGCAATAATCGGAACTCACTTTATGATTGTAAACACAATTATCTTATAGGATGAAATAACCAACAGTTGTTCATTGTTTGCAGTGCAGCAACATTGCTGAGTTTCACCAGCAAGAATAAGATCCCCCTGAACTACATGATAGTGGAGGTGTGTACAGAAACAATGGTTTACTATATTATGGTACAGATTAATCATTTACCTGATTCAAAGAATAAGGTCAAACATGAAAAGAATATATTTTTAAACTTATCCTATCTCACGACTTGCACCTCTCTCTCTTGCTTCGACTTTTAGTGGAACGACTGTAAACTTTTTCCCATAGGCCTCCTTGTCCATTCGCCCGTGCACTCCATGCTGCTGTCCTTAATTAGCTTCCTAGTTCCTAATAAAGCTTGCAGCAAGCTCCACTAATTGCCCACGTGACTACCTTGAATGATCATTCTCTTTCTTGTCGCACGACTGTGTGGACGTGCTGTATATTAGGGACATTATTTCACCCTAACATCATGGGGAAAACTGATAATGAGTCAAGGAAAGGAAAGTTTGTGCTCAGTGCAAGACGAATTATTCATCCCTCGACCCTCACTCATCTTGCAGTGACTGTATTGGGCAATGTAACTGCAACAAACAATGTGGCAAGTGTAATTCACTAAAAGATGAGGATTTTAAGGCCTACCTTCGTGTTTGCTCCCGGAATATCGCCGATACAGACAGGAAATCAACAGAATCTGATCCCACTCCCGCCAAGCGTATCAAGTTACAGCGACAGAAAATCGTACCTTCACGCAAGAGAGCGACGTCTGTGGTTCAAGAGGATTTTATGGACGCTTCATCAGGTTCTTACTTATCTGAGGACGTTCGGCACCTATTACGTACGCATCAATCACCTCCTTCCATAGCGTCAGATCACTCGCAGGTGGTTGTGATCGATAATTCTTCGTTGCCTGTCCCATATACACTACCAGGGGACCTTAGATCGACACTATCATCATCCAGATCATCGGTACATATCCCCTCGACCTGGGACCTCGACGCGTTGGCAATATCATGGGAGGGTCTCAATGCCTACGCGTTCCCCCCACCAGCTCTGCTACCAAAAGTAATACAGAAACTATTGGCCACCAGCAACATACTACTGCTTTTGGTCGCACCCTTCTGGCCAGCGAGAGGTTGGTTCATCAACCTAAGAAGCCTGGCAGAGCCAAACCCAGTACCGATTCCCAACCGGGACGAGCTACTTCTTCACCCTCACTCGGGACTGCGCCACAGGTTACCTCAGACCCTCAATCTACACGTTTGGCGCATCTTCAGAGGTCTCTCATAGCTAAGGGCTACTCTCGCTGAGTAGCCACAGCTATCACTTCAGCGCATCGTACTTCGACCTGTTCCTTGTACGACAACAAGTGGAAGAAGTTTGAAGACTATTGAAAGCTTAGGGGAATTGCATCTCCAACTTCCACCTCGGCTCAGGTTGTTGCTGAGTTTCTCCAGCATCTCCGCATTACTAAGAAACTCAAGGGTACTACGTTAGCTACCTACTTAGCCGCCATTAATTCGGTTTTGGCTACCACCACGGGCACGAAGATTTCCACTGTTCCCCCGAGTTGCAGAGTCTACTACTCTCCTATAGACTCTCTGACCAGTCCAGGAAGTTCAGACCTCCGGCCTGGGATCTGTCCGTCGTCCTTTGTCATATGATTTCTACAGATTATGAACCTTTAGAAGACAAGGACTTGAACAAGTGACATTCAAGACATTCTTCCTGGTAGCTTTAGCTGCTCGTATATCTAAACTGCATGCGCTTGATGTCAATCGGGTGCGGTTCGAGCGGAAGAAGCATGGCAAGGCTTTCCTGGGTCTCCGCTGGGACTTCATTGCGAAAAACCAACTGCCAGGGCAACCGGACCGGATGTTTACCATTCCCCCGTTGTCCACCATTCTTGGGCCTGATGATAATGAAGATTTGACAATCTGCCTGTTAGGGCTCTACACGTTTACCGTGCTGCCTCCAAGGATCATCGACGGCTACGAAAGCGCCTCTACATACCCTTGTCGACCGCTTCAAGAACTGAGGTTTCCCGAACCACATTGGCCTTCTGGATGCGTGCCACGATCCTGCGAGCCTACACCTTTGCAGGGTTGCCTCCTCCAGCCGCTTCCAATCCTCATGAGACTCATGCACTAGCCTCAACGATGGCCCTCCATAGCAACTGCTCCTTGACCGCTACCATGGAAGGTTGCTTCTGGCGTTCTGATACAGTCTTCTCTTCATATTACCTGCGAGACCTGTCTGTTACGGATGTCCGGGGACTACACCAGTTCGGTCCTCTTGTACTGGCTCAGCAGCTTACATCAGCCCAACAACGCAGATGAGGGACGGTTCCGCATTCGCGTTACTACTTCCTTGTATATACTGAATAAAAGTTGAACTTGATCTCAACCTTTTGTTCTCATTATATGGGTTTAAGAACTACTTCACTTGGCCTCCATACCAAGGCATCGGAATACGGCCACCTAGCGTGGCCCTACGGACTTGAGGCACAATCGGTATGATGATGCAGAGGTGTTGGACATTCACGCTTACTGACCTCTACTCCACGGAGCAATTACGTCAGTGAAGTGTGACACTCCCGAATTCAAGTGGATTTCAGTGCGTTCTGCCTCCAAAGTTGTCAGGCACTTCCTTTGACTAAACTTTAGGCAAAGGAGTGAGGGTCAATTTGATGCTGCCCGGAACTGAACGTTAAACCTTGTAGATGCCGAGTTGTGTTTCTCTTTCACCCGCCTCAGTCGGTGTCTGCGGGGCCTTCTTGAAGCAGGGGCTGGCCTGATTCTAGTCGCAAGACTTTAATTACGGGGTACCTTGTAAATCGTGGCGAGGCGAGGCTTACTTGCCGAGTTGCATCCCTTGTCTTGTACAAGGTTGCGGCCGAACACCACATCGCTCGGGAGCACCCATCTCCCTGGGAGTCGTTGTGCTTAGTAAGCCAAGGGGTTACGGAGAACCCACTACAAGCATAGGAGTTTCGTGCATGTAACAGGCCTCCCTTGTACATCACTATCTACGGTTGTCATCAGTCCACACAGCTCCAAGACCAGCTGTTCGCACTGTCCAGAAAGAAGGGTAATCTGCGGCCCGCCGTCCAACCATTGGATAAGTGCAAGTCGTGAGATAGGATAAGTATATCTCACGCGATGGATGCCCGCCCGTCCTCCCCACTACTCGGATTACAACGTTGGCTCCAAGATGAGAATGATCATTCAAGGTAGTCACGTGGGCAATTAGTGGAGCATGCTGCAAGCTTTATTAGGAACTAGGAAGCTAATTAAGGAGAGCAGCATGGAGTGCACAGGCGAATGGACAAGGAGGCCTATGGGAAAAAGTTTACAGTCGTTTCACTAAAAGTCGAAGCAAGAGAGAGAGGTGCAAGTCGTGAGATAGGATAAGTATATAAATATACAATTTACTTTAAAATTTCCAAGTTTACAACTGTTCACAAACCTGAATCAGGAACAACTGTCATACCTCAATATGAACATTTATGCAACATAAAGGCATATAATTAATATAAAACCGTGAACTTTGATGCAAGAAAAATATTTTCATCTTCTCACCAGTAGCAGTCAAAATAATAATGCCAGAGATTCTGTCGTTGATCTCTCTGTTTCTACATGGTTTATAGTTGTTAGGCCACTATCTGCTTGGACTGTCATGAGTTACAGCATGTCATCTCCGTCCTGACAGGTCGTGTTTGGTCAGCTGTTCCAGCTGCCACGCCCACCCTTCATTGAGATATTGTATGGCTCTCTCTTCATAGAGTTGTGCAAGTTACAGCCAGGTTCCATGCCTCAAGTTGTATCCTTCCTACACATGGCAGAGTTTGTCAAGGTCTCAGAAAGCTGTTTGTCATTTATCTGTTATCAGTCATTTATCCCACTTGTTTTCAAAATCAGAAATAGCATTTGAATTAATTTGATTTTGAAGATATTTGGCAGCTTTTTTATTTGCAATATCATTCGATTATTATGATGTGGACTTAATTCTTAAAGAAACATGTAGTTCATTTTGGAAAAATGTAGTAAATGTTTTCTGTGTGGACGTAAATGCTCTCATGAGGTTCATTACCTTTCAGAGAGTCCAAGTACAGGTAAAATGACTCACCTTGTGTTAGTGGTGCCGGCCACATTAGTGGCATGCACTTGTTTCTCATGTCTCGTCAGTGCTTCTTGGATGTTCATATTCAGTTCATGACTTGTAAATGTTCCTTATCTATGTACCAGCTTGCCCAGGCTACAGAAATGTTATTTGAAAGAATTGATGAGATGCATACTGCCTGCATAGACAGGTAAGGAACTAGCATATCTCTTTGATTGTATCCATTATCTTCAGTTGGCTGTGACAAATAGTCATTAAGGGAGGATTCCATAATCCTGACTTCAAAATATGGTAGAACAGTATTAAATATGTTTGTGTTTGTCTTTTGCAATTTTTTTTTGTTTCTTTTGAATAAAACAAAAAAGATAGAACTGTGTTTTGACTTCTCATTCAGATTTGCAAGTTGGTTTTCCTACCACTTAAGTAACTTCCAGTTCCGGTGGAGTTGGGATGACTGGGCAACATGTAAAGACCTGGACCTTGAGAGACCTAAACCTAAGTTCATCCGAGAAGTCTTCTTGCGTTGCCTCAGGTACAGTACCACTTCAGTACCTCTTTAATACAGTACCATATCAGCACAGTACTACTTTAATACAGTACCCTATCTGTACAGTGCCACTTTAATACAGTACCATATCAGTACAGTACCACTTGAAAGCAGTACCATATCAGCACAGTACCACTTTAATACAGTACCATATCAGTACAGTACCACTTTAATAGAGTACCATATCAACACAGTACCACTTTAATACAGTACCATATCAGCGCAGCGCCACTTTAATACGGTACCATATCAGTACCGCTTTTAATACAGTACCATATCAGCGCAGTACCACTTTAATACAGTACCATATCACTACAGTACCACTTGAATACAGTACCATATCACAGTACCACTTTAATACAGTACCATATCAGTACAGTACCACTTTGATACAGTACCATATCACCACAGCACCACTTTAATACAGTACCATATCAGCGCAGCGCCACTTTAATACGGTACCATATCATCACCACAATGCAATTAATTTTAATACAGTACCATATCAGTACAGCACCACTTTAATATCAGTACAGTACCATATCAGCTCAAAAGGCAGTACCATATCAGTACAGTACCACTTTAATACAGTACCATATCACTACAGTACCACTTGATACAGTACCATATCACTGCAGTACCACTTCAATACAGTACCATATCATATCAGTACAGTACCACTTTAACAACAGTACCATATCAGTACAATTACCACTACCAATCAGTACAGTACCATATCAGCCATATCACCAAGCGCCACTTTAATACGGTACCATATCAGGCATGGCACCACTTTAATACAGTACCATATCAGTACAGTACCACTTTGAATAATAACATATAACCATATCAGTACCATATCAGCACCACTTTAATCACGGTACCATATCAGAGCGCCAGGCGCCACTTTAATACAGTACCATATCACTACGGTACCACTTTAATACAGTACCATATACAGTACCAATTTGATACACTACCACTACGGTACCACTTTTACAGCACCACTTTATCGCGGTTCAGTAATACCATATCACTACAGTACCACTTTAATACAGTACCATATCACTACAGTACCACGGTACCATTGCATGGCGCCACTTTACTGGTACCATATCACTGCAATTACCACTTTAATACAGTACCATATCAGTACAGTACCACTTTAATACAAGTACCACTTTAATATCAGTACAGTACCACTTTGATACAAGTACCATATCACCACAGCACCACTTTAATACAGTACCATATCAGCTACCACTTTAATACGGTACCATATCATACAGTACCATTTTAAGGCCCACTTTTGTACCATATTTAGCGCCACTTTATACGGTACCATATCAGTACAGTACCACTTGATACAGTACCATATCACTACAGTACCACTTTAATACAGTACCATATCAGTACAGTACCACTTTAATACAATACCATATCAGTACAGTACCACTTTGATACAGTACCATATCACCACAGCACCACTTTAATACAGTACCATATCAGGCAGGCGCCACTTGGTACCATATCATCACCACTTTACCATACCATATCAGGCACAGTACCACTTTATCTGGTACCATATCAGTACATTTACCACTACCATACAGTACCATATCACTTTAAGTACCACTTCAATACAGTACCATATCACTACCATATCGGCATACGTACCACTTTAATACAATTACCATATCAGTACAGTACCACTTTGATACAGTACCATATCATCACTACCATATAGCCACTTTAATACAGTACCATATCAGTACAGAACCACTTTAATACAATACCATATCACTACAATACCACTTTAATACAGTACCATATCGAGCAGCACCACTTTACCATAATACGGTACCATATCACTACAGTACCACTTACAGTACCAATACCATATCATACAGTACCATATCAGTACAGTACCACTTTAATACAGTACCATATCAGTACAGTACCACTTTACCATACAATACCATATCACTCATCACAGTACCACTTCAATAGGTACCACTTTAAGTACCATATCAGTACAGTACCACTTTAATACATTACCATATACCATATCAATAACACGCTATCAGTACAATTACCATATCAGCAATTACCGCTTTAATATACCATATCAAGTACAGTACCACTTTAATACAAGTACCATATCACCACAGTACCACTTTAATACAGTACCATATCAGCTGGTAGCCACTTTAATACAGTACCATATCGGTACGGTACCACTTTAATACGGTACCATATCAGCGCACAGCAGCCACTTTAATACAGTACCATATCAGCACAGTACCACTTTAATACAGTACCATATCAGCATACCACGAGCGCGTACCATATCAGCACAGTACCACTTTAATACAGTACCATATCACACTTTAATACGGTACCATATCAGGTAGCCACTTTAATAATACATCTGGTACCATATCACAGATACAGCACCATATGTACAGTACCAGCATACCACTTACCGCTTTGATACAGTACCATATCGGTACATATTACCACTTTAATACAGTACCATATCATCAGATACAGTACCACTTTAATACAGTACCATATCAGCACAGTACCACTTTAATACAGTACCATATCATATTACACAGTACCACTTTGATACCATATCAATGTACCATATCATATGCTACAGTACCACTTTAATACAGTACCATATCAGTGCAGCAGTACCACTTTAATACGGTACCATATCAGTAAAGTACCACTTTAATACAGTACCATATCAGTACAGTACCACTTTGATACACTACCATATCAGTACAGTACCACTTTAATACAGTACCGTATCAGTACAGTACCACTTTAATACAGCACCATCATACAGTACTTTAATACAGCACCATCACTACAGTACCACTTTAATACAGTACCATATCAGCACAGCACCACTTTAATACAGTACCATATCAGTACAATACCACTTTAATACAGTACCATATCAGTACAGTACCATATCAGCACAGCACCACTTTAATACAGTACCATATCAGTACAGTACCACTTTAATACAGTACCATATCAGTACAGTACCACTTTAATGCACTACCATATCACCACTACCACTTTAATACAATACCATATCAGTAGTACAGTACCATATCAGTACAGTACCATATCAGTACAGGACCACTTCAATACAGCACCATATCAGTACAGTACCACTTTAATACAGTACCATATCAGTACAGTACCACTTTAATACACTACCATATCAGTACAGTACCACTTTAATACAGTACCATATCAGTACAGTACCACTTTAATACAGTACCATATCAGCACAGCACCACTTTAATACAGTACCATATCAGTACAGTACCACTTTAATACACTACCATATCAGTACAGTACCACTTTAATACACTACCATATCAGTACAGTACCACTTTAATACAATACCATATCAGTACAGTACCACTTTAATACAGTACTATATCAGTACAGGACCACTTCAATACAGCACCATATCATTACAGTACCACTTTAATACAGTACCATATCAGCACAGTACCACTTAGTACAGTACCATATCAGAACAGCACCACTTTAATACGGTACCATATCAGTACAGCACCACTTTAATACAGTACCATATCAGTACAGTACCACTTTAATACAGTACCATATCAGTACAGCACCACTTTAATACAGTACCATATCAGGGAGGCACCACTTTAATACAGTACCATATCAGTACATTGCACCACTTTAATACAGTACCATATCAGTACAGCACCACTTTAATACAGTACCATATTAGTACATTACCACTTTAATACAGTACCATATCAGTACAGTACAAGTAGCCTAGTGGTTAAAGCGTTTGCTCCTCACGCCAAAACCTTGGATTCGATTCCCCAGGTTGGTACAATGTGTGAAGCCCATTTTCTGGGGTCCCCTGACGTGATATTGCTGGAATATTGCTAAAAGCGGCGTAAAACCAAACACAATCACTCATTCATTCATTCATTTGCATGAAGACTTCTATTTTCAGACTGTCAAAATCAGGTGTGTCTGTGTTGCAGGTTGTCTTACCACCAGCGTCTGGTAGACGTTGTGCCAGAGACCTTTGCTAACCTGATCCCCATCAAGCCCGTGCCATTCTTCAAGTACGAGCAAGAAGGAGCAGGTACTATGTTGTGAGATATTCTTACCTGACAGGGTTAGCAAATATGGGTGGTCAGACACATTGACCTGGTTGATTGAGTGCCATCCTATATCAAATAGCGTGAGTCTTTACTCCTTAGCAACAACTGGTTACCTGGCCAGTACTTGATGATTCTATCAACAACTGGGTTCCCTGGCCAGTACTTGATGATTCTATCAACAACTGGTTACCTGGCCAGTACTTGATGATTCTATCAACAACTGGTTTACCTGGCCAGTACTTGATGATTCTATCAACAACTGGTTTACCTGGCCAGTACTTGATGATTCTATCAACAACTGGTTTACCTGGCCAGTACTTGATGATTCTATCAACAACTGGGTTCCCTGGCCAGTACTTGATGATTCTATCAACCACTGGGTTCCCTGGCCAGTACTTGATGATTCTATCAACCACTGGTTTACCTGGCCAGTACTTGATGATTCTATCAACCACTGGTTTACCTGGCCAGTACTTGATGATTCTATCAACAACTGGGTTTACCTGGCCAGTACTTGATGATTCTAGCAACAACTGGGTTCCCTGGCCAGTACTTGATGATTCTATCAACCACTGGTTTACCTGGCAAGTACTTGATGATTCTATCAACAACTGGTTTACCTGGCCAGTACTTGATGATTCTATCAACAACTGGGTTACCTGGCCAGTACTTGATGATTCTATCAACAACTGGTTTCCCTGGCCAGTACTTGATGATTCTATCAACCACTGGGTTCCTGGCCAGTACTTGATGATTCTATCAACCACTGGTTTACCTGGCCAGTACTTGATGATTCTATCAACCACTGGGTTACCTGGCCAGTACTTGATGATTCTATCAACAACTGGTTTACCTGGCCAGTACTTGATGATTCTATCAACAACTGGTTCCCTGGCCAGTACTTGATGATTCTATCAACAACTGGTTTCCTGGCCAGTACTTGATGATTCTATCAACAACTGGTTTACCTGGCCAGTACTTGATGATTCTATCAACAACTGGGTTCCCTGGCCAGTACTTGATGATTCTATCAACCACTGGTTCCCTGGCCAGTACTTGATGATTCTATCAACCACTGGGTTACCTGGCCAGTACTTGATGATTCTATCAACCACTGGGTTACCTGGCCAGTACTTGATGATTCTATCAACCACTGGTTACCTGGCCAGTACTTGATGATTCTAGCAACAACTGGTTACCTGGCCAGTACTTGATGATTCTAGCAACAACTGGGTTCCCTGGCCAGTACTTGATGATTCTATCAACAACTGGTTTTACCTGGCCAGTACTTGATGATTCTATCAACAACTGGTTTACCTGGCCAGTACTTGATGATTCTATCAACAACTGGGTTACCTGGCCAGTACTTGATGATTCTATCAACAACTGGGTTCCCTGGCCAGTACTTGATGATTCTATCAACCACTGGGTTCCTGGCCAGTACTTGATGATTCTATCAACCACTGGTTACCTGGCCAGTACTTGATGATTCTATCAACCACTGGGTTACCTGGCCAGTACTTGATGATTCTATCAACAACTGGGTTACCTGGCCAGTACTTGATGATTCTATCAACAACTGGTTACCTGGCCAGTACTTGATGATTCTATCAACAACTGGGTTCCTGGCCAGTACTTGATGATTCTATCAACAACTGATTTACCTGGCAAGTACTTGATGATTCTATCAACCACTGGGTTTCCTGGCCAGTACTTGATGATTCTATCAACAACTGGTTTTACCTGGCAAAGTGCTTGATGATTCTATCAACAACTGGTTTCCCTGGCCAGTGCTTGATGATTCTATCAACAACTGGTTTACCTGGCAGAAGTACTTGATGATTCTATCAACAACTGGTTTACCTGGCCAAGTACTTGATGATTCTCTCAACAACTGGTTTTTTTACCTGGCCAGTAATTTGATGATTCTATCAACAACTGGTTTTACCTGGCCAGTACTTGATGATTCTATCAACAACTGGTTTACCTGGCCAGTACTTGATGCATCTATCAACCACTGGTTTACCTGGCCAGTACTTGATGATTCTATCAACCACTGGGTTACCTGGCCAGTACTTGATGATTCTATCAACCACTGGGTTACCTGGCCAGTACTTGATGATTCTATCAACAACTGGGTTACCTGGCCAGTACTTGATGATTCTATCAACCACTGGGTTACCTGGCCAGTACTTGATGATTCTATCAACCACTGGGTTACCTGGCCAGTACTTGATGATTCTATCAACCACTGGTTTACCTGGCCAGTACTTGATGATTCTATCAACCACTGGGTTCCCTGGCCAGTACTTGATGATTCTATCAACAACTGGTTTACCTGGCCAGTACTTGATGATTCTATCAACCACTGGGTTCCCTGGCCAGTACTTGATGATTCTATCAACCACTGGTTTACCTGGCCAGTACTTGATGATTCTATCAACCACTGGTTTACCTGGCCAGTACTTGATGATTCTATCAACCACTGGGTTCCTGGCCAGTACTTGATGATTCTATCAACCACTGGTTTACCTGGCCAGTACTTGATGATTCTATCAACCACTGGTTTACCTGGCCAGTACTTGATGATTCTATCAACAACTGGTTTACCTGGCCAGTACTTGATGATTCTATCAACAACTGGTTCCCTGGAGGGCCAGTACTTGATGATTCTATCAACAACTGACTTTACCTGGCCAGTACTTGATGATTCTATCAACAACTGGTTTACCTGGCCAAGTACTTGATGATTCTATCAACAACTGGGTTCCCTGGCCAGTACTTGATGATTCTATCAACCACTGGTTTACCTGGCCAGTACTTGATGATTCTATCAACAACTGGTTCCTGGCCAGTACTTGATGATTCTATCAACAACTGGTTTACCTGGCAGAAGTACTTGATGATTCTATCAACAACTGGTTTACCTGGCCAGTACTTGATGATTCTATCAACAACTGGTTTACCTGGCCAGTACTTGATGATTCTATCAACAACTGGTTTACCTGGCCAGTACTTGATGATTCTATCAACAACTGGGTTACCTGGCCAGTACTTGATGATTCTATCAACCACTGGGTTACCTGGCCAGTACTTTGATGATTCTATCAACCACTGGGTTCCTGGCCAGTACTTGATGATTCTATCAACCACTGGGTTACCTGGCCAGTACTTGATGATTCTATCAACCACTGGGGTTACCTGGCCAGTACTTGATGATTCTATCAACAACTGGAGTTCCCTGGCCAGTACTTGATGATTCTATCAACAACTGGTTACCTGGCCAGTACTTGATGATTCTATCAACAACTGGGTTCCCTGGCCAGTACTTGATGATTCTATCAACAACTGGTTTACCTGGCCAGTACTTGATGATTCTATCAACCACTGGTTTACCTGGCCAGTACTTGATGATTCTATCAACAACTGGTTACCTGGCCAGTACTTGATGATTCTATCAACAACTGGTTTACCTGGCCAGTACTTGATGATTCTATCAACAACTGGTTTACCTGGCCAGTACTTGATGATTCTATCAACAACTGGTTACCTGGCCAGTACTTGATGATTCTATCAACCACTGGTTTACCTGGCCAGTACTTGATGATTCTATCAACAACTGGGTTACCTGGCCAGTACTTGATGATTCTATCAACCACTGGGTTACCTGGCCAGTACTTGATGATTCTATCAACCACTGGTTTACCTGGCCAGTACTTGATGATTCTATCAACAACTGGACGGTTTACCTGGCCAGTACTTGATGATTCTATCAACAACTGGTTTCCTCTGGCCAGTACTTGATGATTCTATCAACAACTGGGTTACCCTGGCCAGTACTTGATGATTCTATCAACAACTGATTTACCTGGCAAGTACTTGATGATTCTATCAACAACTGGAGTTTACCTGGCCAGTACTTGATGATTCTATCAACAACTGGTTTTTACCCTGGCAGAAAGTACTTGATGATTCTATCAACAACTGGGTTCCCTGGCCAGTACTTGATGATTCTATCAACAACTGGTTTTACCTGGCAAGTACTTGATGATTCTATCAACAACTGGTTTACCTGGCCAATACTTGATGATTCTCTCAACAACTGGTTTTACCTGGCAAGTACTTGATGATTCTATCAACAACTGGTTTTACCTGGCCAATACTTGATGATTCGGCATCAACAACTGGTATTACCTGGCCAGTACTTGATGCATCTATCAACCACTGGGTTCCCTGGCCAGTACTTGATGATTCTATCAACCACTGGTTTACCTGGCCAGTACTTGATGATTCTATCAACCACTGGTTACCTGGCCAGTACTTGATGATTCTATCAACAACTGGGTTACCTGGCCAGTACTTGATGATTCTATCAACCACTGATTTCCCTGGCCAGTACTTGATGATTCTATCAACCACTGGATTACTCTGGCCAGTACTTGATGAATCTATCAACCACTGGGTTACCTGGCCAGTACTTGATGATTCTATCAACCACTGGGTTCCCTGGCCAGTACTTGATGATTCTATCAACAACTGTTCCCTGGCCAGTACTTGATGATTCTATCAACCACTGGGTTCCTGGCCAGTACTTGATGATTCTATCAACCACTGGGTTTCCCTGGCCAGTACTTGATGATTCTATCAACCACTGGTTTACCTGGCCAGTACTTGATGATTCTATCAACCACTGGGTTCCCTGGCCAGTACTTGATGATTCTATCAACCACTGGTTTCCTGGCCAGTACTTGATGATTCTATCAACCACTGGGTTACCTGGCCAGTACTTGATGATTCTATCAACAACTGGGTTACCTGGCCAGTACTTGATGATTCTATCAACAACTGGTTCCCTTGCCAGTACTTGATGATTCTATCAACAACTGGGTTCCCTGGCCAGTACTTGATGATTCTATCAACAACTGGGTTTACCTGGGCAAGTACTTGATGATTCTATCAACAACTGGGTTCCTGGCCAGTACTTGATGATTCTATCAACAACTGGTTTACCTGGCCAGTACTTGATGATTCTATCAACAACTGGGTTCCCTGGCCAGTACTTGATGATTCTATCAACAACTGGTTTACCTGGCAAAGTACTTGATGATTCTATCAACAACTGGTTTACCCTGGCCAATACTTGATGATTCTCTCAACAACTGGTTTTTACCTGGCCAGTAACTTGATGATTCTATCAACAACTGGTTTTCCCCTGGCCAATGCTTGATGATTCTCTCAACAACTGGGTTACCTGGCCAGTACTTGATGATTCTATCAACCACTGGTTCCCTGGCCAGTACTTGATGATTCTATCAACCACTGGGTTTACCTGGCCAGTGCCTTGATGATTCTATCAACCACTGGGTTACCTGGCCAGTACTCTGATGATTCTATCAACCACTGGTTTACCTGGCCAGTACTTGATGATTCTATCAACAACTGGGTTCCCTGGCCAGTACTTGATGATTCTATCAACAACTGGTTCCCTGGCCAGTACTTGATGATTCTATCAACAACTGGGTTACCTGGCCAGTACTTGATGATTCTATCAACAACTGGTTTACCTGGCCAGTACTTGATGATTCTATCAACCACTGGTTTACCTGGCCAGTACTTGATGATTCTATCAACAACTGGTTTACCTGGCCAGTACTTGATGATTCTATCAACAACTGGTTTACCTGGCCAGTACTTGATGATTCTATCAACAACTGGTTTACCTGGCCAGTACTTGATGATTCTAGCAACAACTGGTTACCTGGCCAGTACTTGATGATTCTATCAACCACTGGTTTACCTGGCCAGTACTTGATGATTCTATCAACAACTGGTTTACCTGGCCAGTACTTGATGATTCTATCAACAACTGGTTTACCTGGCCAGTACTTGATGATTCTATCAACAACTGGTTACCTGGCCAGTACTTGATGATTCTATCAACCACTGGTTTACCTGGCCAGTACTTGATGATTCTATCAACAACTGGTTTACCTGGCCAGTACTTGATGATTCTATCAACCACTGGTTTACCTGGCCAGTAGACATTTAATGAATAGTGACACTATGGCAATAGCTGCTGTATCCCACCAAGCTAACTTAGTCATATAACATTTGTTGTTCTCTCCAACAGGGTCCATGCCTGGAACAACGGAAGCCCATGCCTTGATGTCTGCCATCAAGTCAAAGTGTCTGCCTGATGAAGCTGCACAGGTTCTCAAAGACCTGCCCAACCCACTGGCTGATGATGATAGAGTGGGTGAGTAGTTTGTTGTGTTGTGTTATTATCTTATGTTAGGCCAGACCAGTTGTGTTATTATCTTATGTTGTGTTATGTTGTGTTGTTATGTTATGTTAGGCCAGACCAGTTTTATTTCTTGTTTTACAGATTTTTGTCCTCAGAAAACCTAAAGGAGGGAGGGAAAAAGAATAAAAATAAAATCACCAGTCAAAGTAATATTCCTTCTAAATACTAAAAGTATTTTACTTTTGGCAATTTATGAAGTGTATATGGGGCAAAAAACAATCTAAAAAACATTTTCTTGTAAGTTTACACTTTTGGCCAATAAAAAACATTAGCATTTTGTTTTTGCGCGGGGAAAATTAATTAATTTATTTTTTCTTATTCTTGAAAAAATACGACAGGCAGATCCGTAAAACAAGAAATAAAATTAGTCTGGCCTTATTGTGTTATGTTATGTTTTGTTATGTTAGGGTATGTATGTATTGCATGTGTGTGTATATATATACAGTGAAGCCTCGTTAATCCAGACAGTTGTGTTTCTCAGCCCATTCGTCCGGATTGCGAATAGTCCGGACTACTGAATCAAGACCCAAGTTGCTTCCCTTACTATTACAAAAACGACACGAATCTGGATAAAACAAATAAGCATTTAATGTAAAGCTTATTGAATTCATCACATCAATAATTTTACCGGGTGACATCCGCATGTTGATCCGACGTGTCTGATCACGTCCATCCTCAGCACAGGTGAGGTAATGTCTAACAAGCGATCTATTGTAGTATGCCTTGAATGTCCGAATTATTCCTGCATCCATCGGTTTAATATGAGACGTGGTATTTGGTCACATTTCGCAAAGTTAGCGAAGCACACTTGTGACTTGCAGCGTTGTAAAGCAAAATCACTTTAAGTCCACGTGACCGCATCTGTCTGTCAAAGTACATTAACCAATCACAAAACAGCTCACTTGTCATCCACGCCTTTGTATTGTGGTGTCAATCAAGGTGTAAATGTACAGCATCTTCAGTCGGGAGCTTTTACTGTCTAATTAAAACAACAACCCAGTTGGCCAGTTAATTAAGTAAACATCGCCGGGAGGTGTTGTTACTGTTCGTGAACACCCCTTCCACACTGGACTGTGAAGCAATTTACTGTTTATTTTACTGATTGGTGACAGCTACTTACCGTCCGGTTCCGGAAACCGAATTTCCGGATTATCGAGGCAAATTATATAGGCATAGATTGGTAACAAGCTGACATGGTCCGGGAGGCGAGACATCTGGATTATCGTAGTCCGGACTAACGGGGCTTCACTGTATATATATATAGTGTGTGTGTGTGTGTAACCGCAACTGGACTGTTTCAGGTGTGTATGTAGTGTGTATAACATCAGCTGAAATATTACAGATGACCCACCTTACCATCCGCTGAAGATCGATGTCTTTGTGTCAAGCCTGCTGTACCTAGGGAGCAAGTCATTTAGCCATTCTTTCGCAGCACTTGCCAAGTGAGTACAAGCCACTGTGTAGCCTCTAACCGAGCCCTACTAAACCAGGAATCTCAGATCATAGAAAATGTTGAACTGTTGAGGCTGCTAGTTTGCACTTGACCCTAGCCATCATATTGGTAAAATATTTCGTTTTATGAATTTCTGTTAGCTGAGCTTACTAGACAGGTTTTTACTAGATTCTGTCAACAGACCAGTTGCTTAGTCTCAGACTTTCATGTAGGAATTATTCCAAAGATAATATCAAGATTATATGAAGCAAGCACTGAGTGCTGGCACCTGCAGTTCCTGGTATAGTGTGAGTGTCAGACTGAGGAACATACTCCTTCCTGATGTAGGAATAAGACTATACTCTGAAAGGTTATGTTCCACAAAATAAACATGTTAAGATCCATAAGTACTCACCTTCTAAATACTGTTCAAATTACTAATTATTATTACGAAATTACTAAATAATTGATTCCTGTTCATACTGTAGTGCTTATTAAGTATGTTTTTTTCTGACATTATCATGGCTAAGCTATGAAATCTTGGAGCTGCGTTTGGATGATAAACCTTTTTATTACATAATTCAAAGTTGTACTGATATTGATGTCGATTCTAACATTGTTTTCACTTGCTTAATTGTTGTTACAATTTAACTAAAACAGGTAATCTTATGCAATGCTGAAGGCAGAATATTGGTGTCTGTGTCAAGATATATCACTGATATATTTACTGTTTGAATGCTTCTTCTCTTCAGATTTCACTCCTACCTGAAGTCCTTAGGGGAAACTGAAGAGGCCCAGATCTGCATCCTCAAGAGTCTTTACGAGGTCTTTAAGACTCACCAACAGGTAAGTATTTACGTGAAACATACAAGGCCCAGTTTTACATCCTGAAGAGTCTGTACAAGGTGTTTATGACTCAACAACAGGTACCTGTCTTATATGCTTCTTATGTACACAGACCATCAGGCGACCGGCCATGTTGGTGGTCAAGGCCTGGGTTGAGGAAGTGTTTTGATGGGACAATTTTAACGGGTATGGACTCCATTATCTACTGTAACTGGAACATTCCTTACTGTAGCATTAAACAGCAAACAAACAGTAGTACTTTTATTAAGTTGAGTTCAGTATCAATGTACGAAATGAAAAATACCTCAGTTTAAGGGTCAGTGGTTTGCGACCAATTTTGACACATTTTGACTTTCCGGTTACACCAGGCCAGCTGTGCGATCCCACTACGACCAAAAAGTGTTCACGGGTAATTTTTTGGGCAAGTGAGTTGAGACTGAGTTAAGAGCGATACGATCGGTTGTATAGTCATCGCAATATGGTCATACTGTGGTACGACAGTATTGGCGATTTTCCCTGCGAGAAGCCACGACTGGGTTGAAACCAACCAACAGTTTCTGCGACTGACTTGCAACCGACCTGCAATTGACATGCAACCAGTGCGACTGTTCATGCTATCGAGTACGACCGTATTACGACCAATGCGAGTCTGTGAGTTCTGTGCGACTTTAGTACGACCATGGCTTTTTGTAAGATCGCATCGAGACTTATACGACCTCACCAAGACTTATTCGCGATCGGTCACCAAAAAAGTTTAAAAACGGTCGTGACCGACTGAGATCATTCTGAGCCTCAACAACAGACTGAAAACACCTAGAGACGATGGACACTGAAATGACCCTGGTCCTTGCTTTGCTGTCGGAAACCCACCAACAAAAACAGGATATTGGTAATTGCACCTTGGCTATAGTTGAACACATATTCACGGCGAAGGAGAAGAAGGCGTCGATGGCATGAAGTTTGGATACGAGAGTGGCTTACCCCTTCGGAGAGACAAGACCGCTGTCAGTACTACCATCTTGTCCAGAAGTTGAAGGAAGAGAATCCAACTCAGTTCAAGAACTACATGAGGATGCCAGTCGAACGAAATTCTAGAAAGAGTAGGGCCCATGATAACTGGAGAAGGCACCAATTACAGGCCCTCTTTGGAAGCAGGGTTGAAACTCGCACTGACATTAAGACACCTAGCCACCGGTGACCAGTATGCAAGTATGGCCTACAGCTACAGCGTCAGCAGGACATCAGTTCAGTTCAACTAGGTACCCCTAGTTTGCAGAGCTATCGTAGAAGCCTACAGAGACGAGGTATTCAAGACACCTACAGCAGAGGAAGAGTGGAAGAAGATAGCCCAACAGTTCGAAGAAAGATGGCAAGTACCTCATGCCATAGGAGCTCTTGATGGTAAACACATCAAAATCTGTGCACCTCAGAGTGGAAGCGACTACTGGTGTGTCTACAAAAGCTGCTACTCCATCGTTCTGCTGGCAGTGGTGGACCACGATTACAAGTTCCTGTGGGTGGATACTGGAGGTCTTGGACACCAATCAGTTGCCCCAAATCTTCAATGCATCAAGTTTCAAAGAACGCTTGGAGAATGGTACACTTGGCATTGAACCAGCTGAGCCTAAATAAGATGATCAATCTAGAAACCGGCCCTACTTCATACTGGCTGATGATGCTTTTGCCATGAGAACATTTCCCATGAAGCCCTGGTCCAAGAGAAATTTGAGCAAAGAAGAACTGATCTACAACTACCGTATATCAAGGGGAAGACGTGTGGTTGAGAATGCCTTCGGTATTTTGGCTAACAGATGGATGTGTCTCATGACTGTGTTGCATCAAACCCCTGAAATTGTCCAGACCATGACAGAGTGCTGTATAGTACTTCACAACCTCTTGAGGTTGAGGCACCCAGGCATCCAAGAAGTCGAGGTTGACCATGATGACGACAATCATGGACTCGTGTTAGGTTCCTGGAGATGAGGCATCACTCTCGACGAAGACAACGGTCCTCCTGAAACCACAAACAAGGACCATACAGCTGCCCATACTCAGTGGCTGTACCTACAAGACTACTTCAAGGACCTAATGAGAGGAGCAGTTGCTTGGCAGGACAGAATGGTGACCCTCACATGCCCACCTCGAGGCTGTACCTACAAGACTACTTCAAGGACCCAATGAGAGGAGCAGTTGCTTGGCAGGACAGAATGGTGACCCTCACATGCCCACCTCGAGGCTGTACCTACAAGACTACTTCAAGGACCCAATGAGAGGAGCAGTTGCTTGGCAGGACAGAATGGTGACCCTCACATGCCCACCTCGAGGCTGTACCTACAAGACTACTTCAAGGACCCAATGAGAGGAGCAGTTGCTTGGCAGGACAGAATGGTGACCCTCACATGCCCACCTCAGAGGCTGTACCTACAAGACTACTTCAAGGACCCAATGAGAGGAGCAGTTGCTTGGCAGGACAGAATGGTGACCCTCACATGCCCACCTCGAGGCTGTACCTACAAGACTACTTCAACAACCTAATGAGAGGAGCAGTTGCTTGGCAGGACAGAATGGTGACCCTCACATGCCCACCTCGAGGGTTGTACCTACAAGACTACTTCAAGGACCCAATGAGAGGAGCAGTTGCTTGGCAGGACAGAATGGTGACCCTCACATGCCCACCACCTGAGGCTGTACCTACAAGACTACTTCAAGGACCCAATGAGAGGAGCAGTTGCTTGGCAGGACAGAATGGTGACCCCTCACATGCCCACCTCGAGGCTGTACCTACAAGGCGACCCTCCAGTTGCACATTGCCCACCTGAGGCTGTACCTACAAGACTACTTCATAGACCTAATGAGAGGAGCAGTTGCTTGGCAGGACAGAATGGTGACCCTCACATGCCCACCTGAGGCTGTACCTACAAGACTACTTCAAGGACCCAATGAGAGGAGCAGTTGCTTGGCAGGACAGAATGGTGACCCTCACATGCCCACCTCAGGCTGTGCCCACCCCTAATGAGAGGAGCAGTTGCTTGGCAGGACAGAATGGTGACCCTCACATGCCCACCTCGAGGCTGTACCTACAAGACTACTTCAAGGACCTAATGAGAGGAGCAGTTGCTTGGCAGGACAGAATGGTGACCCTCACATGCCCAGAGGCTGTACTTACAAGACTACTTCAGCTGAACCCTGGACCTAATGTTGCTTGGGAATGGTGACCCTCAGATGCCACCACCCCTGAGGCTGTACCTACAAGACTACTTCAAGGACCCAATGAGAGGAGCAGTTGCTTGGCACAGAATGGTGACCCTCGAGAGGCTGTACCTACAAGACTACTTCAAGGACCCAATGAGAGGAGCAGTTGCTTGGCAGGACAGAATGGTGACCCTCACATGCCCACCTCGAGGCTGTACCTACAAGACTACTTCAAGGACCCAATGAGAGGAGCAGTTGCTTGGCAGGACAGAATGGTGACCCTCACATGCCCACCTCGACGGTTGGACCCAGATATGTAATAACATTCCTTGGTGTGATGTGATTTGATGTCATGGGAGAACATTCCAGAATGTGGTGTGGTATGAAATCGAAACAACCATGTCTTTATATATTATACAGTATAGTGTATTAAAACTTATTAATCTGTCCACGTTAATGATTATGTCATTAAATAGTTAATTCTATCTTATTGTCTGTTTTTTTTCTGCATGAGTTGGGTTTCACAATGTGTATGCATGATAAGCAAGCACAGGGTTATATCTTTCACTTCTATTTATACTCAAGGGCCAAGCCTCTTTATTACACTCAATTTACAGCAAGCATGATCTCTTAATTCAAGTATATGAGTCAGAAGAAAATGGAAACGTCTTATTTTAAGTCAAGTCCAGTGAGACGACAATGCCTGTAGCTTATTACTTCAAATCAACTTGTATTATAAGGAAGGCAAGATTTCTGAGTGAACTTCTTTATTGGGAATAACACCACTTTTTGGAGTATTTCCTTACTCCTTCATCAGGTGATTGTCTTAATATTGCCTCTCCTCCACCTGATACAGGAGTAAGGACATATTCCGAAAGTGGTGTTATTCCCAATTAAGCTCACATCCAGACATGTTGCTTTTCTTATATATTCCACTTGTAAATGATTTAAGCCATATTATACCAAATAAACAAACCAATTTGTCATGAAAAGGAAGACAAAGATGTGTTGAAGCTTATAACAGGTCGCATTGAAACCAGTGTAATACACAGTACTCGCACAGGGGTCTTGGTGTGCTCGACACTGATTGTCATTGCTCGCACTGGGGTCTTGGTGCACTCGCCACTGATAGCGCTATTTGGCCGACATGCGACCACACCAGGACCCCACTGCGACCGATGCGAGCACATTGCGACCGAAATAGCGAGTGAGCCATCGGTGGCATCGGTTGCAATAGTTGATGCGAGAGTATGGAACCTTTTCATACACTCGCAGAACCCTCTGCAACTGATGGCAAGTGAGGGAGATTGTTTTGGCGAGTATGGCGAGCTTCCTAAGACCAAATGATGATCTCAGTGCGAGTCTGCGCGAGTGAATGCGGCAGAGAGGCAACAATCGGTCGCAGTGGGGTCGCAAGCTCGGTGTAACGGTGGTGTAAGGATTTGTCACTGTTTTGCAACTGTGAAAAAGCCAGCCTCCATTCTTGAATCCAGAATATTGTTAGATGCTGGCAGAAGTTTGTTGTTTTAATTTGGTATCCACACTTAGAAGATGAGTCACAAGTCAGGCATAAGAAGTCCATGAAGTGTCCTCCTGTCACTCGTATATGGGTACACGCAGGCTACTTGAGTCGATCCCGTCATGAAACATTGCGGCCATGTGTACAAGGGAAGTAACTCTGAATCTTTGCTGCCACAGACAGTTACTACAAACAATTCAGTCGTTACTTCCACAATTCAGTGCCTCCTCTTCCTTCAGATGATGGTGGTCCTTGTGGACAAACTGGTGAGGACACAGGTCGTAGAATGCTCCTCGGTGGCCAACTGGCTTTTCTCAAATGAGATGCTTCCTGACTTCTCCTGGTAAGTAAATATTGCAGAGTGTTGTGTTTCTGTAGCAAATATGAAGTAGGGGCTTTAACTACCAATTTTATGCTTGGTCAGTACCGATTCCAAGGTGACAAAGTTATAATTACATTCCATACGTCATTTAGGTGTATATAAGACATGAAATTTAGGTTTAAATGGCAGCAGATATGTATTTAGGAATCAAGTGGTTTGTTTAGAAATGTGATGTGTCAGTTCTATCACAGTTGTCAAATTTGAGGGTCCCTTGGTATTTGTAGCTTTCAATATTAACTTATGTGGCAAGTGTGGAACTATAATATACTAGTTTGGCAGTAACATAGCTGCCCATTTCCGCATAGCAGTTGGTAAAACAGAGGCCTTCAGCTTCTCTAACATGGTCATGTGTGGTGATTCATGAATGGCTTTTTTGTTCTGCAAAAAGCAAGTTATTGTATCAGTTTCTTCTTCATAGTAACATGGTATCAAGCAAGGTTTAATGTTCTTTTGGTCCTGCAGTTTCTACGTATGGGAGATAATGCATAGTACAATCCACAAAATGAGCAACCAGGTTGGAAAGTTACAACGCAAGGTAGAAGATGCTAAGGATAAGCTGGAGGCAGCACAGCGGAGGTTAGCGGACGGCCTTGACCCAGACCCTATCGAGGACGAAGACGTGCCGACATTAGAGCAGATTGACAGGATGGAGGAGAAGCTGGAGGCAACACAGAGCCAGCAGAAGAGGCTGTTTCTCATCATCTTCCAGGTGAGACCAACCTCATTCAAAACAGGTTGTTATATGATACCGCTCATGTTCAACATCTGACAATAAAAGATCTGATTTCCATGATGGTGAGGCTGGGAATTGAGTGTGAGTCCAGCACTGATTCCCCACATGGGCTTTAAGAGGATACAGATTTGGTGTGGGTGAAAAAACTCAGTCAGTCAGTTGATGGTGGTGGAGTCCAGCACTGCCGGGTTTTAAAGAGGATACAGATTTGGTGTGGGTGAAAGGGGTGAGGTGGGCGAGCTGTCTAAGGCGCTAAGCTGGTGATCGAGCCCAGTGACCGGGTGTAAAACTTGAGGTCAACTTTGTGTGCAGACTCTTTCAGTGTTGTCACAACCATGTGCACTTAAAAGAACCCACGAATCCGTTGGTATATGACCAGATGGTGACAACGTGAATATGTGCAAGCACCCAGTTGCGGGTACAGCAATGTGCAGTAAACTTGGACAAAGTACTGTGACTATGTGTCCCAGTCCACCCAGCTGTGAATGAGTACCTCGTAAGGATGGGGAAAGCCACATTAACTCGGTGTGCCTAGTGGCTGCAAGAGTTGTATGCTTCCCAGGGAGTTGAAATTGATAATATGTGCCATTCGAGATTGACATCCAATGATCGAGGGAAAAAACAAAGTGCCTTTGGATATTGGCGCTATACAAATATTAGCTAGGATATATTCATACTGTATCTTATTTTGAATGTACTTTAATTATCACTGAGTGTAATAAAAAAGGGAAAAAAAATATTAGCATGATAATAAAATGTAATGGTGCCTGCAGACAAACATTTCCTGATAGGGATTAATGGGTTCATTCCAATTCCAAATATGCTTTTGAAAAAGAATGGTTTCAGATTACAGATGGGGTCTTGATGGGGGGGAAAGGGTTTCTGAAAAAAATAGGATGCTCTCTCAATGCTGATAACAGGTTGTATTTGTGTTCAAATGTTTTGGATAGGGGGGACCTGTTAAAGGCTGTTTCTATAAATACAGCATTCTCATTGGTCCAGCCATGTTTATGTTTTCTCCTTTCTACCACTAATTTCATGTGGAGAGAAATCTGTAGGAAGTTACTGATAAGAACTTACCAGTTGAGGCTGCGGTAAGGACTGTGTTAAGATCTTGTTTTTTCCTTTAATTGTTTTGTTCATTTGTTTTGTTTTATAGTTACTTGTATATGTTTATAGATATGTGTAATGGTCTGAAACATTTTTCTGATCACTGAAACCTGACAACTGTTTCAGCGTTTTATCATCCTGTTAACGGAGCACCTGGCACGATGTGAAGGTGCCGGCATTGACTACAACACTCCATGGTACAAATGGGTCATAGAGAGACTCCAGCAGATTTTCCTACAGGTACAGCTAGGTTCATTGCTTCAACATTCCTTCTGAAGAACTCCGTTTTCTGGCAAAATAGATTCAGACTTATTGTTGCTTGCCTAATAAGCTGCAGTGAATGTTAATGTTATCAGTAGATGGAATATTATTCCTAAAATATACAATGCCGTCCGGTAATTCCGTGCACCTAAGCACATCGATCGCAACACGGCCACTAACGTCTCTTATTTTTGTGGTTTACGTGACTAAACATGCTGATATGCATCATATTTACCTAGAAATATAAGTTTTATTGACGACTATGAGATTCGAACGTTGCATTATGCCATACGGTTGACCTTACTGGCGTTCAGACGACATCGCTTGCTGTCTGGTAATTCTGCACAGCAACTGATGCGCATAACATCCAGCTATAGATCCAAAGTATTGAAGAAAAAGGTTTCAAAGTCTGAAGAAAACGAATTTTCATAAAACTGTCAATTTATCTGTCAATTACTGTTTATTTACTTACCATTAGTGATTAAAAGCCAGTCCCTTGTAGAAATGTCCCTATTTCAAGTGTAAATGTGGTCGCAGACGATGTTTACCTTCGATAGGGAAGTACGCTATTGCAGCTGCGCAGAATTACCAGACGCGTGGAATTACCAGACTTGCTTGTATATGAAATCCCATTTTTTGTTTCAGCATCACAAGTTGGTGTACAAGTATATCAGTACCCTTGAGACACTTCTCTTCACAGCAGACATTGACATTCACATCCTGGAAATATTTCAACAGTTTTGTGCTCTCCGCTCATAAAGGCCAGTTGTTGGTCAGTGTGTGAGACTCCTTCCCAGCAGTGTGTCGACCATTTTCCATGGAATAATCTCCCATGGTGTGAGAAATTAAGACATTTGAACAGTTGTGAATATTTTAAAATACACACAGTCAAATGAAATGATTTCTTCAACAGATCATGCAGATAAAAGTTTGGAATTCCCTCTTATTTTTTAGATTTTACATTGTACATAAGAGCAGTAGCAGTAGAGTACATGTATGTGGGAACCTATGGAGGAGGTTGTTGTCGTGGACCATCTCACTGTAGAATGAAGGACATTCCCTTTGATCTCAAACAATCAGTTGAATTCAGAGGGAAATGATCTGAGACTGAAGCAATGTTTCAGATTGTCAGTTGGAAGCAAAGTGTTAACAATATCTGGACTTTGGTCACTGATCTTAACTTGGCTTATTCTGAATGTGTTGAATCTAAGTCAAATGGTGCATCTAATGTTGTCATTTTGCATTATTTTCACAAATCTGTAATGCCAATTACTACATAAACAAGTTTTGACTAGAAATAAATCTGAAGTGTGCTTGGAAGTTGTTTCTGGTTTAATGGTCAGTAGTTGAAAGAACTTAGCAGTTCTTGAAAAAAATTGAGAGTGGTCATTGGTACTGTTTCAGTGTTTGTCAACCCTTTGCTTTTGACAGAACTTGGCCTCCAGATTGGTTATGCTCAAGTGTGAATATTCCAGTTAACTGATATGAATGCATGTGCACATCTGAAACCCAAGATAACAGAATTTCCCTTAAAAGAAACTGGAAAATCAGTTTTATGTTTTTGTCTGCTTGCCTCACGGGGCCAGCCCGCCGATTGATGTTGCAGTAGGAGCATTGTTGTCCCCTGACCGGTGATACCCACACAGTAATGGTCACCATTGTCACTCTTTGTCAGAATTTTGCCTGTATGGCAAGACTACACAAATGAAAAACTTCAGATTTTTTTGTTCAATGTAATCAACTGAAATATTTATTTTTAATGTTATCTTTATTATACTTGGATGGAATTTGTTGAAAGTTTCAATAATTGATCACTATATTATAACTTAGATGATAAACTGACCTGAGGAAGAGATTATCATTTCGTTGAAGCCTTTAACTTTAAACTTATATTCCATTTCAACATTGGCTACATCATGTACATAGGGGCTAACACCATCGGTAACAAAGCATCCCTCATGTTGATCGTCTGAAAGTCTTCATAGTCTGTATTTGATTATTATATGCTGTGTAAGCGCTTCAGTTTCATGTCTGTGAATGTTTTAGAAAAACTGTTCAATTTATCATGTTAAAATTGAGGAAATGGATTCTTCTTGTGTTAAATATTTTAGTTTGTTGCCTGATGTAAGTAAATCTTTTACTAGTTAACAACTATAAGAACCATGTCATCACTGAGAGAAGAAACATCTTGTTGTAAATAAACATGATCCCCATATAATGTACTGTGTTCTCTCATGTTGTGGTTAGGACAATCCACGGTGCTATTGGCATGTTTTGACTTCACTATTGGTGTGTTTCTGGTGAGGATGATGTACTGTGCTATTGGTGTGTTTCTGGTGGGGATGATGTACTGTGCTATTGGTGTGTTTGTGGTGAGGATGATGTACTGTGCTATTGGTGTGTTTTTGGTGAGGATGATGTACTGTGCTATTGGTGTGTTTCTGGTGAGGATGATGTACTGTGCTATTGGTGTGTTTCTGGTGAGGATGATGTACTGTGCTATTGGTGTGTTTTTGATTAGCTGCATGAAGGTGGCATCACTGTGGTATCTTAAATCGAGGAAGAGTGCTAATTGTTCCTAATTTCTGATGAAACAATAATGTTCAACACACTGGTATTGTAATAAAGAATGTCTTTGATGTCTTTTAGAAATGCCACCTTACAAGTGAAGGCACCTGAGAAATCTTTCTTCCCTCAGGATACCTGTAACATCAGACAAACATACACAGGGCAGCAGGCTCTTGTTACATGGAGGCACCTTAGGGCAGTGAAAACATAAACCTTACATCTACAGCATTGATTACAGTTACATTAATTACTGTCTACTCAAAATGAGCACCACGTTTTCTTTGGAAAACTATCGGTATTCCTCTATGAGTGAGCGAGTTACAATTTTCTGTTGCATACCTCTGCTGTATACTGACTTGGACATCTGTGTCTCTATGGACATGACCAGTCAGGTTTGTGCTTTTACCATGAAACATCCCTCGCCTACATCACCTTCTGCCTGCTGATGGTGGAGACAGTTTCCAGTAGTGGGAAGACACACCCCTGCCACTAGAGTTGAGGATACTTCACTCCTCATGCACAACAAAGATATGACTTTTTTCAATTTTCTTTATTAGCAGTAAATGTACAGTTTTACATATGCACACATGATGGTGTTTCTACCATGATTACATCACCATTCCCATTATTGTATAACCGTGTGAAACATTCACAAATTCATAATGCCATCAGTTCTGACATGGGTACTTTTGTAACTTGGTGTAACTGCAGTTGTGCTAAAGCTGAATGAATGCTAACTTCACAGAGCTACCGCCTCCTGGAGACACAAAGGATCATTAAGTATATCCATAGTCCACATAAATCCCAGTGTGACTAGTTGGAGCAATCATTCATTCTGATCAAAACCAAAATATTTCAATACTGTTGACAGATCAGTGCAGCTGATCAGAATTCAGAAATCTGTGACTCTGCCTTTGCGTTCCCAGTCCCCGTAACGAGTTGGTTCCGGCCCGCGAGGACCCCCAATTTCCCCTGTGATGGGATTTATGTCATCAGGAAATCGCTCTAATGGTTCCTTCTCCAGAACTGGGTTATTTTGCTCATCCGAGGTTTCCATTGGGTCGTCCAGTTTCCCACCAGGGGTTTTGCCCTTCTTCCTACCAGATTTCTTCCCATCTTCAGAGTGATGGCGCAGACTGGCGAGGACTGGAATCCGAGCCCCACTTGATGTTAGGATATTGGCTGTAATGATAACACATCATATTGGTCAGTGATACAAATCAAGGCAAGCAAAGAGTTTAGCATTTGTTTCCCAGGACTTTTAAAGGTCACATGCAACAAAAAAACCAAACATAATTAAAACACAATTATCACTTATTCATGACATATAATATACATTGCTGATTATGAAAAAACAAATAAACATTACAAAATTATAAGCGTACAATAGCAAATCAAAAGTGCAATATTTGGTACTTGGGTTTACTTCCCTCGAAACGAAGCACTGGGAGACCGAACCCAGTCAGAGCGGGTGGGTGTGCACTCAAGTGTAACGAAGTCTTTCATTGGCTGGTTCATTTGCCGGTACGCTGAGGGCTCATTGTGTGTGTGTATATAGAGATGTAGGGTTTTGTAAATACATGCTCATTTTTTCTGCATTTGCGTTCGATCCAATCACCAAATACTGAGATGGTGAACTACTGCGTGGCTGGAAACTGTCGTTCATTCAAGTACAAAGCATGACTTGAAACTGACAATTTGAGTTTGCACCGGTTTCCGGCCGATCCAGTCATCTGAGAAAAATGGATGCAGTTTGTTTGCAACCCACAGACATAATAACATGTCATGTGTACAAGTATCACACCTGCCTTTCTGTGTAATTACATAATGTGACAGAGACAGAACTCAGGTGCACGAACCATACATCAATGTATTTTGTTTATGGTGTATAGTCTGATACGTTTCAAGTTGAAATTGCATGTGGTCAATGATTGAAGTTGTGTATTGCATATTGTCATTAGCAGACAGGCAGGCACACGCATAGGTGTCAATAAAACAGACATTGAGTTTTGTCTGTGACAGATACTGCTTATCACAATCAACATATTTTTCTATGTTTCCATAGACATGTATTAAAACATTTCAGTTTTCAAGCTTTTTACGAGTCGCCTTCCCGGTTCAAGCTGCACGAACCTAATCACTGCGCATGCGCTATGGGCGTAGCGCAGCACAGCTTCACCCCAGCTGTTGAAACCACTGAATCGTTTGATGAACTCCGATTTTCTGCGGGGTGGGGGTTGGTGTGTGTGTGTGTGTGTGTGTGTTTCATCGCGTTATTTTTCAACTTCATAAGTTAAATTTGCAAATTTGATAATTTGTTACTGTAAGTCCACACTGAAAGGTATCAGAATCTGCAAAGTTGTGTTTTGCGTTGCAAGTGACCTTTAAGATTTTCTCTACTATAAAGCTGAAGCTCACAAGCACTCCAGAAAATATACATTGACCACTGAGTGAATCATGACTAAAATTATTTTCACAGAGCTCTGATTCTCATAAACCATACAATATTCACAAAATTATGAGAGCCAACCGTTATCATATCCCAGTTGCATAGATGGACGCTCATGATTTTCTAAATATCTAGTCCACACTCGATAATTTACAGACTGCCACCATATAGACCTTGTTAATGTTATGTAAGTCAAATCCCGATGAGTCGAATCGCTGGGGACCAAGTAATAAATTCGACTTATCGATGTATTCGAGACATAGGTATGTCTATGAGGGAAGAAAAAAAGATGATCCAGTCCTAATTCTTCCGCCTAAGCATTTGTTTATCTAATGATTTCCATATCACTAATAGGGACACCTTATCAGTTCCTGTCTGATTAGCACAGACAGTGATTTCCGTAAAATCACTAATCTGCCTTTTGAACTCCCCCGTCAATGGCGGAAAGGTGTGAGCCGCGCTGGTCAGTTTGCTACACCAATCAACTTCTCATTGACTGACTTCGGCTTATGTATACAAGATTGCTGTTATTTGAATCTCATGGGACCAAATTTCCTTCTCGAGTCATCGTGTGTATTTATGAGACGAATTCGTGTAACCAGTATTCAAATGATGACAACTATAACAGGGAATGGTCGGAACCGACAGGTACTTCGAGTTATGCATAATATTCGAGACACCGGCATTCGACTCATCGGGATTTGACTGTAGTTTGAAGTAGATATAATATAAAAAAAACATGATGATATGTCTGCAGTGTAATTATCTGGATTGTATTTGTCAGTGGTAATAAGTTCATCATGTTGAATGCTCTCCTAATGATGTTGTTAAAATAAAATTATATCCCTCACCTTTTATAATGTCCAAAAATTATGTAATTAGTTTTGTAAACACAGATTTATGCACCCTGGTACTGAGGTAGCAATTAAAAATTATAACACCATAAATAAAAGTCTAATCACTAGTTTTCTTTAAAATCTGGTTTATTTGCATCAAGACAGCAAGACTCTATTTAGTAAATTCGAAATCAGATGACATTAAATGATGTAGGTTATAAGCTTTGTTTGTTTTCACAACCCTTACCATTCCACATTTGTCCTTAGTCCTTCCACCCAAATTTGTCTTCATTTAGCATTTGGATTATCTTTACTGTCATAAGGATATAAGGTAATATATACAATACATCTGAGGCTCAAGGAAAACGGATGAAAAGAGTGTTGTTCGATTAACATACAAATTCCTACTATCACATATTCTTGACCACTGGGTTTAGCTATACTGTGTTGTGTTGCTGAACTATTCTTCTTTCCAGTATCAAATGAGTGAAAACAGCTTGAAATGTAATTGTTTTCTGCAAATATTTTGCATAATCATCAACTGATGGTGGCTCAGTCTTAGATCTACAGTCAACCAAGCATTCCAAATGTTTCGATGCGTTCGCCCTTGGCTTGGTTCACCGGTTTCATAATGGAGTAATATTGCCTAGCATATATATCATAAACTTCAAAGGATTTACATTCAAGTATCTAAGCGTTACCGTGGAACGCAGTTGCTAAATTTCAGTAATAACAGCCAGTGCACTTTGCAATAACTTACATAACGAACTTGAAAGCGCTCTCACGTTTCTCCCCACTGCAGCCATGTTTACATTTGAAGGTGAAGGTCGTGGATATAGAAGCGGGTTGTACAAAAAGGTTGTATTCTCCTAATATGTGAATAGAGTTTAATATTTTGTTACATTGCTGTGGTCGTCGAAACGAAAGAAATGTCGAGGGTTTGTGTCATATGTATAATTTTAAGTTTCTTTATAAAGACATCTTGTGTAATTGACCGTATCGCGGATATTACTTTATACGTCCTTTTCGGAGGTCTTTTGAAACGTGTTTTATAAAAAACCTGAATGGGTCAAGCTGGTTCCTGGCTTTCTATGCGCAGTTTCTTCTTGTATATAGAAGAGACGGAGACTAGCATGAGAGGAGTGAGATTGCTTTCAACAACCTTTCAAACAGTAATTTCGGTTGTATCGTCAGCTAATGTTGTAGAGAGAGCTAAATGGCACAAGTTCTTGGACGTTTACCCGTTTAGTGACACACGAGCACGGGTATCGTGATGTTACGCCTATAACCATTATCAGGACGAACCGGGATTCGAACCCAAGATCATTGGTTTACTAGGGACTAACCTATGCCCAACCATTTACCGCGCTTTGCCGAGTGGGTCACGAGGAATTACGGTTTATCAGTCATCATCAGTCCGAGTCTAGACCTTATTATTTAAACAGATAATCAGGGTTTTTTCCTTATCTTTTCTGGGGTTAAAGCGTCCGCTCGTCAGGCCGAAGACACGGGTTCAAATCCCCACATGGGCACAATGTGTGAAGCCCATTTCTGGTGTCCCCCGCCGTGATATTGCTGGAATATTGCTAAAAGCGGCGTAAAACCATACTCACTAACTCTAATCTTGTCTAATTCTAGACTTTGGAATTATTGATAACGGACATGGGAAATACATAAATTGTTAAAGTGTGTTATATATTTGAGGGATTACGGCCTAATCCGTCGAATTTTGAACAGTCAGCAGTGCCGGTCCGTCGAATCATGAGTGGCTCTGTGCTAATCGGTCGAATTTCAGACCGTGTTAACACTAAGTCTAAGTTCATTGATTAAGGGGTCGGCTTGTATTGGTTTAGACTACATGTTTTCTCAGATGAGGAAGCGGATGATTGCAATGAACTATCATCTTCTTGTTGTATTAGTTGATTATAAAACTGTGAGTACAGGTAATAGTACAACTTGAAATTGATCTTAAGTATCTCTGTTCATATATAAATACATGTCAAATGTGGAGCATTTCACACTTTCGAAATTCTAAACTCAATAACAAAGAATGAATGAGTGAGTTTAGTTTCACTCATCAATATTCCAGCTATATGGCGGTGGTCTGTTAATAATCGAGTCTGGACCAGACAATCCAGTGATCAACAGCATGAGCATCGATCTGCGCAACTGGGAGCTGATGACATGTGTCAACCAAGTCAGCGAGCCTGACCGCCCGATCCCGTTAGTCGCCTCTTACGACAAACAGTCGCCTTTAGTGGGTTGCTGAAGACCTATTCTACCCGGATCTTCAGGGGTCCAATAACAAAGAAATTACCATTATAAATGTATACAGAAAACCATCCATTAAACTCACTATCCATGATTTAGATATACTATCAAAATTCATAGGTCCCAACACCATTATACTCGGAGAGTTGCCCCAACTTTATTTAATTTTATGATTAATGACATTTTCCCAGAAAAAACAACCCCCAAAATTTCTACAGCTAAATTTCTGGACCTCCCCACGTCTGTTAAACAAATCAGCAGTAAAACCCAAACTATGCTAAATCATATCCAAAAATGGACTCAAAGTGGAGTTTCCATATTAACGTCAAAAACACCGTGGGCATTCTATTCAAAACACAGCGAATGCAAAATCATACCCCAAACTGCACCTAAATAACCAAGAAATTGAATTTAAAAAAGGAAGCTAAATACTAAGGAGTAACTTTCGACCAACCCATGACATGGACAACCCATATTCATAATTTGGTCAACTCATGCCCAAAGGATTTAAACTTACAGAGCGGCGACATCATTGATTGTGTTGGACACATGCTCGGAGCATGGCGATCGTGTGTAACATTCCTACAATGTATATTCCTATATATTTCTCCTTAGGAATGCATTTTATTTAATGCATCAATTTCTCATTGTATCATATAAGTAGGCAAAGATAAGTACAAAAGTTCAAAAATAAAGAGAGTCAAACCATCCAACATCCCTCGAGTCTTTTTTTTTTGAGTATGATCCACTGTTTTGATAACTAATGGGGCGGTGGGGTAGCCTAGTGGTTAAAGCGTTGGCTCGTCACGCCGAAGACCCGGGTTCGATTCCCCACATGGGCACAAGGTGTGAAGCCCATTTCTGGTGTCCCCCGCCGTGATATTGCTGGAATATTGCTAAAAGCGGCGTAAAACTAAACTCAGTCAGTCAGTCAGTTGATAACTAATTAATAGCTAAGATCACACTGCTCATCCGTTGAATGCATTTTACTACTCTTAAATCAGAAATTCGACGGATCGGTACACGACCATTTGAGGACGCCTTGATCTCAATAACTTTAATAAGATATTTCTGTACGATTGTAATTAGGCATTGATTCTAACAGACATTTCTTGCAAGAATATATATTTTAGGTACTCTCCAGTCATGGAGGCGTGAATCTGCCTATGTTGCGTGTAGCAATATTCTCGAGTGTCACGATAGTGGTCACTGGTACAAATATATTCATACGCGGCTGGATCTCTGCTGCAGCACATTCACTTTATTATATTGCCAGAATGGGTGGGATTTCGTATATCAAGTGAAGACATCAGCTCAGCTGGTTTATTGTTGGAACGTCTCTTAAGCTAGTTCATGTCAACGACCATTTTTTCGCCAAGGTTGACGTGTTGTTTGAATGGGCTTCTTGGCCAGCAATGGTAGAACAATCAAACAACTGGACTGCCCTTTCTTTCCATCCTATGAGAATTATACATTAGGACATAAACATGTTATGTTTTCAATGCAGAGAGAGTTACCTTTAGTTGTGCAGATGCGAACTAAAAATTGGACGCGCAGTTAAAGTAACCGCACCTTTCTTTTTTGTAACCTGTGATCGTACAGTTATTTCAAAATGGAGTAGTCCCACTGTGCACGTGCTAGACGACTGAAACCTGGGGAGATGGTTTAATGATATGTGTGTGATTCGGCTGACTGCGTATCGTAATACCCCAACAGTTATCAATCCCTGGTTTGTCGGTGTCATCGGTTCCCAACTGCGCTGATCGATGCTCATACTGTTCATTGGCGGATCCAGAGGGGGTGGATCTTTTCTCCGTTGGCTGACAACCCCCACCCCCACCCCTCAAAATTCCTGGATGCGCCCATGCTGTTGATCACTGGATTGTCTGGTCCAGACTCGATTATGTACAGACCGCCGCCATATAGCTGGAATATTGCTGAGTGCGGCATAAAACTAAACTCACTCACTGGTTTGTCGGTTCCAGAAATGATAGGCATCAAGGCGCCGTGTGAGTTAACTGTAATATATATTGAGTGAATGAGTGGGTTTAGTTTTACGGCGCTTGTCTCAATATTCCAGCAATAGGTGGGGGGACACAAGAAATGGGCCTCACACATTGTACCCATGTAGGCACTCGAACCCGGGTCTAAAGCCCCTTTCACATGGACACTTTTACTCACATGGCTATTTATACTTACATAAGTATTTACTTACAGTGGCATGTGAACGCATTTGCTTACGTGAGTAAATATGCATCTGAAGTAAATGGACATAAGTAAAAGTATATTTGCTTTACATAAGGGGGGTCTAGTAAATGTATATTTACTTATAAGTATAAATGCTCCTGGAGTATTTTGGTCATGTGAACAGGTTTCAAGTTTGCTTATGTAAGCATTTTACATCGAAGATACAAGAAAGTCATTAAACCAATTCTAAATGCACAATATCATGCCTAATCATGTTATAGATAAGCACTGAATACATAACTGATCACAGAAACAAAACTGCTTCAAACTATTCCAAAGATTATGACTTCATAGGGTATGCTGCATCAAGCAAATTCACGTTTGACGTTGATGCTTGCTTGTCTGGGAAAATTTGCTTGTCTCCCCTTTGTTCTGAGCTGCTGCAATCAAGCTTACGGCCTTCATTGTTGACTTTCTCTATCAGAATGACCGATGTCCGTTGGTGCCGGGAAAAAACAATGGTATCTGAAAGCTCATTTTATTCATACCTCGTAAAAAAGCTATGGTCGGCACCAGAATTCAAGGGTCGGTCGGGTAATCGGAACCACAACATATTTTTGTTTAGGCCTAACAGTCTGAACAACCATTAGGCTATCCCACCGTCCCTGTTACATTGAAGAATACGTAACGTTCACTTCACAAAGATGATGGCGTGTTAATGAGAAGAAAAGAATACACAACCCTTACTTACATTACATCTAAAGTAACTTGTACCTAGATCTCTTAAAATTTAAAGGTATTTGTGTAGCTTTGGATTTTGTTTTATCGTGACTGTTGAGTATTTTCAATATATTATTGAGTATGGGGTGCGTCTTTAACCAGGGATAATCTACGTCTTCTATTCTCCCTGCTTTAACCGATTTTGAGTAATATCACTTTCGACTGAGTTTCATAACCAAAACCTGCACCAATGGATATAAAATCGAACAAAGTGTAGATTACACACTTACGAACAAAACTGGTAACTGCATAATGTTTGATTTTGCTCAGTTATTGAGTTATCTGTGTCTCGCGTGCGTTATTATACTTTACCCTAGTCTCAAGCAGCAGTTGTCAGGTCTAATCCCGGAGAATACAAGTGCCGGTCGCTAAAACGACCCCTTTAGACAGACAAAGAAAAATGTGCCTATTGATAAATGTCTAAGAATGTTCACACACTTTAACTGTCATACGGACAAAGGCAACACTTTGCTAATCAGCTGATCAGTTATTGTCACACAATGGGGGCGGTGGGGTAGCCTAATGGTTAAAGCGTTGGCTCGTCACGCCGAAGACCTGGGTTCGAATCCCCACATGGGCACAATGTGTGAAGCCCATTTCTGGTGTCCCCCGCCGTGATGTTGCTGGAATATTGCTAAAAGCGGCGTAAAACCAAACTCAGTCAGTCAGTCAGTCACACAATGAACGGTGCCATTTTGTTCAATATTATGTGAAACAGACTATAACGGTAAAGTGAACTGGAAGTGCTTGGCCCTTCTGTTCACATGCGCATAGTGAACAAAGCATCTCGCAGATTCGGCGGAATAAACCGTGAACTGTGCAGCGTTAGTTTTCTAGGGTGACATTCGGTAGGTATTCCCCGAGATCAGTGAGTTATGCTTCGTTATACACCATACCATCGGTGACCTACTTTGACAACCTGGGACGGCTGTTCAGCGCATGTGAACGATCTCTGAACGATGACCACTGGGAGTTGTCCAAATGTTCAGAGTCAGACGACCTACTGTAAACAGACCGTGCATGCATTATTAGATGCTCTGTGACATCTGTAGCAATACTTACATGTGATCTATATCTTCGAGTATTTCTGTAGTCTTAAAAGTCACGCAAGTTCCAACGGTATATTTGTGTCCAGAGTGAAATAATGCTGGCTATTGTTTAGCCGCGATTCAGGTGACGAATTATTGTCAGTACAAATATAAACCAGGAAAACAGTTTCATGCACGATTAAGATATCTGGAAGCTGCTCATGATAGCTGTACCTGGCATTTGCTATGTGCGCAGTTTGACAAATATGCAGCATGTGTATTACATTGTTAAATTGTCTGAGATTAGTATTATTACTATGTGATAAATGTGATGTCACGTGATTGTTCATCCCAGTGTGCATGCATCATTATATGGCTACATGTCATTGACACATAAATGAATCACATGTTGTATAGATGAATAAAGCACGTCAAGAGTCACAATATTGTACGAATAAATCTCAGCATGTGTTAATGTTAAATCACATTTGTTACAATGTGTTAAATCACTTCAAGATTGAAAATGGAGCATTATGAATTACATTATTTACAATGTGTTACAAATAAATCACTGCATGGTGGAAAGTGCAGCATTTAATGTATCACATTTGTTACAATATGTTATAAACAAATCACTGCATGCTTGTGAAATGCAGCATTAATGAATCACATTATTTACAGTGTGTTATAAATAAATCACTGCATGGTGGAAAGTGCAGCATTTAATGTATCACATTTGTTACAATATGTTATAAACAAATCACTGCATGCTTGTGAAATTCAGCATTAATGAATCACATTATTTACAGTGTGTTATAAATAAATCACTGCATGGTGGAAAGTGCAGCATTTAATGTATCACATTTGTTACAATATGTTACATCACTTGCTTGTGAAATGCAGCATTATGTTATACAACATAAATCAATCACTGCATGGAAAGTGCTTGAATCACATTTGTTATGTTATAAACAAATCACTGCATCACATTATTTACAGTGTGTTATAAATAAATCACTGCATGGTGGAAAGTGCAGCATTTAATGTATCACATTTGTTACAATATGTTATAAACAAATCACTGCATGCTTGTGAAATTCAGCATTAATGGATCACATTATTTACAATGTGTTATAAATAAATCACTGCATGATGGAAAATGCAGCATTTAATGAATCACATTAGTTACACGGACTGACTGAGTTTGGTTTTACGCCACATTTAGCAATATTCCAGCTACATCACGGCGGGGGACACCAGAAATGCTATTAGTTACAATGTGTTATAATTAAATCACTCTGTGCTTGTGAAATGAAGCATTAATAGATAACATGTCTGCGACCATGTATGTTATGATGTAAACTTTATGAGGATTGTGTCTAGTAAACAACGTGTGTTGCTGTTTGTATCAACAGTGTATGTATTCCATCATGTGATCGCTGTCTGAAGGTCTGTTTGGGTGACTGACCTCGTGAGCATGGCTGCCATGGAATAAGACTCACAGTTGAAGCTTAGTGTAAATTCTACTTGTGTATTGTAAGTTACTTGTTTCACTTTGTCCTCAGAAGTTTATAAGGGCCAATGGGGTAGCCTAGCCTCAGGGGCGAATCCAGGATTTTGAAGAAGGTGGGGTGCTCATAAAGCATGAAGTCCAAAGCTTAGGGGAAAATGCTCCTCAGGGACATTTTTTTGGAGGGAAAAGGGGTGGGGTGGATGGTGTGTGTGTGTGTGGCACGCACACACACCCCACACTCCCCCTCTGGATCCGCCCCTGCTAGTGGTTAAAGCGTTCGCTCGTCACACCGAAGACCTGGGTTTGATTCCCAATATGGATACAATGTGTGAAGCCCATTTCTGGTGTCCCCTACCATGATATTGCTGGAATATTGTTAAAAGCAGCGTAAAACTAAACTCACTCACTTCCTAAGATATTTAAATGGCAATCCTGACTGTAACTTTTGTTATGGTGCTGTTTTTAGTAGACGTGTTCAAACTGTGGACTACTTGTCCAAGTGAGTATCAGTGCAATGCAACTGTTTCTGATAATCATGTAGTGTTGGAGAAGGCCACAGGATGATCAGCTTGCAATTGGAGACTCTCTTCTGAACTGGGATTTTGATGTTTATTGTTTAACACCATACTCTGCAAAATTACACCTACATGATGGCAGTATGTAAATAATCGAGTCTGGACCAGACAATACAGTGACCGACATCATGAGCATAATTCTTTGCAATTGGGATATTTGATGACATGTCAACCAAGTCAGTGAGCCTGACCACTCAATCCTGTTAATCGCCTTATGACAAGCATGGGTTGCTGAAGACCAATGTAACCCAGATCTTCAAGGGTTTGTGAATTCTGAAGGCATAACAGGTTATAATATCACATCAAAATGCATATCTTCTTTAATTCAACTAAATATTTTTAGTGAATACAGTGATAATACCATACTAATTCTATTCCTTTGTTTCAGATCCTCATCTGATGCCAATGATGAAATCTGCAGGTTTGAAATGAAAGTTTCTGCCCAGGCAGACAACCAGTTATACCATCACAGAAATGTAGAGTGACACAGCTGACCTTCAACAATGTCTGAAGGTCAAGGTCAGGGGACAACTCAAACAACACCCGCCTCCTCTGCCACAACTGCTGCCAACCCTCCAAGTACTGCAGGCTACCCATCTGCTGTTCATGTTGCCACACCCAGCTCCGAGAGCTACCCATCAGCCTCTCATGTTGCCACACCCAGCTCTGAGAGCTACCCATCTGCCTCCCATGTTGCCACGTCCAGCTCTGAGAGCTTCATGGTGTTCAACATACATGAGGCGACTGTCACCCTGCCTCAGACTCAAGACTTCCATGCAGCCACAGCCCTGAATCTCAAAACTCAGGACAATGATCCACCACAGCCAGCTGACTACACATTTGGTAACCTTCAATACAGCATTAAACCAGCCAAAGCCAGGAATGATCTTTCTCTTGCTAACAAGGTCCGTCTTATTAGAGAGTCTGAGAGCACTGGAAAAAGTCAGAGACAGTTAGCTGCAGAGTTTAGTATATCTCTGGGATCGGTGAATAACATCCTGAGGCGGAAGCGTGAGTATGTTGAGGCATACGAGAACAGTGATTGTCCTACTCCACCTGCCAAACTCCCCAGAAGGATATTTCCAAAGAAACCTGATTTTGATGTTTTGAATGCACTTATTGTGAAATGGGCAGAAATAGCCCAAAGCAAAAATATTCCTATATCCAGATCATTAGTGCAAGAGAAGGCCAAAGAGTTTGCAAAGAAGCTGAACATGTACAGTTTCTCTCCTTCCCAGGTATGGCTAGAGAACATCCAGAAGATCCTTAATTTGCCTCTGCACTCAGGTACAGAGAACTCTGACCTGACAGCCAAGTTGTACACAGTGTGGATGAAGATGTTGCCATACCTGGTGCAGGGTTATGAACCAGAGAATGTGTTTACCTGTGGCGAGACTGCTCTGTTCTACAAAGGACTGCCAGACAAGTGCTATATAGAGGGTGGTGTGTGTCTTGGCACTCACCATAATATCAGTTTTGAGGATCACCGCTTCACCCTCCTGTTCTGCTGTAGTGCTACTGGGGAAAAACTTCAGCCCCTTGTGATTGGGACAAACTCTTACCCCTTCTCTTGCCAGAGTCTCAACTCCCTTCCAGTCACGTGGAGGAGTCAGCCTAAGGCTTGTATGACATCATCAATCTTCGCAGAGTGGTTACAGCGACTTGACCTAGCAATGGAAAACCAAGGTCGTCGGATTGCATTGTTCATGGACATGGCGCCGGCTCATCTGTCCAGTCTTGTCCTGAAGAATGTGAGTCTCAAATTCTATATGGACAACTCCTCTTCATATCTCCAGCCTCTGCAGCAAGGCATCATCACAGCCTTCAAGTCGCATTATCGTAAACGTTTCCTCCAGGCTATCCTGGCCCGAGTGGAGGCCAGTGAGGAGGCAGCAAGTGCCCTGAAAAACATCACAGAGCTGGACGCCATCTACTGGATCAGGTCCGCCTGGGACAATGTGAAAACATCTCTGATCTGTAACTGTTTTGATGCTGTTGGCTTCAGCACATCTGAAGCTTTGTCTGATGATGGCACCAACAGCCTGTTGTCAAATCTCCCTGAGCTGGTCGAGGGAAACTGGTCAAGCACTGAAGTTCACACCAATGTATGCTGAGGTGTATTTGCAGTTTGACTCCCAAGTCCTCTGTCATGTGTATGAGGAAGCTGAATGGGAGAAGCAGCTGATTGCAGAAGCACTAGGTCGGCCCATGATTAAAACAGAACCAGAGGACACTTACGGGGAACTGTTCAAGCAGAAATTCTCTGACAGCTCTGGTATGCATAGCCAGTTAGATTCCAATGTGGTTCTGCAGAATGAAGCTTTAGACTGTTTGAGTAAGCTGAAGTCGTTTGCTGTTAATGACACTCACTTGCTGACTAAATTGTATTCACTTGAAGAAACCATGCTGGAGTCCATCAGCGCCAAGAGACGGCGTGCAAAGTATCGGAGCATCAACATTCTTCATATGCAGTGACTTTATTGCACAGTATATGATGTCTTTATACGGGCATACTTAACCCAGGGGATCATGGGTGTGACTCCTTTTACTTTTCAGCTGCCAGTATCATCTACTCACGTGTTGAAACATCATGGTTGGTGTGATGTTTGTGCCAGACATTCAAGCTTTCAATACAGTCAGCTCCTCTCCTGCATTCTGTTTCCAGCCTTGATTGCAGTAGCTTTCCATGCCATGCTTGGCCAAACTCACTGGTTCAATCCAGTAAGGTCACAAAACGTTGATAACCATTATACAGAACAATCATGGAAAGAAATAATGAAAGTAGTCCAGATTATACCTCTAAATATCTGTAAGGATATTAGGAGTTGTAGTATCTTCAATGTTGTAATTTATTTTTTAGAAAATACATCTAAACCTATTTTTATTGATATATTTATTAAAATGTGTAATTCCCTACTCTTCTTGATCGGCCAGTATAATGTTTTCCTTCCATACCGCGGACCCATGTGCAAATACAGTCTTGTTGGCAAGTCACCATCTTGTCCCTCAGTAATCTCCCAGGAAATTGCTCACCAATGAATACAGAAAGATTGGTCAGCTGTTGTTAAGCTTCTTGTGGGACTATTGTATTAAATTCATCCAGTGATGTATTTTAATGTGGACATTCTATGGGGCTGACTTGGTTGACACATGTCATCGTATTCCTATTGTGTAGATCGATGCTCATGCTGTTGATCACTGGATTGTCTGGACCAGACTGGATTATTTACAGACTGCTGCCATATAGCTGGAATATTGCTGTGTGTGGCGTTAAACAACCACCAAACCAAACCTCTTCATCTGCATGGGTTGACAGTGCCATCTTCATCAAGACATTATGTAATCGCAGTGCTTGTGAAAGTGCCAACAGTGTTTATCATGCTTTTTTGTTTTGTTGTTTTAGCTTGAGGATTGATGTGAAGCTTATTTCAGTACTTATTTCAAGGCCCCCACAATGTGAAAATGACTGCTGTATGGGCAGATTTACTGTACTTTAAGATTGAGTCAGCTGAAAAACATTGTACCCCAATAGTTCAAATTTGTGCAATAATAGAAAGACTTAAATAGAAAGATAAAAACACTCTCAGGTCACTCACATTGGAGTATCTGAATCAGAGTGAGTGAATGTTGTAATAAGCTAGTCAGCTCTGTCATCACTACCACATGGCAACAGGTAGTCTGATGGTTTACTGCAAGATATGGATCTAAACCGTAAATCTTTTTGATAGTGTTGTGAATTTGTTTTGGATGAGACACAAGATTGGACTAACATATTAATCAAACTGAGTGATCCATTGTGATGAACAGTATCATAAAGTGTCTCATTTAGGGCGATTTCTGGTAAACTTGTAAATAGGATATTAGTGACATTATGCTGCTTTGTCACACAATCCAAGAGCTGTCTCATGATGTGTACATAGTGATATATGTCTTGAGATACAAGCCAAAACTGTATATTCCAATATTATTACAACATTCTGCTATTAAGTGGTATCCATTCCCAAAACTTTTGTTTGTGTTTCTTCTGATATTGGTTTAGTTAGACCACCCCCGGCTTGTATGATACCCAGTTTATGACACAGTGAACACTCCACAGCTCCCACTTGTGTGATAACCAGTTTATGACACAGTGAACACTTCTCAGCTCCCAGAATGTGTGATAACCAGTTTATGACACAGTGAACTTCTCAGCTCCCACTTGTGTGATAACCAGTTTATGACAGTGAACACTCCACAGCTCCCAGAATATGTGATACCCAGTTTATGACAGTGAACACTCCACAGCTCCCACTTGTGTGATACCCAGTTTATAAAACGGGAAACAGTCCACAGCTCCCAGAGTGTGTGGTACCCAGTTTATGACAGTGAACGCTTCTCAGCTCCGACTTGTGTGATACCCAGTTTATGACAGTGAACACTCCACAGCTCCCAGAATGTGTGATACCCAGTTTATGACAGTAAACACTCCACAGCTCCCACTTGAGTGATACCCAGTTTATAACACGGGAAACAGCCCACAGCTCCCAGAGTGTGTGATGCCCAGTTTATGACAGTGAACGCTTCTCAGCTCCCACTTGTGTGGACCGCCTCCATGGTGTAGTGGTTAGAGCGTCCGCCCGGAGTGCGGAAGGTCGCGGGTTCGATCCCTGACCGCGTCATACCAAAAGACGTTAAAATATGGTACTTGTTGGTCCCTGTCTGGCGCTCGGCATTAATGGGTACAACAAGGACTGGTCGGCTTGGAGTCAGTATAATGTGTCTGAGTGGGATATTCATGCTTCACTGCGGCATGGTATCTCAGTGGACTAGCACAATAAAACCAGCTTCAGTCTGGGCTAGTACAAGCAGCCGCACATACACATACACATGCATGCACGTCGTCATATGAGCGAAATATTCTCAAGCATGACATTAAACCCAATTCCACCACCACCACTTGTGTGATAACCAGTTTATGCCACAGTGAACATTCCGCAGCTCCCACTTGTGTGATAACCAGTTTATGACAGTGAACACTTCTGTGATAAATCAGCTCCCACTTCCCAGCTGTGTGATAACCAGTTTATGACAGTGAACACTTTTCAGCTCCCACTTGTGTGATACCCAGTTTATGACAGTGAACACTTCTCAGCTCCCACTTGTGTGATACCCAGTTTATGACAGTGAACACTTCTCAACTCCCAGAATGTGTGATACCCAGTTTATGACAGCGAACACTCCGCAGTTTATGACTCCCACTTGTGTCCCACTTGTGTGATAACCAGTTTATGACAGTGAACACTCCACAGCTCCCAGAATGTGTGATACCCAGTTTATGACAGTGAACACTTCTCAGCTTCCACTTGTGTGATACCCAGTTTATGACACAGTGAACACTCCGCAACTCCCAGAATGTGTGATAACCAGTTTATGACACGGGGAACAGTCCACAGCTCTCAGAGTGTGTGATAACCAGTTTATGACACGGGGAACAGTCCACAGCTCCCACATGTGTGATACCCAGTTTATGACAGTGAACGCTTCTCAACTCCCACTTGTGTGATACCACAGCTCCCACTTGTGTGATACCCAGTTTACAACAGCAAAACGTCCACAGCTCCCAGAGTGTGTGATACCCAGTTTATGACAGTGATCCACAGCTCCCACTTGTGTGATAACCAGTTTACAACAGCAAAACGGCTCCACGGCTCCCAGAGTGTGTGATACCTGGTTATTACAGAGTGAACACTCCACAGAGCTGAGAGACCTGGTGGATCTTGCACCTGTCCATGTGTCCATGTATAATTTTATTGACAATAGGACTGACTATTTCATATTCTGCCCCTAAGCCCCCATCCCTTGTGTTCCACATAAAGGATTACTGCCACCTTCTGAAGACAGAACAACAGAGTAGAGATATGAAAGGATATTGCTTGTGTTTGTCTCACTGGTGATCAAGTGTAACAAGTAATTTGTACTTTGCAAGACATCATCAGTGTCTGATCCTCCAAACTCGAGATCCAGGTTTGATAGGTCTGTGATGCAGGTAAAAACAAGTCATGAATGAACATAAACAGGGTGACCCCAGTTGTTTATTCAATCAAAAGATAAGGACTTGATAAAATATCTTGGTGCTTTTAAGCAGTGTACATACAAATCCAATACATCAGCTATACACCTGTGTGTAACAAATATAGAATATATCACAGTTCTTGCTACAGCTTCACCACAATCAGTGGACTTAACACAAGTACTTGCTGGGAGGAAATCACAATATGGAATCAGTGGCTTCTTTAAGCCATATCAGTTTCGTTTACTGTTATAGCCTACTCGGATATATTTCAACCAAAACATGAGACAATAATGAGTTACACATATTCACCTCTAATCTCCTTATTGTTTAAATTTCTTAACATTATCAATATTCCATTAATCTACAGTCAATATTTATTTTTTAAATAATATTGTCAGTTTTTGTTATTATTGTTTTTAATTGAACTTTTAAAATATATAGCATGAGTCATAACAGTTTTATCTAAAGACTAAGTAAACACGGCATGGTGTGACTTTCCAAATATATACCCTTTCAGAAAAGTACCTTGGATGTTTTCTGTGGTTCTGAATGTCCAGTGTTTGGATTGTTTTATATAATTGTTAGCAACAGTAAGCATTTGACAGCAGTGAGATCAAGAAAAGACATTCTTCTGGACAAAATAACATAAAATATCCAATAACAACATTCCTGAATACAGAAACCATAAACTTCATGACAAAAACTGGAACAAGTCTCTAAAACAACATACACAAGCCAGTAATGGGGGAAGCAGTATCTCTTAATTTACTGGTAGAGATAAATGTGGAGAGTGTTATAGAACGACAGCGTACTGGAATGTCATGAAGACCGATATAAAAACACATTCCTAAACAAGGCACATCTATTCCTAAATATATATGTTATATCTTCAAACTACCTGTGCATATTCAGTTTAACAAGTTTGTTACAGAATAATGAATTGTCACTTTGGTGTGTTTAGTTCAGTTGCATATTTCAGTAATGAAAGAAAACAGCAATTAAGTACATAGGCTGTATAGTGTTAAAAAATTAAATCTAAACATTTCTTACCTTGGGATATTTAAATAGAAATCAATTATTGCACTAAACAGAACCAATACATATGTTCATATCAAGATCATGATCTATTTATATAGGTACTTTATACTTCACATGTGTATTTAGAACAAGGAACAAGATTGCACTACCTAACATACAGATAGGTAAGACTGATTATGATCTTGATATACAGCACACTTGTAATATATCTGAGATTCCAGAACTTTACTGGCCACTCATTATCAGCACAGATTTAATCATAGACTGGCTTAAATCCAGCCCTACCCCCACCCCCACCAAAGCTGACAGCAGCATCATTTCCGACTGGTCGTCGTGTCTGCGGGATGGAACCTTCCCCTTGGGTTAATGCAAGGTAGCGACTGTCGTCATGCTCCTCACCAGTCAGGGTTATATTGCGCAGGTTTGGCATCTCCGCAAACGGCAGGTACATCTCCCCTAGATACATAGGAAATCATTATCCAATAACAGAAATCTTCTGATGATATATTACAACTGAATAGTATAAGTAAATTCTAGGTAAACTGCACATAATATCTCAAGGCCTGTTTATACGGTGACATTTGCACGTGTTTATTTTTTGCGTATGTGTAAATTTGCTTACGTGAATATATTTGGTCGTATAAACGCAATTACTCATATGCAAATTTTACTACCCCAAGCAAAAATACTCCTGGCCTGGACCAGGTGCAAATGTTTTACTACCGGTGAGTAAATGCCTATTTTTTGCTACCCTAAGCAAATGTGGTCGTATGAACGCATAGCAAATTTACTTAGGGTGAGTATTGTTTTAGCAACCCTTTTCTTTACATCCAGTGGTTCCTCAACTGTATGATCAAAGGGAGAGAGCTCATCCTTCGGTCAAATGCAGATTAATTCATATGTTTCTCGACGCATTCTAAATTTGTCCACATTCGGCATCGGTGATACGGTCACCAACAACTTCAGCACCAAAGACTTGATGTTTGATTTCTTCTAGAATTTCAGTCATGCGAACATCCAAGCATCAGACCAACACTGGTGTAATAAGGGAAATGCCGGTGTCCTCCCATTAGTCAGACAACCCATTAGTTAGACACTTAAAAAAAACTAATTACACGGTTGAGTGAACAAATTTTAGATGGTTGTTACCCATTGGGGAAATGGACTAATCCAACTTTTACCCCATTAGTCAGACATAAAGAGATTATTGAGATTAGATTAGACCAATTTCATTATCTTTTATATATTATTTACCCACAGTCAACATCAATTTCATTATATTTGTCACTATCATTATATCACACGAATATAAATAAAATCGTCACATTCACTAGCACTACAGGCATAGTATGGAGGTGCAAAGTCAAATTCAGCCAAGCTCCACGAGATTTCCAACAGCCTCCAAATACTGCACTGGAGTCTTGCTTCCGTGCTCCTACTGCTCTCACAATCGGCCAAGTCGGTGGTTGATCTCCCTGTAAACCTTCTTGCGTGGCCCAAGAGCTGCACCGAAGTCAATCTGGATGATCTTCAACTTGTCGGCCTTCTCAGTCTTCTTGAGAATCTATATCAGTCTGAAGACATTCGGGTGACGAGTCGAAAGGTTCAGACGGCTGTTAAATCCTTCAAGGCAGTTGCTGGTCCTCGGGCCGGGTCTCAGGATGGTCCCACAAAGACAGCCTAAACAGAGAGTCATCATCCCCGGTGACCATGTAGTTGTTGAAGGCATAGGCCCTGGGACATCAGGGCAAGTGTTCATACATCAATCCAAGTCACCCTGGACGATTGCAAGAGGAAGCAGAGGCAAGGCAGGTGCACTACGAATCCGCTTCTCAACTTCGGGGTCGCCACGGTGGCTTTGAACGAGTCCGAGGGCTTGCACCTTGCGCCATTCTGCCGACATACTGTGCATGTCTTGACAGTGCCTCTCCAGTGCACACAAGTCGTCCTCTTGTTGTTGTATACATGGCGATCAAAGAACACCTGAATCGTGCCTCTCTGCGATGTGATGAACTGTGCTTTCTGCAAACCCGCCGTTATTGTGCAGTACAGACATTTTGGGAAAACTGAGTTGAGTTTATTGATTTACTCACAATAATGATTAAGCCACACTATCAACTATGCACAAGAAGACTCTTAATATTATGTGAGTAGATCAATTAAAAGGGATTAAACTTTAAAGTCAATGCTGACCTATAGGAGTTTGATCTTATTGTGTTAGAGATAAGCCATTTAGGCCTACTCCATTATCAGTGTAGGTGAGCACTTGGTCCACCCCAACTCTACTGTCTAACTTGTGGGGTGTCTGACTATTGAGGTATCACCGGGAAATGCCAATCCCTTCTTGATATCTCACATCTTACTCCATCCAATCCTAGGGCAAATATGATCTATCATCAAGATTTACTACCACTTTGCTTACAGAACTTAAAGTCTGTATGAACGCACAGCAAATTGCACACTCTAGCAAATTGCACACCCTACGTGGATTTACTCATGTATGCAAATTTGCACATGTGTATATTTTCGCCATATAAACAAGCCTTCAGTTTCATAATCCTACAGATTTCCAGGAAACATCTGTATATATGGAGGTGTATATATATGGAGATGAAAGACCATAGCTGGGTCTAACAATAACATGTACAGAGTACATACAGATGTACTGAGTACACACCTATTGGCCATCACTACTACGGTCATGCATCTCACCCACCTATTGGCCACCCCATCTCACCTATTGGCCCTCACAACTACAGTCATGCATCTCACCCACCTATTGGCCCTCACTACTACAGTCATGCATCTCACCCACCTATTGGCCCTCACTACTACAGTCATGCATCTCACCCACCTATTGGCCATCACTTCTACAGTCATGCATCTCACCCACCTATTGGCCATCACTACTACAGTCATGCATCTCACCCACCTATTGGCCCTCACTACTACAGTCATGCATCTCACCCACCTATTGGCCATCACTACTACAGTCATGCATCTCACCCACCTATTGGCCACCCCATCTCACCTAATGGCCATCATTTCTACAGTCATGCATCTCACCCACCTATTGGCCATCACTACTACAGTCAGCATATCACTATTGGCCATTTCTCCTTGTGTTATGCATCTCAACCACTCATTGGCTTTCACTGCTCGTGTCATGCATCTCACACAGCTATTGGTTTCCATTCTCTCCCAGTGTCTCAAGTATTTCACCTACCTATTGGCAAACCCTTCTCTCTTCGCATATCTTCTGTCTCAAAGAATGTTTCATGATTTTCCCAATGCTTATCACAGGCCGCACATAAAAAGTTTGAAAAGAATCCACCACAAGAACATCCTGAAACGAGAAAGAAATTTCCTTGAGTTATTAGAGTATAAAATCAAGTTTTTCTACTGAAAATCAACCAGACAAGCAAGTGATCAAAGGACTAACTCTGGCAGCAATGAGACAGCAATCACACCTACTTCACATCCATGAATGTTTAACCTCGGCTGGTGTATTAGCACTGAATATGAGAGACATGTGACTAAATGACATTGTACATTCACCTTGTAACTCAGTCGTCATACTCTTGTAATGGAATGAAGTTGAATGTTTTTTCAAGACAAGGTGACCAATCAAACGTATGATGACCAATGTACATTTGTCTGCGATCATGTCATGCCTTCTCACCTCTGTTTTTGCATCTGTGGAGGCCGTTAGGATCATGCTCCTCATGGGTGTGTTTACATTTACATTTACATCGCCAGGTTGTCACATCGAAGTCTCTACGCCGCTGGAACCAGAATTCTCCAATGTCCTCTGGGCGAGATGGAACCCATGCAAAAGCTTTACAAGGACAGCCCGATTGCTTACAAGGGACCCGTACACTGTGCCCTGCAAACATATCACTGATTATAGACAGCAACAACATATTCAGTTCTCTGTCATGTGTGGTCCATGAGGCACTATAGACAGTTCAAAGTGTTCATCGCACATCAGTCCAAGATTACTGCTCAGTTCAAACTTATTTAACAGCATTCAAATCCACCCACTGCCAGAATCATAGTCGTAGTCTGGATATGACGAAAGTTAATTCAAGGTTAATCACTAATTCTCACTTCATGTTATTATACATTTAACAATAGTTTACAGGTCATTATCATTTGCAGAAGCTCCAAGATGGCCATAACTGCTAGACACAAGAGGGCTGTTGAAGAGACAGGGCTTCGGCAAAACATATTTACTTGAAAAGAAGAAAAGTGATTAAGAATTACAGCTAATGATGGATAAAATTTGTCCTCAGCAGGATTGTAATTATCCCTCAAACAACCCATAAAAACATACAACACAGAACAAGTGGCTGTTCTTCGCATGAAGAGTTGGGTATTGGATGTCTGCCAAGGACTGTTGCTCTGTGACATAGCACTTGATTCAGCATCCATCTTAACTCTTTTACATGTCTCTTTATCTAACTTCCTGCAGGTTCTCCCAAGTCTCTCAGTATGCACAATACTTGATCAACCTTAGATATCATCACCAGCTAAGAAGGTACTTCCTCAATCTCACAGTCAGTCAGATGGCACGTTTGATGATATTTATGTGCAAATGAGTTATTATATGATGTCAAATGACAAAACATGGTTGATAAAGGCCTATGATTAAACAAAATCATGGCCTCAATTAACAGTGGCCTGCATTGTGACTGTTAATTCTAAAGAAGAAAAGTAACTCTAGAGTTTTGTTACTTCCACTCTTAATTCTGTCAGATATGTTCTGAACACTGCTAGTATTAGGACTGTCCACATTACCAGATTACATAACTCTGATGGATCAGCTGTAATAATTACAACACCAGAGTTTATTATTAATATTTCTACTATTTTCTTTCACCTGCCTCCTCTCTCAAGCTCACCTTTGATGAGAAACACACAACAAAATGGCTGACTTCAGGTGAGTGGATCTGGAGGGACTGGGTCGTGTTACCTGTATACTTGTCATGTTCCCCACCAGAAAATGGCTGACTTCAGGTGAGTGGATCTGGAGGGAGGGTCGTGTTACCTGTATACTTGGCATGTTCCCCACCAGCAAATGGCTGACTTCAGGTGAGTGGATCAGGATTGAGGGTTGTGTTACCTGTATACTTGTCATGTTCCCCCCCAGCAAATGGCTGACTTCAGGTGAGTGGATCTGGATGGACTGGGTTGTGTTACCTGTATACTTGTCATGTTCCCCACCAGCAAATGGCTGACTTCAGGTGAATGGCTGACTTCAGGTGTTCCCCACCAGCAAATGGCTGGATCAGGTGAGTGGATCTGGAGGGAGGGTTGTATACTTATCATGTTCCCCTTGAGGGAGGCATGTTATCATGTTCCCCCAGCAAATGGCTGACTTCAGGTGTGGATCTGGAGGGAGGGTTGTGTTACCTGTATACTTGTCATGTTCCCCAGCAAAATGGCTGACTTCAGGTGAGTGGATCTGGAGGGAGGGTTGTGTTACCTGTATACTTGTCATGTTCCCCCAAGCAAATGGCTGACTTCAGGTGAGTGGATCTGGAGGGAGGGTCGTGTTACCTGTATACTTGTCATGTTCCCCACCAGCAAATGGCTGACTTCAGGTGAGTGGATCAGGATTGAGGGGGTGTGTTACCTGTATACTTGTCATGTTCCCCAGCAAATGGCTGACTTCAGGTGAGTGGATCTGGAGGGAGGGTCGTGTTACCTGTATACTTGTCATGTTCCCCCACCAGCAAATGGCTGACTTCAGGTGAGTGGATCTGGAGGGAGGGTTGTGTTACCTGTATACTTGTCATGTTCCCCCCAGCAAATGGCTGACTTCAGGTGAGTGGATCTGGAGGGAGGGTTGTGTTACCTGTATACTTGTCATGTTCCCCCCCAGCAAATGGCTGACTTCAGGTGAGTGGATCTGGAGGGAGGGTCGTGTTACCTGTATACTTGTCATGTTCCCCCCCAGTAAATGGCTGACTTCAGGTGAGTGGATCTGGAGGAGGGTTGTGTTACCTGTATACTTGTCATGTTCCCCAGTAAATGGCTGACTTCAGGTGAGTGGATCTGAGTGGTCGTTACCTGTATACTTGTCATGTTCCCCCCCAGCAAATGGCTGACTTCAGGTGAGTGGCTGACTTCAGGTTCCCCCCCAGTGGATGACTTCAGGTGAGTGGATCTGGAGGGACTGGTCGTGTTACCTGTATACTTGTCATGTTCCCCACCAGCAAATGGCTGACTTCAGGTGAGTGGATCTGGAGGGACTGGGTCGTGTTACCTGTATACTTGTCATGTTCCCCCCCAGCAAATGGCTGACTTCAGGTGAGTGGATCTGGAGGGACTGGGTCGTGTTACCTGTATACTTGTCATGTTCCCCCCCAGCAAATGGCTGACTTCAGGTGAGTGGATCTGGAGGGACTGGGTCGTTACCTGTATACTTGTCATGTTCCACCCCAGCAAATGGCTGACTTCAGGTGAGTGGATCTGGAGGGAATTGTGTTACCTGTATACTTCAGGGCTGACTTCAGGTGAGTGGATCTGGAGGGAGGGTTGTGTTACCTGTATACTTGTCATGTTACCCCCCAGCAAATGGCTGACTTCAGGTGAGTGGATCTGGAGGGAGGGTTGTGTTACCTGTATACTTGTCATGTTCCCCACCAGCAAATGTCATGTTCCCCCCCAGCAACTTGTGAGTGGATCTGAGGGACTGGGTTGTGTTACCTGTAAAATGGCTGACTTGACTTCAGGTGAGTGGATCTGGAGGGAAGGTTGTGTTACCTGTATACTTATCATGTTCCCCCCAGCAAATGGCTGACTTCAGGTGAGTGGATCTGGAGGTACTGGGTCGTGTTACCTGTATACTTGTCATGTTCCCCACCAGTAAATGGCTGACTTCAGGTGAGTGGATCTGGAGGGAAGGTTGTGTTACCTGTATACTTATCATGTTCCACCCCAGCAAATGGCTGACTTCAGGTGAGTGGATCTGGTGGGAGGGTCGTTACCTGTATACTTGTCATGTTCCCCCAACAAATGACTACAGAAACATTTGGACATCTTGTTGATTCGCTGACAGTCATGCTTGAACTCCGGACATCGCCAGCCAATATAGATACCTACATGGCAGTGTAAAGAGTTGATCGTTGTCAGTGGAATATAGTATGTATCATCACAATACAGTATTCATTATTAGAATACATAAACGTACACTTTAAGCATATCACCTAAGCAAGTTGAGAATGAATTGGACCTTCAGTGCTAGTTGTAAGTATTTCATGACTATTCCTAAGAGCTATACATTAAAATATCTGTGTGCAAAATGAAAAAGCAGATAACTATAGTTTGGCATAGCTGACCTACACTGACGAACATTGACCTTTATGACCCAACACTGCCGCTGTTACAGGTCATTGGCTCCCTCCCTCTGCAAGCAGTTTGCGTTCTGCTGTTTATTTTGTTGACAGTTACATAGACAGATTCTTTAATACAAATGCATAAAATCGGTGATTTACAATGTGATTAGGTCGTCTGACAAAACATCCACTTGCACAGTTTGAGATCGATTGGGTCATTGGATGAAGAGATATTTACAAAAAAACGGGTCCACATGCATTTCATGCCAAACTATAGTGCTTCAGATAATAGTAACATGACAAACCCTAGAGTAGTCCTTTTCACCTTCACTAACAAAGTAGTAATGCTGACCTTGCCATTACAGTTTTAAACCGACTGTGTATTTTTCTGCGTACCAGTTTTCTGAGCCTCCACTGCAGCCTCAGTTTCAGGGTCAAACAACTTCTTCAGTCGAGGGGCAAAGTCATCATTCATCGCACGGGCGAATGACACAACATCATAGTTTTTGGCTGGTTCGATTTTCCTCATGGTATAACCTATATGTAAATGGACAAATAACCTATTTAAGCTCTAAATAAAAAAGATATTGAATATATCAACAGAAAAATATTAGCTAGTGACCTACTGAAGCTCACCTTCATGAGATACTTAAATCAGATAAATATAATTATAGATATGACACTCTTAAGTTTTCTACCAAATCTAGTAAGTTTATATATGATTTTCTAATTCTAAGGATATAATGCTGAATATGTAAGAAAGTAGAAATAAAAAATGCACATAAGATTTACCGAAATAAATAAGTCATAGCATCTGTGAATAATTTGGTCTGGAAAAGATATTGAAAAGGCAAAGTCCCTAAACATAGATGTTGACCGATGAATGAAAGGAATAACCACCCTTGTATCTTTTAAGCAGCAGTGGTGCATCTTATTACCTCCAGTATGAGGTAAAACTGTAAGCAATTTTAGCAAATACTCAGAATAATAAAGATACTATGGCAGTTCTAGTCTCACAAAGTATGTGAATCATGAAGACATTGTAAAATGATAATGTTTACTATGAGAAATATTCTGCAAAAAACTTCAGAATGTTGAACTATGTGCAAGTGTATTGTGTTGAATGCTTCAGTCATCCATCTACCTTACCTAGATGTATATACAAAGGTAAAGTGAAATGCTCAAGTTTTTAATTAAGTTTAATCAAGCATAATGATTTTGTTCTGTTTTGCTTTATAAATCACTAAACATGAAAATTCTCTGCAATACCCACTCTACACTCCTCATTATACTGTGTTGAGCTTGCCTAGAGGCATTCATGACAATAAACAAGGTGTTGCATATGTACACACACAGATGATGTGATAATATATAGAGTTAAATTGTAATGTATATGAATCTGAAGACTTCAATCCTCAGCTAATATATTGCTCAGCATATATAAAAGCAATCTTACTGCATCATGCTGAATACCCTGGACCAAATCATTACCACAGGAATCCAGTTTGAATGACATAACATGAGCAGTAACTGTACATTCCAATTACATTCATGTGAGAGAAATTCTGTTAGAAGCTACCTAATGATGGTGATTAGATACTGATGTCACTTGACATTAATGATGCTATGGAGTATCACTAGATGGCAGCTTGATGTGGGAATAAGGCCCAAAGTGATGTAGGTCTCAGACGTTTATGAGCTGGTGAAACCCACATACTGTGCAGGCATAAACCTTATCAAAGTGACCCGGGATTCAAACCCACAATCTTTTTTCTTGCATGCCTAAGGGACATAACTCAGCACAGCAAATTCTGCTGCCTTGGACATGCTTGTCAGCTTAGTATGAAGGAAACAAGATCTAACCTACTGCACAACTGTGGACTGACTGACCAGGAACACAACAAATCTCACCTTCTGGTACCAGGATGCCATCTTGTTTTGTCATCTTCATCGGTGCCATGGCTCGACTTCCTCTAGGTACCACTGCCTTAGAGGTAGGGGTTTGCCTGCCCCGCCCTACTCCAGTAGCCTCGCCTTTCTTGGTCCCAGCAGGTGCCGGTGAACCACTAGATTTCTGAGATATGTCAAACATGAAACATGTCATCATTCTTCATCTGATGTGAAGCAAGGGATAAAATCTCTGGACATGAGGCCCAAGATGCAATACATTCATTTACTACTCCTGTCTCGCAATACATACAATTCATTACTTTACAAAATATATTGAAGTAAAAACATATGAATAACAGAAACTGTCCAAGAAAGAGTTTATGCAGTTTTCCTTGATGGCTATAAACAGCAGAATCCTCACAGTGCCCCCAAGCTTATATGTTTCCCCCTTATAGTACCCCATCAAATGATTCAGGGTTTACCAACAGAAAGGGAGAGAATATGAAGCTATAAAATGAAAGTACTCTATTGGGATACAAATCACAATGCAGCCATATTACTAACATACATATCATATCACAGCCTCATCGCATCATGAAGGCTCTACTAGTCCTAGACTATCAAATTCTGCTGAAGACAATAAGATTTGGGGGGATATTAACTTACTGTAAATCATGAAATTAATGCGAGCATTTTATTAATGCGAAAAATGCATCTGTACTCTTCTCGCATTACTATAATGACGCATTTCAGTATGACCATGTCTACTTAATAAAAGACAGAAAACGTAAATCTGTTGACACTACACATTACACCAATACAGGTCACTTCCTCATTACAGGTATAGTATGACCAGAAATTATTGAGAATTTTAGGAATATGTTTACTTGGATTTCTAGTATAAACAACCTTGACCAGCTATCAAGTGCTTGGTTTCATTCAAGAGAGACAACTCTGTTAATCCTTTTTTATTAGTTTGTGAAGAGTTATCCCCCTTTGTTTACTTGCTAGCAGACGGGATTTTCAGTGATCCTCAGTATGGATGAATTAGAGAAGAGGTATTATAACAAGGACATCAGATCAGCTAAAGTGATTTCAAGTAGAACAGGCATCCCTTTGTCCACTGTTTATCGTGTTTTGAAAAATATTGCAAATGGATATGGCATTGAGCACCAGGGAGGTGCAGGTCGGCCCAGAAAATTGACTGTCGGTGACAGGAGGCGGCTTGGTATTCTTGTTTCTAAAAACAAACGAAGGAGTTTAGAAAACTTAACGCTGGATATGATTGATAGAGGAACTGTGGCTGTCTGTAAGGAGACAATTAGAACTGAGCTGCATGCAATGGGTTGGCAGAAAAGTCGAGGAATTCCATCACCCATCATGAAACCTGAACAAATGGAGCCAAGGTTGAACTGGTGCTTACAGCACAGAAATTTTAACTGGGACAATGTGATTTTCTCAGATGAAAGTTCTGTGTGGCTGTTTCCTAATACACTGAGATTCTGGACCAAACAAACTGAAAAACCTTTTATCCATAAAGTATCATATATGTACTAACCCAAAGTACAGTCCCAAACAAACTGAAATTTAACGTGAAATGGGGGTGGCATATCTGTGTTAGGGGCAACGCCCCTCTGTGTATTTGAAGGAATATGAACAGTGAGCGGTACACAGATATTCTCGAGGGACATTTACTTCCATCTGCTCACGTGTTCTATGGAAATGTTTGGATTTTCCAGCAAGACAACGACCCAAAACACCGGTCAAAGCATTCACAGGCCTGGTTTCAAACCCAAAATATGACATTATTAGATTGGCCAAGCTATAGCCCTGACGTAAATCCAATAGAAAATGTTTGGGGACTTATGAAGGAAAGTGTCAATAAGAAAAATCTGACAAATATTGCTGAAATGAAAGAAGAGGTGGTCCGATATTGGGACAGCATGGACCACGAACTTCTTTGATCAGTAACTTCTTCTTTGATCAGTAGTATGCCCCGCCGCATTGAAGCCTGTCATAAGACAAGTAGTAGCATGCAATCACGTGATCAAACATGGCAGCATAATCAAAACATCGTCAGCTCATTTCCATTCATTGCTTAAGCTCAATTCATTTGATCATCAACACAGATTCCTGAGCTCGCATTATTCATTTTAACAAGTGATGCATTTTAGACTAGACCCTGAGCTGCATTAATTTCATTAAATTTGTGACGCATTAATTTCATGATTTACAGTATTTATTTTGTAAACACAATGTTTCGGAGTTACTTCTTACTCCTTGTGTGACAAAAATAGAGAAGCTGACATAAAAAACTTTTTGACTCATGAATATATACTGACAGTAAATGTAATGTTTAAGCAGGACCAACTATATACACTGAGTACCAGGGAAATATGGTTTATAATAGTCTTCTGGAATGTTCTTCAGAAACAAATGTCTAAGTCTGCACAGTTCTCACAGAGCAGTGAAGTATTGATGAAGAACATAAAATTATATGCAACCTAGTAGTAGACATATATCGGTGATGAAACACAAGCTTACTGATTTGGGTGCTCCTCCTGTGGTTTTCTTCATCTTGTCATAAAAGGTTTCATGGATTTTCTAAAAGTGATTGTTACATGAAGAACTGAAAAAAAAAGTAGAAAATCTTTTTCAAATTTGTGAATCCTTCAGTATACTCTGGCGAGAAACTTCCTGTGTCTGGCTTATAAGTACTGTTTCTTTAAAAATGCAAATGATAATATCAAAATATCCTGTCTTCAGCGGCCACTAAATGAAATCTTTAAAAACAAATTATTTCATTACTAAATACTGGAAATAATATCTGCTCTGTATCTGTAACCATCCAACAAATGAGCCTCTGTGTATCTTGCTTATATTTTGACATAGAAATAATATATTTGGTTTACACGAAATATAACATTGTTAATGTTGGGATGAGAACTTGTGACAGGTAGGTTGACAGCAGTAACAGAAACAACACATTTAAAACAACACGCATTATGGATCTGTTAGCCAATGCCATGTGTAAACAACACAAAATCAACTGGCAAATCAGAAAAATGAAGGAATATTTTGTCTGGAAAATTCCAAGACAACATACAACTTTATGGATAAGTAATTCTTGTTCAGTGCATATAGCAATTTTTCTATCTAGAATGTCAATCAAACAGTATCAAGCAGAAACAAAAGAAAGAAATCCTATTTTTACCATAACTGCATAAGCAAACTTGTCCTGGGTTTAAACAAACAAGTCCCTTTTGACAAGGTTTAGTTATGAATATGTCACTATCTAATGATTATTCTGTTTGTGTCTAATGACAATTTAATTACAATTACTTTTATTTCTTTGCCCCGACTATGTCTGTGATGCTCTCAAAATGTATGGTCATGGAAACGAATAAATATTAGCGATGGTCATATCTTCCCGGAACATAAGAAAAAGGAACGTATTTGATATTTTCATGTGCGGATCAATGTTGATGGTAAAGCACCCATTTTAAATAACAGCAAAAGGAGGCTATAGCCAAGATTTGCAATGTATACTGTATACGTAAAAACACCACGGACTCCGTCGTTCACTTATTTTCGCGCACCTGTTCATACTGCAGCCGCCATCTTTAAACAAGTCCTGTTGCTATGAGGTTTTTCTTATCCGTAAAACAGTTGCGAATATCAATGTATTCTGATAAGTTTACGTTAAATAAAAATAATATTATAACCATCGAGTGTTTTTTTTATATTCATGGTTCTATTTTAAAAATCTCGCGAGATTCAATGAGATTACAGTTCAGCCAACATGTCGGACGATTGGGGTGAGCATGTGTTTCTGGAACATATTTTAGACATACTGGATTGTCAGTTCTGGTTTTTATTACGGCAATCGAATTGATTATTTCTATTTACAGACGCAGAAGATTTCGAACCTCCGAGTTTCAACCCCAAAGCCGTTGTCTCTGACAAATGGGAAGGGGAAGATGAAGAAGAGGACGTCAAAGTGAGGAACGCCGATTACATCTACCATATTTCGGTCAAATATACCAACTATTCTTAGGCTACACGTCACAGACTGATTATAATTGTGACTAACCATATTCAGTATAACAATGGCATACCCTGTGTTGTGTCGATAATACTTATAACTTCCAATCAGGAACAGGAAATGTCTTTGTTGCTCTTTTTGTCCCAGATGTTTAATCATATTTCAACTTAAAAGTATTTCGTATTCTCGCATTTCATACGATTGTTGAACATCATCATCTAAAAAAAAAAAGACATCCTCAAACCAGTAAATATGTTATACAGGACATGTTAAGTTCCCCCCATATTGTTTATGACGTGATAATCACTTCAAACCCCTGTAGTTCTTGATGTTCTTTCCATACACTACTTCGATCAGAACATTCGTTGGTTTCACATTACTTTTCAACTCGCTATGCGCATGCGAAGAGCGTGCGAAAAATATCGGGGGTGCTGCACTTTACCGGGCGCACTTTTTCAGATTAATTATCCCTGCTGGGTTTCCCTAACCCTAACCCCTAACCCTAAGGATCGTAAAGGGTGCCTAACCCTAAGGATCGTAAAGGGTGCCTAAACCTAAGGATCGTAAAGAGTGCCATACCCTAACCCTAAACCCTAACCCTAAGGATCGTAGAAGGAGCAGCGAGGGCTGCGCCCGGTAAAGTGCATTCTATCCAAAATATCCACTGGCATGTTTCCGTTTTGGTCGTATGTTTATCGATAGTGTAAACACTCCAAAGAAAACAAAAATCAAAACAAATATATAGTTTTATGTCGAATATAACTGATCCCAATTGATTTATGAAACAGAGGCCGGGTTTGGCTAAGTAAATAGCTTCATTTATGTCAACAAGCTCTTGTATAAAGACATCTCACCACCACCGTCCTTCCCGCACATCCCCTTCTCACAACTAAACAAACACATCTCTGATGGAATTGCAACCAAATAGGACATCAATTATTGAAAAGCAGAGGCAAATGGAAGTATGTACTCAGCTATGAACAGTTGTCGCAACGTAAATCATTTTCATAACAGCTTTTAGTTAGAGTGCATTTCGATAAGCATACGACCAAACCAGAAACATGCCAGTGGATATTTTTCACACGCTCTGCGCATGCGCACAGCGAGTTGAAAAATAATGTGAAACCAACGAATTCACTTTACCCATTTCTCTGCTGACCTCATCCACACTTTATTTCATTTCACAGAGCATTTCCCAACAGCAGCTGTCTTCTAACTCTTTTCCTTGGCTCCTGCAGCTTCTTACATCCGTTCATGCCTGACTTTGGGAGTCCTTGGTGACTCCACTTTGTTTTCCTTTGTCTTTTATCTTGCCTCTGAAGTGTTCTGTACCTTTTTCTGAACTTTTTTCTGAACTTTTCATACTTTTGTTTTATGCCTGTAATCTCTCTGTGTTTCCTTGGCAAACACCTGCTAGTTCTCCTTCTTGTACCGGCCCTCCATTCCCGGCCACATCATACCAAAAGACATTAATATATGGTACTTGTTGGTCCCTGCCTGGCTCTCTGCCTTAATGGGTACAAGGACTGGTCAGCTCAGAGTCCGCATAATGTGTCTGAGTTGGGTATTCATGCTTAACTGCAGCATGGTATTTCAGTGAGCTAGCACTATAAAACCAGCTTAAGTCCGGGCTAGTACAAGTAGCCGCACATACACATAGACACGCATGCATGTCGTCATATGAGCGAAAATATTCTCAAGTACGACATAAAACCCCATTTCACTTCACCTTACCTCACCATTCATAGATACATTGGTCATGCAAAACACACACACACACAGTGACAGTGCAGGAAAAGCAGGTTTCTTGAGGATAACTGTCCTCATGAAAAAAGAAAGGTGTCATGCATTGTTATGTCGTCTTGTTGTTCCATACCTTACATAACAGAATGATCAACTTGTCTTACTGTGCTGTATGTCATAAGTTATGTTGACATATAGAAAATCGTTGAAAAGCTATCGTCCCGTCGTCTGAAACTTCAGGTTTACTTTCCTGCCATGTCATTCATACAATAATGAATAGATTCAATATAATTTAGTGATGTAACCATTTGTTTTTTACTAGTTTTGATAACAGTACTGTTCTGGTGGTAGTGCATATTAAGGACATTCACTGAGGAATAATCATTATGTTCAATATTGAAGTTAGAAAATCTCCCCCTGTAAATATACATAAACATGTGCGAGCAGCATGCTGAACATACAGCGAATATAAACAATACAATGTTGCCGTGAAACAACAAAGAGTGCTCATGACCGTGTTTTGTTTTGTGGACTTACAAGTATGGATATTAAGTTACATTTACATTTCAGGATAACTGGGAAGACAGTGAGGAGGAGAAAGAGAAAAAGGAAAATGAAGACGCAGGTATCAGAAACCAGTTCACTTGTATAAGTGTGTTATGATACGCAGGATGAGATTAGAATTGAAAGGAACAACAGACCCTTAGTGACCTGTCCACAAGATTTAGCATTGTGAAAAGCAGAATATTGTTGATTAATGGTCTGACCTTTTGGGAAGATAGTCCTTCGGTCAGATTCCTTGGGTATCTCAGAAAATGGAACCAATCAACTTGCAAGCTGATGGAACCTGCTTTTCATTTTTGATAATGCTCATCGGGGGAGATGATATACATTTCCACTCCTTTAACTGTTGTTTGTCTCTAGCTGATAGTAGTGAACTGAAGAGTAGTCCATCGTTAAAAATCAACCGGCCAGACAGTAGGCCCAGGTTCTGTTGCCAACATAAGTAAATTGTATTCCTGGTGTCCCCGGCTCTGATATTGCTGAAATGTTGCTAAAATATAAAATGTAAAACCAAACTCTCACTCACTCAAAGTTTGAAAATCTTATTGGTTCTAAATTATCAACAAATCATTCAGCATCATATATATATATATACTGAACCGCCAAAAAACCTCACTCCCTTTTTGAAATTGGTAATCAGTTTAATTCAAACACATGTAAATAACATAATAATTGTCGGAAAGTTTTCAAAATTGATATGTTTGATAATCAATACTTAAAGACGAATTTTAGACAATGACAAGCCAAAATGACGACAGGTGGCGCGACAGTGCAATCCGAAAGTCAATAGCGTGTATGGCCTCCTTGAGCGTTGACATCAACGTTGCATCGTCTGTACATGGAGTGGATGAGACAGTTGATGAAGGCCAAAGGAACTTGCGCCCATACTCAGTGATACGCCTGAGAGAGTTCAGCTGCAGTTGTCGGCCTTGGTCGCACATCATTGAGCCTCCTCTGAATCTTGTCCCAACAAGTGTTCGATCAGGTTTAAGTCTGGACTGAGGGCAGGCCATTGAAGAGTTTGTATGCCGTGTTGACGGAGAAAGTCTGTAGTTGCTCTGGCAGTATGGGCATGCGCGTTGTCATGCTGGAAGACGTGGTTTCCATGATGACCAAAATGTGGCACGACAAAGGGTCTCAGCGCTTGATCAATGTAGATCTTACACCATTTCCTCTACCAGGACCAATATTCTGGAACACCATAGGGCCTAGTTTGTGATTGAGAGCAATAGCCCCCCACACCATTATGCTCGGACCTCCCCACAAGTCTCTTTCCAGGACACAATCATCTGCAAAACGCTCCCCGCGTCGTCGCCACACTCTCACTCTGCCATCAGCCGTCGAGATGCAATATCCGCTTTTGTCGGAGAAGACTAGAGTTCGCCACTCCCGGTGATGCCAATTCCGATGATGTGTGGCCCACTGGAGATAAGCACGACGATGTCGAACAGTGAGGATTGAACCCCAGTAAGGCCTGTGACATCTGACGTTTCTCTGCCTCAAACGCCTCCGCCCTGTGTCGGCGCTGATTGGTCTCTGGTTATTGCCAATGAATGTCTGTGCAGTTTCCGTAGCCATAGCGAAATGATTTTGCAGGTGATGACAGAATCTGCCTATTTTGCCTCAACGTCTTCCACTGCGAGGATGGTCGGCTGTGCTTCCAGTGGCTTGGACTCATTGCTGCAGGCGGTATATGTTCGAACATGAACAGAAAAATGATTTGCAACATGTCTTGCAGTCTGCGTCACGCCGAAGACCCGGGTTTGAATCCCCACATGGGTACAATGTGTGAAACCCATTTCTGGTGTCCCCCGCGGTGATGTTGCTGGAATATTGCTAAAAGCGCATAAAAACCAAACTCAGTCAGTCAGTCAGTCAGTCAGTCTTGATGTCTGGCCAGCATTCAGTCTTCCTAAAGCTTGGTCCCCCTGTTCCCTTGATAATCGTGGCATGTCGCTACTGTCGAACAGTGAATGATTCGGTGCATGTGTTCGGTGGCTCTTCTTATAGGGATGCGTTCGAATCCCCACATGGGCACAATGTGTGAAGCCCATTTCTGGTGTCCCCCGCCGTGATGTTGCTGGAATATTGCTAAAAGCGGCGTAAAACCAAACTCAGTCAGTCAGTCTTATAGGGATGCACATGCATTGTCATTTTCATGAAATATGCACAAAAACCTCATCCCATCATTACTTTAGTAACTGCGTTTTGACGACATGTTTTTGTATCAAATACAGCATCTGAAACCAAATTTTCTTGAACATTGGCTACGAACCAGGTCTAGCTAAAATATAAATAGTGAAAAATTAATTAACATTCAGAAGAAACATATCTGGCAAAAAGTTTGGTAGGGTGACGTTTCTTTTGCGGTTCAGTATATGTTTGTTATATTTCAAAAGTTTTGTCTTGTCAGCGTCACAAGGTTCAGCTTATCAGCGGCCTAAGAAGAAACCACTTGCAGAAAGAATAGCTGAGAAGGAAGCTCAACGTGTGCAGCAGTTGCAAGAGGAGAAGGTTTGTTTCATTTCATATGTGCATGAAAACTGTTATTTCGAAAAGACTCAGTTTGTGTTGAGATTGAACTCCCTTAGCTGTTGTGGTTGCATGGTCTGTCCTAATACTTAACATTCTCATAATCCTCCCAATATTGAGAGCTCTGTAATTGCAATATTGGTTTGAGGATTTGTTTACAGAACAGCTACCTTATGCAAGATACCTGGACCAGAGAGAGATGCGGGCAATAGAGATGCGGGCAATTCTTCAAATCAAAATTAAATATTGCTCAAACAACTGGTTTCTTTGCATTTACATTAAGAAATTATTGTGGTTTTTTTTTGTAGTAAATTGTTTTAGGGGCACCATACCTCTGCTTGTGTATTTCAGCAAATAGGTGAAAATCTTACTCATGCATCACTCATGACTTTCCCACACGTTATGCTGACACACTGTGATGTAACTGGAATACTACTCAAAGTGTACTACTCTAAACAAAGTTCAAACAATCAGGGATACACATTATTTTAACAATTATTAGTGAAGTTCAAGCAACTTTGGATACCCATTAATTTAAAACACTGCAGGTCTGAGTCCAAACCCTAATTCACAATGGTTAATGTAATCCCAACAGGGGATGGTAAATATTACATACAGGATCAACTGCTAATGAGTTGGAACTATTGTGGTCATAATCCTTAATTTGTAATCCACAATTCCTATTCTTGTAGGTTTTATTCAATACATGTGACATGTGTTACTTCACATTTTTCTCCCACATTTAATGGGCTTCAGTGTGTTCAGCATGGTTTTACAACCTAACTTACTTATATCTGTGATGAATAGTGCTTGTTGTAAATATGATTTTATGATTTCAGGAACGAAATAGAGAACCAACTGCTGAAGAACTACTGAATGAAAAAATCCGATTAAGGAAGGTTCAAGAAGCATCTGATTTAAAAAATGCACAAGAAATATTTGGTAAAGCTTGGGCATTTTGTCTTAAGATTATATAATCAATGATGACATGAAACTAATGCTCGGAAATGTTGGCAATTGTGTATAGGATTTTCTTTGTTTGCGGGGCGGTGGGGTAACCTAGTGGTTAAAGCATTCGCTCGTCACACTGAAGACCGGGGTCGATTCCCCACATGGCTACAATGTGTGAAGCCCATTTCTGGTGTCCTCGCCGCATGATATTGCAGTGAATATTTCTAAAAGCAGCATAAAACTAAACTCCCTTTCACTCACTCACTTTAGGTTCGCCCAAGTAGTTGCTCGAGTTGAGAGTGATTCATGCACCCCTTAGAAATTTCTTGCAACCTCATCCGAGGGGTAGACATCTTCATGACACAGTATGGAGAGCTCTGCAATTGAACTATTTCCCTGAGGAGCCTCTTGACTATTGTTGATACACTAGGAAAGGGCTACCTCATTGTAAAAGGTAGCAGGTTTCAAGAAGTATCAGTTCCTGAGGGCTGGTTGTAAGTATACAATGGTGAGACGAACAAGATTCGGACAGCCTTTCTGCGACCTGTTTTGCAAGTTGTCTACTTATTCACTCTAAATAGGATAACTGTCTGAACACAATGACCGCCTGTATCAGCTTCAAATATATTAAAATATCACTGATGATATGTTTTCAATGTGCCTTGGCGACACGACTAAAATGATAAATATAATACATCTACTACCATGATTCATTTAAAGAAAAATGCGGTACATTTGACCAACTCAAATGATTCACAACCTTTTTTTGCACCCCATCAAACTGTTTACCTGTGACACTCTCAATCTCACAGCTTAACATGGGTGTGGCCATTTTGAATGCCAGTGTACATAACAGGAAGTGCTGTTTTGGACGATAACAGTTTTATGGGGTAGTTTATGGGTTCAGTCTCAATCTCACAGCTTAACATGGGTGTGGCCATTTTGAATGCCAGTGTACATAACAGGAAGTCTGTTTGGATGATAACAGTTTGTGGGGTAGTTTATGGGTTCAGTCTCAATCTCACAGCTTAACAAGGGTGTGGCCATTTTGAATGCCAGTGTACATAACAGGAAGTGCAGTTTTTTAACAAGGGTGTGGGCGATAACAGTTTGTGGGGTAGTTTATGGGTTCAGTCTCAATCTCACAGCTTAACAAGGGTGTGACCATTTTGAATGCCAGTGTACATAACAGGAAGTGCAGTTTTCGACGATAACAGTTTTATGGGGTAGTTTATGGGTTCAGTCTCAATCTCACAGCTTAACAAGGGTGTGACCATTTTGAATGCCAGTGTACATAACAGGAAGTGCAGTTTTCGACGATAACAGTTTGTGGGGTAGTTTATGGGTTCAGTCTCAATCTCACAGCTTAACAAGGGTGTGACCATTTTGAATGCCAGTGTACATAACAGGAAGTGCAGGAAGTGCAGTTTTGGGGTAGTTTATGGGTTCAGTTTGTGGGGTAGTTTATGGGTTCAGTCTCAATCTCACAGCTTAACAAGGGTGTGACCATTTTGAATGCCAGTGTACATAACAGGAAGTGCAGTTTTCGAATGATAACAGTTTGTGGGGTAGTTTATGGGTTCAGTCTCAATCTCACAGCTTAACAAGGGTGTGACCATTTTGAATGCCAGTGTACATAACAGGAAGTGCAGTTTTCGACGATAACAGTTTGTGGGGTAGTTTATGGGTTCAGTCTCAATCTCACAGCTTAACATGGGTGTGGCCATTTTGAATGCCAGTGTACATAACAGGAAGTGCAGTTTTCGACGATAACAGTTTGTGGGGTAGTTTATGGGTTCAGTCTCAATCTCACAGCTTAACATGGGTGTGACCATTTTGAATGCCAGTGTACATAACAGGAAGTGCAGTTTTTTTGACGATAACAGTTTGTGGGGTAGTTTATGGGTTCAGTCTCAATCTCACAGCTTAACATGGGTGTGGCCATTTTGAATGCCAGTGTACATAACAGGAAGTGCAGTTTTCGACGATAACAGTTTGTGGGGTAGTTTATGGGTTCAGTCTCAATCTCACAGCTTAACAAGGGTGTGACCATTTTGAATGCCAGTGTACATAACAGGAAGTGCAGTTTTCGACGATAACAGTTTGTGGGGTAGTTTATGGGTTCAGTCTCAATCTCACAGCTTAACAAGGGTGTGACCATTTTGAATGCCAGTGTACATAACAGGAAGTGCAGTTTTCGGACGATAACAGTTTGTGGGTAGTTTATGGGTTCAGTCTCAATCTCACAGCTTAACATGGGTGTGGTGACCATTTTGAATGCCAGTGTACATAACAGGAAGTGCAGTTTTCGACGATAACAGTTTGTGGGGTAGTTTATGGGTTCAGTCTCAATCTCACAGCTTAACATGGGTGTGGCCATTTTGAATGCCAGTGTACATAACAGGAAGTGCAGTTTTGGACGATAACAGTTTGTGGGGTAGTTTATGGGTTCAGTCTCAATCTCACAGCTTAACATGGGTGTGGCCATTTTGAATGCCAGTGTACATAACAGGAAGTGCAGTTTTCGACGATAACAGTTTGTGGGGTAGTTTATGGGTTCAGTCTCAATCTCACAGCTTAACATGGGTGTGACCATTTTGAATGCCAGTGTACATAACAGGAAGTGCAGTTTTCGACGATAACAGTTTGTGGGGTAGTTTATGGGTTCAGTCTCAATCTCACAGCTTAACATGGGTGTGACCATTTTGAATGCCAGTGTACATAACAGGAAGTGCAGTTTTCGACGATAACAGTTTGTATTGGGTAGTTTATGGGTTCAGTCTCAATCTCACAGCTTAACATGGGTGTGGCCATTTTGAATGCCAGTGTACATAACAGGAAGTGCAGTTTTCGACGATAACAGTTTGTGGGGTAGTTTATGGGTTCAGTCTCAATCTCACAGCTTAACATGGGTGTGGCCATTTTGAATGCCAGTGTACATAACAGGAAGTGCTGTTTTGGACGATAACAGTTTGTGGGGTAGTTTATGGGTTCAGTCTCAATCTCACAGCTTAACATGGGTGTGGCCATTTTGAATGCCAGTGTACATAACAGGAAGTCTCCAGGTTTGGATGATAACAGTTTGTGGGGTAGTTAATGAGTTCTGGACATATGAAGCTGAACTATTCTTGCAGTCATGACAATGTTCAGGAAACCCAGCTGTCGAGGTAGCAGGTTTACATGAGGTTTACTGATTTATTAAAAACCCAAATAAATTGAAATGACATGATTGTTGTTATGTTTAAGTTTAATTGGATAATCAAAAGGTATAGGCACACTTATTTCCACAACGGCACCCGTAAATTTTCTGTCGGTGCCCAGTGGCACCCTTGAAAACATTGCATTCCTATTCATGGTCTCACCTTGTAACACCTTTGACGTTTTATTATGGTACACAGTTGATTGTGTTTATATTCACAGGTGTTACCAAGAATGTAAAAACGATAGAGTCCATGTATCCGGAAACAGAAGAAGAGTTTAAGCAGTTTAAAGATGCATTAAAGACAAAAATTACAGAATTTGAGGTGAGTGCATGTATTGCATGTATCTTTTAGGTGAGGGTATTTTCTGGTGATATATTTGCATTTGCATATAACTGCTACTCAGTAGGTCTTGTAGAGGGGAAAACCAAAAACATTTGACATTTCTTTTGTGTTCTAAAGGGAAGTTGTTCTGTTCAGGATTAATTATAGGTCTTTTTCGTTGTTTTGCATTGACTGTGTTAGTTTGCAGTCATTGTTTTTTAATGAAAAATGTGCTATTATGAATTTTCTATTATATTACTTGCTCATGGTAGACCAATATTATTTCCTTCACTTGGGTCAAAATCAACATTCAAATATGATGATATAAATAATATTAAAACTTATCCTATCCCACATAGTGTATTCTCTCTTCTTGATTCGACAGCTGAGTGGAAACGACCTGCAAACAAAGTTTTTGGCCTCTCTTGTACCATTCGCCCAACCACTCCCCTCTGCTCCCACACAATGACCACCTCAGCCTCTGTGAGGCATGCAGCATGCTCTGTGATGCATGCCCTGAATGGTCATGTGACTCCTTTGTCTGATCATTCTCTTTCTTGTTTCTTGTCTCACTGTAGTGCAGACTTGCTATAAACGAATGTGATTTTAAGTACCCAACCATGATTAAAGAAGACACAGGGGGAATAACTTAAAATTGCTAGTGTACTCCGGTACAGTGGCACATGTAAAATCACTTGCCCTGATAATTTTTCCACTATACCGGCTGTTTTCTTGTTGATATTTTAAATAAACAACATTATTAACATTGGAAAGTCAACTGGACACCGGTACAGTGTGATATACAAATTTGCTTGCCCGACAGAATAAAACACTGGACTCGGACGTCGGACAATGGGTTATTTCCACCCTGAGACATCTGGGGAAAGAAAGTTTGTTTCTCAATGCAAGGAGATTTTTTCTTCCCTGGCCCCCCACTCATTAAGTATAGACTGTATTGAACTATGCAGTTGGGATAAAGATGTGATCTATGCAAGAACTTGACTGACGATGTTATATGCGAGAACATGGACCTTCAGTGACCAAGAAGTCTAGAAAACAGCGTCTTGTTATAGTGGCTAAGCAATTGGTTACCTCTACCACCAACCGTGAAGATTTGTTTTTGAGTCATCGTCACATTCCTCCATGAGTGAGGACTTATTCCACCTAAATGTACGGTTGTCTCTACAGTGGTTATACTGTCCTCACAATAATGACACAAAGACATGATAGTTTCAGTACAAACCCTTTGAATTGAGAGTTGGATTGAAACATGCGTTATCAAAAGCAGGAAGTTGATGACTAGACAAGGGCAAGTAACTCTAAATGTTTGGGCGAATGGTACAAGAGACTTTGTTTGCAGTTCGTTTCCACTCTGCTGTCAAATCAAGAAGAGAGAGTACACGACGTGAGATAGGATAAGTATTAAAAATATACAATTTATAGTTAAAATTTTCAATGTCATGTAAGCATGAAGTTTCTGGTTTAATGATTTAAAACTGTTGTGTAAAACAACCCAAACTCACCGATAGATAATGAAACCTGTAACAATCTGCATACAACATCAGTGATACCATGAAGCCACATGTGAAGGGAAATGTATGGATTCTGTTTTGGGTGTGATTATTGTTATGAATATTGATACATTATTCTTGTACTTATTTATTTAGGAATGGGTGCTAAATGTAATGGTTATGATATTTAGTTCAATGAAAGATGCATGCTGTAGTCTCTTTATGTCCCAGCTTCATGGAAGTGTCATTGTAATATAACAAAATATGAAATAATGTCTGTTATCTTTCTTGAACAGATATCTCTACACCAATAAGAAATAATATTTCACACACATTTCTTGTACTGTCTTTCCAGGCCAGCAAAATGTATCCTGCTTTTATAGAAACTTTGTTCCAAGAATTAGCAATAGGATGTAAGTACACACAGTAATAGAGAGGAAGTAAAACCTCCATTAACAAACCTAATTATATTTGATAGTGTGATCACAGAAATGATTCTTCAATAGAATTCACTTAATGAACCCCAGCTACACGGTTAGACATGGCTTCTTGTCTATTTGCAAAGCTGATGGAATCCTGAAGTATTGGTATGTTACATGAACTACTTATCTGAACGGTGCCGTGGACAGATGGGTAGAGCTCTTTGTGCCTCTACCATTGGATGTACCCATGTCAGGATTCTGGGTTAGAATAGATCCCATGCAGTTGTAAGAGGTGACTAATTGCATTGGGTGGTTAGGCTTGATGACCTGTGTTTCATCGTACCCCAACAACGGATGTCAATGTTCACAATCACAAGAAGTCTTGTGCAGACTTGATTGGCCACTGTCATATTGCTGGAATATTGCTGAGTGTGGCACAAAGTACCAGTTTAGCTCTTCGTTGGAGGTTCATTCATTATGAAATTTACTATCCTACGAAAAAAATTGTTTTTACATCATGCACCCAGCAGCAAAATATGACTAGTATACTCATAATGGACAAATAATACTGAACAACTGATGATGATCAATCATTGTTTTCTTTCCAGTACAACCAGAAGATTTGAAGAAAGTAGGAACAGCTCTCACTGGTATTTACCATGAAAAGGAAAAACAACGGAAGGTATGTGACCAGTGAGTGAGTTTAGTTTTACGCCGCACTCAGCAATATTCCAGCTATATGACGGCGGTCCGTAAATAATCGAGTCTGGACCAGACAATCCAGTGATCAGAAGCATGATGTGACCAGTGAGTGACTGGAGTAGCCACTGTACATTTTGAGTCTATAAGTCTTAACTCAATGCTTGGGTAAATATCAGGTCAGATTGCTTTGGGGGCGGTGGGGTAGCCTAGTGGTTAAAGCGTTTGCTCGTCAAGCCGAAGACCCGGGTTCGATTCCCCACATGGGTACAATGTGTGAAGCCCATTTCTGGTGTCCCCCGCTGTGATAAAGCTGGAATATTGTTAAAAGCAGCGTAAATCTGAACTCACTCACTCAGATTGCTCTGCATGTATTTGTTGTGGGAAAAACACAATACTTATTGTAATATACAGAAGAAACAATCACTCATTTTGTAAATTTATGATACACATCAGTTTTCAAATGTTTGCTGCAGTGTATGGAAAATGAGGTCCAGTGTGTGTGTGCATGCATGCACTCCAAAACCTTTTGATTCCACGTTCCCAGATTTTATTCTTTGCATCATTGTGAGGAAGTTTTACTATTGTGATTGGGCATTTGTTAACTCATCTTATAGTTCCAGCGGACTCTTACAGACTCGGTAGCTGATTTGTTTATTGCTACAATTTGGTGTGCAGAGTTGTCCCTTACTCCTGCCCAAATCTGATGACAGATGTTTTGTGCTTAATAATTTACGTTCATCTCCCCTATATTCAGCATAGATCCTGTGACAAGTACTGTTCAAGTACCAGTTGGATGTCATAGTACCCAAAGGAATGTTGCTGGAAGACTCTGGCTCTCCCAATCTGTGTTACATGTGACTGTAGTTCGTAGTCTAAATGGTCTTGTTCATCCTAATACCAGTGAAATATGTTTGTGTTACAATCAAATCTACATTCTGTATGCTGCCATTCCCTCAGTACAGGAACTCAGGGTAGGAACAACCAATATCCCTTTAAAGGACTATTATGACATGCTGTACTTGCAGAGTGGTCATAGATGGGTTCAGACCAGTGACACGACACAAGATTGGTTTCATTTACAAACACAATGTAATAATGAAATTTTCATGTTGGGAAACTAATTCTTAGTACAAATCATAAGGAGAAATCTGACCATTTCTGTGTCGCTATTTCAGGAAGCTGAGAGGAAGAAAAAGAAGAAGCAGAAAGCCATTGTGAAAGTGGAGAGGAAAGGTGATCTAGACTTGATAGGAGGTGTTGGGGAATATGACTATGACGACGGAGAAGATTTTATGTAGTGCTTGCTACAGCCTTTGTGGATCTGTACATACGGAGGAAATTGTTGCTGATAATTACAAGCATTGTGCCTCATGGACAGCTCTGCCACAGCCCAATCAGTGTACCACCACACTTCCAAGTAAAGAAACCTAATGTCATGTATTTCAAGAACAGGGCTAGAAGTCATCAGTACAGAATCTGTTGCTTTTGTTCTCACTATACTCATAGTTAAACATTCATGCTCAGATGCTTATTATTTGTCTTGGAGGCATGAGAAGAAGCCAAATTCTTGAATAGCTATAGCTATTGTGACCAAAAATTGAACATGGACTGAATGTTATCATCTAAATCAGGGGCGGTGGGTTAGCCTAGTGGTTAAAGCGTTGGCTCGTCACGCTGAGGACCCGGGTTTGAATCCCCACATGGGTACAATGTGTGAAGCCCATTTCTGGTGTTCCCCGCCGTGATGTTGCTGGAATATTGCTAAAAGCGGTGTAAAACCTAACTCAGTCAGTCAGTCAGATATCTAAATCATGCTCATGTAGCAGTTCAAAAGTTTATCCCCCTTCTGGGTTTGGTAGGAGTTCATCATTTTCCAAATGACATGATCGCTATCATCTTTGACAGTGGATGACACACCGGATTTATGATTTGTGTCCAAACAATGAATTTTCTGTTTATGAACATTTTGTAAGAAACATTTTCTGACCACAGTTATTTGTTATAGAATGGATGATCATACCATATGCTCCTTTGATGGTTCTTTGGCATACTTCTCCTTTCATATGCATGAGGTAGCCTGTTACAAATTTGATATTCTCATGATTAAAACTTGTTGTTTTAATAAAACAAAATTCCAAAACTGATTGCAATTTATAAGAGATGGTTTGTTTCAATAGGGATGATGTAATCGAGATAGCTATATGTTGTGGGTGATTGAAATAAGAGGCTGAGCCCATATTCTTGTCACTTTGAACATATGTATATTACCTGCTGTAGACAGGCTTGCTGCTATACAAAGCATGACAAATTTGGCACATGGAAGTGATTTGTTTAATTGAAATCATACATACAAGCTGTCTCTTGTTCTGGAATTTGGATTCAATTTTTGAGAGTTCGTAGAAGAAAAATAAATCCATTTGATTGTGATATGTTCTATCATATCTGCTGACCACTGGCATAATACACCACTGCCTGTTTCTGGCTGCGTAAACACTTGCTTGATTCTTGTAGCTCATGATCTGATGAGGAATTTTAACTTGGATTTTGTGAACTTAAAGTGCTTATCTTTCCTGCCTACATTTTTAATTACACTATTCTGAATGATTAAAATTGACCTATAAATATTTATGATGTAAATAAAGTCTTTTGGTAGAAACTGATGCGTTGTTTGTATTGCCTTTCATGTCATATGACTAATATGTAAGACATCACTTAGTTCTTGTGCCCAGGTCACATCCATTGTGTAGGTGATAGAGTATCTACCCAGAGAGCAGGTCATTGGCCGTGTACTTCAAAGGAAAATGTTTTAAAGAATTTCTGAGATATTAGAATGCAGTATGTTTACGTGCAATACATCAACAGGTGTATCAGATGGTCACCACATGCTTGCTGCATATGTCAGCCAGGGATGTTATTAAACATGTGTACACAAAGAACTTAATTAAGCACCCCCTGTATTTTTGCAATGATAGGTTGTCAACACGTACACAAGACATGTTTTTCCATTGTGGTCACCACGAGATGGGTTTTTCTGATTATTAAAATTAAAAATGATTGGAATCCATGTTGATTTTATGATAATTGCTCATTTAAAAAGACAAAGCACTGGAATCAAAACCATGTCTGTACAAGTTTAATGTTGAATTTATTGGTGAATGTGAACATTCAAAATGCCATTTTGTGTGTTGTACAGGATTCAAAGTCAATATTGAGTGCGACCTCCAGGTTACTGTATGACAGCCAGTACTCTCCTCCTCATACCCCCTGTCAGCCTCTTGATCCTCTGAAGGGCCAATCTTGGCCAGGTTCTGTACAGGAGGATCCCTTTGTTGCGCATGACGGACAATCATGTCCCAGATATGCTCAAAGATTTAAGATCTTGGTGTATTCATAGACCGAACTGAATGAGGGATAAATTCTATCCAAAAGTTGGGCACTAGTTCAATCTGGAAATCAAATCACCATGGCAACTGGTCCATCTCCACATCTGAAAAGGGTGTTTCAATACAGGTCACATACAGTTGCTTTCATTGATCCAAAATGAAAATAGACATTCAGAGTTCTATAGGGGTCACAACTAATGTTTTGTTTTCAATACTGGAGATATATGCAGAAATATACAACTCGAAAGAGTTCATAAACTTATACCAAGTAGTTGTATGCAACATTTATTCCTTAAAAAATTCCTATTTAAAATAGGTCTTCAACAACTTGCTGTTTGCAAGTGATCTGGCTGTCTCTTGGATGACTGCATGTCAGTGTACCCTGACTGTCAAGAATGACAATCATATCAATGCTTGGTTTGTCTGGTCCCGACTATTATTTACAAGCCATCTTTATCAATTCTCTCAAGTTTCAAATCTTGCTTGACAACATATCTTAAAAGAGCACCTATTACTAACTCTTCAAACCCACCATGGATATTATTACATTGTATATTATCCTTTCGTTTTATGGTAGCGTATGAGCATGTGTGCGAGGATTATGGAGGCGCATTATAAATGTCCATATCAATATATAACCAAACAAATTACTGATGTTTGGTTCAATAGGTTTGTTTTGGAATAGAATTGAACTTGTTCAGTTCCCCTTGATCCCATGAATATGCAAGAAACATTTTATTAAAGCAAACAATAGCTAAGGACCCGTTTGAGCCTGATGGTACTTAACAGACGTAGTCATGTCAGCTTTGTTAACAAATGAATGAACATAGAAGACAGACTGCAAAGTATGTGCCCAGCTTCATGGGCGGTAAAATGAAAACAAACACAATGAAGTATGGTACATAATTTTACTTCAGTATGGCAAAGGAATATGGTTACATGACAATACCAGATGCTGACATGAAACGATGTAGGCGAAAATGAGACGCGTGGGGAAGATGGTGGACAATGATCAACCAATCAAATCACTGCATTCAGAACAGCATTTTACCACAGTTATGTTAAATCTACATAAGAAAGTTTGGAATGTGTAGCACATGATATTTTTTCAAACCAGCTCAAGAGACAAGGAACTTCAAAGTTCAAAGTAAACAAATCTAGAATTATCAAATTTAAAAATAGAAAATATCAAACATGTGGTAGAATGTCAGCTGAATGGATGGTGTGAACACATGCAAGGGGGATAACTCTGATGATACAATGACATGATTTGCAGGAAGTACACGCGGCAAGAAGCTGCGTGCCACAGGATGCTGACTAGAAAAAAACGGTGGAAATTAAGGCAGTTGGAGATCTCCTTCACTGTTCAGGATGGACCAAAGAAATGTAACACAATTCACTTTACATCGTTAGGTTGGCACAAACCCATCTGAAGTTACACATGGAAGAAGGAGACTACACAAACCCTACCTGAAGCCAACGAAGCAGTAATGGTGGCATGAACAATGCACCCTTGCCATGTCAACCCTGTTATTTACTTTGTTAGTAGTGAGACTAGCAACAGGAATAACCAGCTGTACACCAGATGTCACCTCCATACTCTAATAGCACTTGCTCAGCTTTTCTCCCAGCCCAAATATATTTCTCATTTAACAGAAAAATAAATTCACATCTCATATAAATTCTTCAAATCTGTGCTATGGACGAAAACTGGAAATTACAATTTTCAAGTGAAAGTAAAGTTAGAAAAAAGCATGTAACTATGATACATGATTCTAAATGTTGTCTACAGACAGAAATAACTACAGTTCATTTCGAGGCCTGATTAAATCTTTCAAACCACAAAACATGAAACATCGAAAATTAGCACATGGCTCAATCAGGTGACCACTTCACCATACAGAATCTGAAAGAACTACACTAGATCCTGCCAATGTTTTAACAAAAGCTGACAAGAGTAGTCAACACAGCCATCAATCCATTGCTGGACTTGGTAACAAGAATAATCACAACAAATCTAAATATATCTCTACAATATATATAAATTCCTTCTCTGTACTCAAACATCACTGGGAACAAACACATTTCTTCTTGTTAATAAATATTGAAATGGTGATCTTAATTTCAAACAACAAATAAAACAGTTCTCAATAAATAACCTTTTACAAAATAACATTCTCTTCAGTCACCATGTAACCATGAAGTCTCCCCTACATATACCCTCAATGACTGGTTAACTGTACAGGACATGGCTGGACCAATCACAGAAGAAACCTCACCACACTGGGTGGCTGTATACAACTGTAACAAATAGACATTTCACTGTTACAATATTGATATTTATTTTGTTCTTTTTATGATAAAACTACTCATGAACTAAGTAACATATGAAGGAAGAATTAGAAAAATATTTTGTCCTCACAGAAAATCTCAGTCCAGCCAGCCGTTTAATAAATGATCAGGTCCTTGTGTTATTCCAGATGGCAAACGCTGCATCATGTGCATCTTCAATGCGGTAAAATATACTGCGTTAAAACAAGTTAAAGACCAACAGATTCTTTCATACTACCATATCTAATGCGTCATAAATGTATCATGAAAGTATCAGGTGGTCGTTACTATACTAATATTCGTAGTATATAATGTTTCAAATTATATTACTGCAAGTTTTGTTCACTCAATACCCTCAACAAAATGGAATGACAACAGTTGTAATTTCAGGGACAAAGAATATTTCTACATGTCTTAATGTCCCAATATGACATTCCATACCAGAACATTTCTGGACTTATCTTGGTAGGTCCTATTACACATTCTGATGAAGCAGATAATGAAATACTAATATGTAATCATGTTTACTTTATGATTGTTACTGTGTCGAATAAGGACACCTATTGTCTGAGAAGTCTTTATCACTGTGACTACCCATAGGAGGTATATTCATCTTGAAATACTGTAAGTAAAATGTCACTAAGAAGACAGCTATAACAAAACTCCTCACAAAACTTTATCCACCCTATGTAAACTTCAGGAATTAATCTATTTACACACATCTTCCTGGGTCATCTTCCTGTTAAGTATCCATACCTGTTATTATCTACTTTAAAAATCTGTCAAAACAATTGCTTATTAAAGCAGCTTTCATCATAAAACAAACTAAAAGCTACTGCTGAGAGATTAACAAATAAATTAACAATTAATAAATACATAGAGGCTAAAACAATCTAGTAACATTTCAGAGATGATAAGATAATCATGGGCAACAGTTATTCTGAGCAGAAAACACAAAGGCAATAATCAATATTTTTTGCTACATTCTAAAGAGGGATTAAACTACTGAAAGTGAGTCAGTTTGATTTAAGTTTTTAATCAACACTTTGTCCGCCAAATTAACATTTATGACATTATCAAACTTCCACTGAACAATGCCAAACTCACAGAGGCCTTAGCTCAGTTCCATACAGAGTAGTCCCCCTTTAGCATGTCTTGCCTTAAACATCTTGTTCTCGTCTCATTAAATGAGTATTAGACACCAACTTGGACAATTGGCCATATGTTCAAGCATCAAAGTGAACAGATAGTGGTGACAAGAGAGACAACAAATAAATTTGTTTGACTGACAAAGAGTAAAATGATTCATTTTGGCATACTGAAACTTGATACTGGAAAAGAAACAACTGACATCGGTACATCGTGTTTCAACAGAGCTGAACCACACACACAATACCTCCAGCCTGAAAGTACTTGTAGACAGCCAAAATGCTGCAACAACTTAATTAACATTACTACAAAACAGATGCTTTAAGTGTTGTATGTCTAATGTCATTAAGTAAGAATTTCCCAAATAATATAAGCTCAAACTCTGTGGCCATGATTAGCAGTCCTTTCCCAGTCAGGGTGCTACTCCTCTGAAGACATACAAGGATTGTTTAACATGAGAGGTTATGAAAGCTGTGTTGAGCACAAGGGTGAGGGATGTCATGGAATCAGTATGATGAGCGCCCTCAATGACTTTGGCACATAAAGAACAGCAGATCCTGGTGAAGCGGACACAAATATGTTGACGTTACTCTAAATGGTGTTAACAATACATACAGTGAAATTTTCAATTGAGTGAAATGTTAAAAACATGGGAAAAGTGGTAGAATAATTACATGAATTGACAAATACAGAACCCTGTTCTTAAAAGCATTTTTAGAAAATGTTTGATGGGAAAATAAAAACTGGTTCTCAGGCACAATTTTATGAAATAACATTGTTTGGTGAAAAATGTATGCTAGCCACCTGTGAAAATTGTTCGTTTTATGCTGTAATGGGAAGTAAAATGCACTTGAAGGACGTCTTGCTTATCATGCTAAGGGACATTCCAGCCAACCACAAGCCTTCCTGTTCCAGTGTGTGAGTCAGCACAGCGCCTTATAATGGCACTCCAAGACTGCTGTACTGCCAACATGTGTACTTGAAGGTTGTAATTGCTTAAAGAGTGCTGGCGAAAAATTTCCTGTTTTCATATATCACATATTAATTTCAAATGAATTATATTTTACTTAACTCAAATTCACATGGTACCCCAAAGGTCTATGCTCCACTGAAAGCATACATTTAGTATGGATATATGCACTTAAGTTTCATCAGAATTTGAAAATACAATTTCTCACACACTGTTTTCCAAAACCACTAAACACTGGCATATCCTATTCAAAAGTATACAAGTGAAGTGTGAATTGTTCAAAAACATGATCAATGACATTTAAGTACAAATCAGAGACAAATTCTCGCATTATGAATTTAGCAAGGTACAGCAGAGAAATGGACACAGGTGAATAGTGTTTGTACCACTGACCACACATACTTGAAGAACATTAATAATTCAAAACACTCTGATACTGACTGTGAATATTTTGTACGAAAGGTATTCCACTTGAAGGAGTATGATCATCAGTGATAATAATGATTATGATGAAGATGATGCTGTGTCTGAGAGGGGAACATGTACATGGGTGCTTGGCTAGAATCTGGGATATAAATGTCTGTTCATGATTGTGACTGATGATATGAAATATTATGCCATGGCTCAGCATTGTTCACTCAGCTGCACATATACACATTCACAATTCTTAATTAATCAGATTTTATAACTTTACTTATTTGACACTAATACTTAGTGATGCTGTCAAATCTGGATGAGACAGCCATAGTTCTGTAATACATTTACAGTATGTCAGGTGCAATAGTTTTCAAATGGAAATAAATCTCTGTGTTAGTATTAACACAAAACCACTTTTGAACAGAAGTCTACTACACTATCATAGTATAAATACACATGGCAGCTTAGTGAAGCATATGAAACTCAATTAGCAACAGGAGACACATAGTTGAAAGAGACAACTCTCTGACCATATTCAGCTCTGAGGCATGCGTAAGGCATGAATGATGAAAGCATCACAACAATATAAAGAAACACAAGAAAACACCAAGAGCTGCCATTTGAAACCAGCCATACGAACATACATCGCACATAGCTCACCGTCCCCAAGGTCATGGTCAATAAACTAAAAATATCCCTGGGTATGATCATCTGGTTGAATTTCAAACATTTTCAGACATTTTTAAGATTTTGGAACAAACTGGATTGTTGACATCACACCATGAGCAACATGTTACGCTTCCATCAAAATACACATGTTCCTGGATATATAGTTTATATCATCCCAAACTGGCTTCCATATTGCCTTACAGACCACTGTGATGTCATTTCTTACTATGACATTAAAATCAAATGACATCACTTCTCCCTCTGCTACTGAAGCTGGTTAGCTGTACATTTTACAATTAAGATGCTGGTTATCACAGTTTACAAACTGAAAGGGTTGAAGGATGACCTTGCTTTCCAGTACTTTTTGATATCTAGTATAGTAAGACTGGGAAACATGGACGCATGTGAGATTCTCTGTAGGTCATGAACTTCATTAACGTTGGTCTCCATTAGATGACATCTGCTGGCAACATGGGGCATAGCTCCACAATGGAGAACAATGTATGCCATTGTGATATAATGCTGTTGATATGCGCCATATCATCCACCTTATCTCTATAGCATTATGCACTACTAAGCAACTTCAGTTAGAAGGGATATTCCGTAAAGTTTTTTAGGATCAAGAATTACATGTGACTTCAAATATATTTTGTTTTTGATTGAAAAGAAATTCAAGAATTGATGTTACATAACATGTACTTCAAAAATGCACTGCATAACTCTTTCCTCTTGACACCATCATTTTTAAACTGTTAGCCAGCTGCATGTTTCCTTAAAGTGCTCCCCAAAATAAGCAGTTAAAAACAATGTACATCGCCCAAGAAAATTCAGTAGCTTTTACACGAGGTGGAAATTGAAGAACATGTCAGTATTGAAAAGAAAAAACGTGACAGTTTTACAATATTCAGTTAAAATGTTCTTACATTTTAACAAATTTAAAACTACACAAGCCTATATATATCAGATGATATGTAGAGCAGATAACTATAATAATGTCCAGAAGCCTTGTGTTGTACACATTCTGTTCGGTATGTCCCAGCACTTGATGTATAACCTCAATTCTTCGAACACTAGCTTCCAAAAGAAAATAAACTTTTGAAAAGTAAAAATCACTAAAATGATTAATTCAGTGAATCGTTGCAAATGTTGAACAACCAAAGGAGAAAGACCAACAAGCAGATGTAATTTGTTAATTGTGATAAAAATGTTTGCAATGAAATAACATGAACAGTGGTGGTGAAAGATGAGAGAACATCGTACATCGTGTAACGGATGCTGTGATGGAATGACAAGAACAACAGTTCTTATTTAAATGAATCAACATCCTGGCACAGACAGTATGAGCTAGTAGCTACCTCAACTTCTAATAAGTGATGAAAAATTATGTCTTTATCTGAGAAATTGTCTCGTATGAAAAATATCTAGCATTTCATGCACTTCTGAGCCCAAACCCAAAACTGCTTCCGTATATGGGCTACTGATTCGCAATAAGGCTCACTGGACTTGAAGCTTGTCTCTACTCACTGGGGAATAGTCGGAACCTCATGAGTGTCCTGGTGCAGGCCAGAGCCCGTGTCTATGCTATGTACTGCTTTAACAGAAGTGTGGTGACTACAGCAGCAACAGGTCGGACACTGGCAGCGGCTGAGTGAAAACAACACAATAACCATGCAGGTTGATGCTAACAGATGGAGAAAGTCTAACACCACGGTACAGTCATCCAGCAAGACAGCAAGAAGAAGAACACATACAAACTTGTATATCATCTTACAGGAGCCAGTCTCATTGGTGCCAAACCTCTTACATCTGTTGTTAGGGTGGTAGTCATAATTTCAGCCTGGCGTAAAGATTCCTTGTTCGTGTAGAGGTGAAGCAGTCAGGCAGGCAGGCAGGCAGGCAGGGCCGGTGGGCAAGGTTTGTGTGTGGAATGTCCGTGCTTGTCACTTCAGTGGGAGGAATATGTACACTCAAATATGGCTATTTAGCCACTCACTGTAGCCCAGCAGATGGGAAAATCACTCACACTGACCTCTTTAGTCAACCCTTGAATCAAGGCTTGGCTGTTCGTCCAACACGGGGTACAAGCTCCTGCCAGTAAAGGGCAGCAAACTCAGTTGCTTGAAATCAATGGGATTCCTGATGCAATCCGCGCTTAGGTAACATGATCACAAACAACAAAACAAAACTGCCCTGTGTCAACAGCGCATTTCCTTCTGATGGAGTTGTCTCCCTTATAACCGGTCGAGTTTGAAAGTGTCCTCTGTCGCTGGGTCAGTGACCATATTTGGGTCGGTTAACATCTGAAGTCCATCTAGATCTAGAGGGTCTAAGCCTGCTTTAAAAGCTTCATCAGTTGAGAAAAAGTCTGTATCAAAGCTATCTGACATGCCTGTGATAGCATTTCCAAGGTCTTTGGCAAAATCTGGCGTCGGTCGTCCCAATGTGTCATCAGCACCTGTAAGATACAGAAATATTAGGAAACTGGAAACCAGACATCTTTTAATGCTGAATTATGATTCAAAATTAATAATCATAACTTTCCTTTCTTAAGTAACACGTTACATTAAGGATACTTAAGGATTATTGGATACAAATCCAAACACATTGTGAATAAAAATATAAGAAATTAGGAACCTCATTAAATCTGTATTTCACGAGTCGAATAGTTACTAAGTATAGAAATTACAAGTCACACTGGTCATGCAATGAACTGGCCATTTGTGTAATGTAAAGCAAGTACTGATTGTTTGGTGGATATAGCTGGCTTACATCTCACTGGAACCATTTGCTTAGTTCATGGGGATTGAGATTGAGATTGAGATTGAGATTGGTTTCTAATATCCACTGCACCATACAGAAGCCTTATGTGTTCATAGTGTAACCATGCAGTATTGACCATGATTTTGTAATATGTACAAAATAATGATAAAAGTTGGAAATAGATCTGGAAAATAAAGTATCTAAATATGTCTGGTCTTAGTCATTCTCTTGCCACAGAGGTTACTCAAGTCATATCTTCCCACGTAAAATCTGTTCTAATACGGCCATATTTCCCGGTTCTCGTAAGATCCCCTGTCAGCAAAAAATCGCAACACGAATTATCTCCCTTCTTTTTATCCAATCAGAACACGTGTTACATCGACTTAGAGCCAATATGGCACCCACCAAGGAGTTATTTGAACAACATGCAAAGGATAGATTTGCTATTTCATGTTTAACTGAAAACCAGAAACTAGCAATAGAAAGTGGGGCCACAAATATCCCTGCTCTGTCAGTGACTTATGTTGATGTGACACACAAGGCATTTAATGGCTAGCTTGTCCGTTGTCAACATGGGCGATGGAGACGCCATTGATCTGCCATTACATGACTGAGTTCTGTGTAGAAGAACGTTTGCGCATTGCGCAGTGGAAGAGGTTCTAGTTTTCCAGAAGCATACGGAAATTACCGAGGCTTTGCGAATGATCACTTTTGAAACGTCGCTGATTGCACAACTAAATCTGAAAGCAACCAATCACGAATCCTGAACACTCGCACCATGGCCGTATTAAAACAGAGGTTATGTGGGAAGATATGACCGAGTAACCTCTGTGGGAAGAGAATAGGTCTTAGTTGCTTGTTTGAGATTGATTCAAAACAGCTTAAACATAAATAGATTTAATGGCATGCAATAAATCAGACTTACAGCCCTAAGCACTTTGTGACCAAGAGCAATCCCTGTTTACAAATTTAGTAAAAACCTTTGAAATAAGCAAAAGAAAGTTACCGGTAAGAACAATATCTGGAATTTTGTTATTGGCCGAAGGAGATAAGTGCTGGGGTGTGTTCGGCTGCGGACTAGTGACCCCACCATTCCCCACCACCCCTGTTTGCCCAAGCATCTGCTGCTGCTGGAGCCCCATCTCCAGGGTGCGGAAGATCTGCTGCTGTTGCTGTTGCTGGAAGTCCTGGCTGTCCATGCCTGACTGGGAGAAGATAGCTGAAGAGTAGGAGGCCACACTGCTGCTTGCACTCATGGCAGACTCCATTGTTGAAATAGGGGTGTTATCAGGTAACTGCAAACGAAAAACGTCAGAATGAAGGCATAATTCACAATATTAGAAAAATATTGGCAGAGAATAAAAAGTCTGTGATGCATGAATTGTTTGGGGTTGAAAATTTGCTGACAGGTATGATTTCATGTTGAAAAATGAATGTCTGGACCCCTACTCTCTTCCTAGTTAAGCAAGGGACAACAGGACACTTAAATGGGATTCTTATCATAGCCATGGGATTCTTATCATGAGCTTGCCCAAGGAAAGCTTACCAAAGTATGACAAAAGCAATCCATGTTTGCGACATTTGTATACCCCGATACTTAAATATGCATAGTTGTCAAGCACAGGCTATAGGTGGTGACCGAAATGAGCGAAAGTGCAATAGAAGATATATAAATACATTCATCCATGTACTTCCTGGCCCCATAATTTGGTAGCAATTGCACAAAAAATATGCTAGTCATCAAATCCATGTCAATGAATATATCTTCGTTATTTTTTCATCAAATTAATTATAGAGGAATATGTAAAGAAAAGTTTGAATTGACATCTAATTCTCCCTGCTCTGTCACAAGTCTAAAAATAATAAGACATCATCAGTCAGTGACGAGTCTGAACCAGCATATTGTAGCATTGCTTAAGGCATTATAAGCATGTTAAAACAGCTGATAATAGTCAGTTTGCTTATACTAGATCTAACTAAACTCATTTAAAGACAAGTTTAGTTTAGCAGACTGAAGGTGTTTGACAGAGACTATATCATGTGATAGATATTAATGAAAGCAAGACAGGAATCTAGGAAGCAATTACATAGTCCACACCTAAAGTTGTCTCAACCATAAATAGACAATATATACAGTAACGAGCAGAAAATATGTAACTTTTCACAGACGTAGTTTCAAAATTTATTTACTGATAAATTCAGTTATATTTTTCATACATCCACTCTGGATATTGAAGTTTACATTTATGCAAGTCAATAGTCTGTTAGTCCACCGTTTCTCTCGATGCACTGCTGAATACGGCGTCCCATGCTGTCAGTCAAATTGTCTATGTAGTCCTGGGGTAGGCCCACCCATATTTGACTGATGAGATTAGACCACTCAATGACACTCTTCGGTTCCAACTTTTCTAATTTGTCCTTCATAATCTGCCACACATTTTCAATTGGGTTCTGGTCTGGTGATGCCGCTGGAAATTTCTGTAAGGTCATGTGACTCCTATCAAACCAGTTACAGGTGTGTCTTGACTTGTGTACAGGTGCATTGTCCTGTAAAAGTTTGAAAGCTATTCCACTCTGTCCTATATGGGATTCCACTATGCCTTCTTGTATAAGTTGACAGTACTTGCGTGAATCCATCCTTCCTGTAATAGTTAGCAGCGGCGTTACCCCGAAGTTTGCCTATACCACCCCAAACCATGACACTGGGTGAGAACTTCGGAACCATTTTGCAGCTATGTCCACCTCTTGACCACCTCTTTCTTGTGATCCTATAAAACTGAAACTTTCATTCGTCCGTAAAAATCACATTTGAAAAGTCTGTACCCTGCATTTCCCTGCACCACTCGAGCCTTTTCTTCATATGTGCTGTTGTCATCAATGGAACTTTCTTCGCACTCGCTTGACATATCCAGATTGCTTTAAAGATCTTCTGATTGTCCATTCTGATACCTTAGGGTTCCTTGACTTGACGCCTTCACGGCAAGCTGTTTTGCAGACCAGTTTGGATGCACGCCACAGCGCCACGCGATACATGCGGCATATCGTCTGTCATTTGCCCCAAGAGTAGCAAGAACGCCCCGATCCAGCCTGTCGCTCTGTCCCTAACCCTGCGTCAAATTTCGTCAAATTTCAGTAAACAGAGGCCCGATGCAGTCCCGTCAGTTTCACAAGTCTAGTTACGGATGTAATACCTGCTTCATAATATGCCAAAAGTCAATTTCTGTTGTTTTGTAACGTCGTGGCAAAGCTTCGGTATCGTCTGTTAGCAACGAGGTCACGTGATCAAGCCATCCCTGAACCCAAGGGAGATAATTCCATACCAACGAGGCAAGCTACTGGCAGCTAGAAACAATATATTTCGGCTTTTTTGATAGTAGGATCGAGGCTATAGAATAAAGTTTTTTGTCGCATTTTTTCTGCTCGTTACTATATATAGCCAGCAGTTTCTCAAAACTTTGTCTCAATCTTGAACAATCAAAAAACGTTTAGCAAATAGTCTCTAATATCTCTTAAATTCCATATTTCAAAGTGTTTCATGAGTGACTGGCCATGTTTATTAACGCAACTGACATTTGTTAGAAAGAAAAACAATATAATGCATTAGAAATTGCATTATTTACATCATTGTGACGAATTTCATGAATAATTCTTGAACTATAATGGTCTAATATTATAGATATTCCTGAAACAATTTTGGTGTTTTCTGGTATGTAAAGCATCTTGACAGTGACCAGGACCATTTTTTAAATGGAAGAGCAACAAGTTAAGCTGTTAAAAGTGTAAGTGATCTAACATGCCTGATCTAAAATTGCCTTGTAATCTGATGAAGAGAAAGGGATAATGCCAAGGTCCCCATCATGGTTTGTGCTCTCTTGTAACCTTGACCTTTCCTGAAAATTAGCCACAATGGAATTAGGAGTAGTCTGGAGCCTTATTCTTAGACACGTAAATACTCCAGTTATTTTTGTAAAATCTCACAAGAAACTCATAGTTTGTTGAAATAAGTGAAAATTCAAATGAAACTTATACAGTTATATTTGAACTTATTTAATAATGTGAAAATTCAAAATGTCAAAGCCAGACATACATTAACATGCCAGCAAGGACTTTTCTGGATACTTTAGGCTTCAAACATTACTATGCACATTACTATTAGACACAAGCTATCAATCTTTCTGTTCACATAATGACTTGCATATAGTGAACATTCACTTATGCGAAAGGACCTACATGATGTTTGCACAACATCAACTGAATGAGACACATCATTCTGAGTTGCAAATGCCTGAAATGCTGTGTTCACTATACTTGTTGCTGACCATATGCACAAAGACATGCAAACACAGTAAGTCCTCAATCTAACAAGTATAAATCAGACTACCGTGCAGCCATATCAGAAATAAAGTCATATGAAAACACTTACATTGTCAAACAGAACTTCATACTATGAGAATTCTATCAAGCAATCTTTGCCTCATGACTTAAAATGCATGCAATTTAACATGTTCCTCTTGCCCACCAGCGACATCAGGAGCAAACAAACCACACGTGGAATAGAACATTGGTTTGAGGCATGATGAATAGATATCAACTAAGCTAATCTACAGCCTGATTCTGATTTGGATAGAAGATGATAAAGTAGTTCAGGCATGGTTCGAGTTCAATATCAAATGCATGATTCTTACTTAATCATCCTGTGGGGATTCATTATCAGTAGAATGATGTAATGGAGGTCCCTGGATTCCAATGGAAGTCCCCAGGAAGGTTTTTGATGAGGTACCCAGGAAGGTATCTAATGGAGGGTCTGGATGGGGTCCCCAGGAAGGTATCTAATGGAATGTCTGGATGGGGTCCCCAGGAAGGTATCTAATGGAATGTCTGGATGGGGTCCCCAGGAAGGTATCTAATGGAGAGTCTTGATGAGGTCCCCAGGAAGGTATCTAATGGAGAGTCTTGATGAGGTCCCCAGGAGGAATCTAATGGAGAGTCTTGATGGGGTCCCCAGGAAGGTATCTAATGGAGGGTCTGGATGGGGTCCCCAGGAAGGTATCTAATGGAGGGTCTTGATGGGGTCCCCAGGAAGGTATCTAATGGAGAGTCTTGATGAGGTCCCCATGAAGGTATCTAATGGAGAGTCTTGATGGGGTCCCCAGGAAGGTATCTAATGGAGGGTCTGGATGGGGTCCCCATGAAGGTATCTAATGGAGAGTCTTGATGGGGTCCCCAGGAAGGTATCTAATGGAATGTCTTCATGGGGTCCCCAGGAAGGTATCTAATGGAGGGTCTGGATGGGGTCCCCAGGAAGGTATCTGATAGAGGTCCTCAGGAGGTTTTAATGGGGTCCCCAGGATGGTATCTAATGGATTCTTGAGGGGTCCCCAGGATGGTAATGGAGGTTCTTGATGGGGTCCCCAGGAAGGTATCTAATGGAGGAAGTCTTGGAGGGTCTTGGGGTCCCCATGAAGGTATCTAATGGAGAGTCTGGATGGGGTCCCCAGGAAGGTATCAAATCTGGATGGGGTCCCCATGAAGGTATCAAATGGAGAGTCTTGATGGGGTCCCCAGGAAGGTATATAATGGAGGGTCTTGATGGGGTCCCCAGGAAGGTATCTAATGGAGGGTCTGGATGGGGTCCCCAGGATGGTGGTGGTGGTGGTGGTGGGGGTGGTGGAATTGGGTTTAACGTCATGCTTGAGAATATTTTGCTCATATGACGACGTGCATGCGTATGTATATGTATGTGCGGCTGCTTGTACTAGCCCAGACTGAAGCTGGTTTTATAGTGCTAGCCCACTGAGATACCATGCCGCAGTGACGCAGAAATACCCCACTCAGACACATTATACTGACTCCCGAGCCAACCAGTCCTTGTTGTACCCATTAATGCCGAGCGCCAGGCAGGGACCAACAAGTACAATATTTTAACGTCTTTTGGTATGACACGGTCGGGGATCGAACCCGCGACTTTCCGCACTCCGGGCGGACGCTCTAACCACTACACCACGGAGGCGGTCCCCCAGGAAGGTATCAAATGGAGGGTCTTGATGGGGTCCCCAGGAAGGTATCTAATGGAGAGTCTTGATGGGGTCCCCAGGAAGGGATCTAATGGAGGGTCTGGATGAGGTCTCAATGGAGGTTCTTGATGGGGTACCCAGGGAGGTATCTAATGGAGGTTCTTGATGGGGTCCAAAGGATGGTTTCTAATGGAGGTTCTCAGGGAGGATCTTGATGGAGTCCCCAGGATGGTATGCCCCAGGAAGGTATCTAATGCAGGTTCTCGATGGTGTCCCTTGGATGGTATCAAATGGAGGTTCTTGATGGGGTCCCCAGGTAAGTATCAAATGGAGGTTCTTGATAATGTCCCCATGGTGGTATCAAATGGAGGTTCTGGCTGAGGTCCCCAGGATCTTATCTAATGGAGGTTCTTGATAGGGTCCCCTGGGAGATATCTAATTGAGGTTCTTGATGGGGTCCCCTGGGAGATATCTAATTGAGGTTCTTGATGGGGTCCCCAGGATGGTATCTAATGGAGGTTCTTGATGGGGTCCCCAGGATGGTATCTAATGGAGGTTCTTGATGGGGTCCACAGGAAGGTATCTAATAGAAGTCCTCAGGGAGGTTTTTAATGGGGTCCCCAGGATGGTATCTAATGGGGGTTCTTGATGGGGTCCCCTGTGAGATATCTAATAGAGGTTCTTGATGGGGTCCCCAGGATGGTATCTAATGGAGGTTCTTGATGGGGTCCACAGATGGAAGGTCCCCTGGGATGGTATCTAATGAAGGTTCTTGATGGGGTCCCCTGGGAGATATCTAATGGAGGTTCTTGATGGGGTCCCCAGGATGGTATCTAATGGAGGTTCTTGATCGGGGTCCACAGGAAGGTATCTAATAGAGGTCCTCAGGGAGGTTTTTAATGGGGTCCCCAGGATGGTATCTAATGGAGGTTCTTGATGGGGTCCCCAGGATGGTATCTAATGGAGGTTCTTGATGGGGTCCCCAGGATGGTATCTAATGGAGGTTCTTGATGGGGTCCCCAGGATGGTATCTAATGGAGGTTCTTGATGGGGTCCCCAGGAAGGTATCTGATAGAGGTCCTCAGGGAGGTTTTTAATGGGGTCCCCAGGATGGTATCTAATGGAGGTGCTCAGGGAGGTTCTTGATGGGGTCCCCAGGAAGGTATCTAATGGAGGTTCTTGATGGGGTCCCCAGGATGGTATCTAGTGGAGGTTCTTGATGGGGTCCCCAGGAAGGTATCTGATAGAGGTCCTCAGGGAGGTTTTTAATGGGGTCCCCAGGATGGTATCTAATGGAGGTGCTCAGGGAGGTTCTTGATGGGGTCCCCAGGAAGGTATCTAATGGAGGTTCTTGATGGGGCCAGGAAGGTATCTTATGGAGGTGCCCAGGGAGGTTCTTGATGGGGTCCCCAGGAAGGTATCTTATGGAGGTGCCCAGGGAGGTTCTTGATGGGGCCAGGAAGGTATCTAATGGAGCTGCCCAGGGAGGTTCTTGATGGGGTCCCCAGGAAGGTATCTACTGTAGGTCCTCAGGGAGGTTTTTGATGGGGTCCCCAGGATAGTATCTAATGAAGCTTCTTGATGAGGTCCCCAGGATGGTATCTAATGGAGGTCCTCAGGGAGGTTCTTGATGGGGTCCCCAGGATGATATCTCATAGGTCCTCAGGGAGGTTCTTAATGGGTTCCTCAGGAAGGTATCTGATTGAGGTCCCCAAGGAGGTTCTTGATGATGTTGCCAGGAAGGTATCTAATGGAGGTTCTGGATGAAGTCCCCAGGAAGGTATCTAATGGAGGTGCCCAGGGAGGTTCTTGATGGGGTCCCCAGGAAGGTATCTAATGGAGGTTCTTGATGGGGCCAGGAAGGTATCTTATGGAGGTGCCCAGGGAGGTTCTTGATGGGGTCCCCAGGAAGGTATCTTATGGAGGTGCCCAGGGAGGTTCTTGATGGGGCCAGGAAGGTATCTAATGGAGCTGCCCAGGGAGGTTCTTGATGGGGTCCCCAGGAAGGTATCTACTGTAGGTCCTCAGGGAGGTTTTTGATGGGGTCCCCAGGATAGTATCTAATGAAGCTTCTTGATGAGGTCCCCAGGATGGTATCTAATGGAGGTCCTCAGGGAGGTTCTTGATGGGGTCCCCAGGATGATATCTCATAGGTCCTCAGGGAGGTTCTTAATGGGTTCCTCAGGAAGGTATCTGATTGAGGTCCCCAAGGAGGTTCTTGATGATGTTGCCAGGAAGGTATCTAATGGAGGTTCTGGATGAAGTCCCCAGGAAGGTATCTAATGGAGGTGCCCAGGGAGGTTCTTGATGGGGTCCCCAGGAAGGTATCTAATGGAGGTGCCCAGGGAGGTTCTTGATGGGGTCCCCAGGAAGGTATCTAATGGAGGTGCCCAGGGAGGTTCTTGATGGGGTCCCCAGGATGGTATCTAATGGAGGTGCCCAGGGAGGTTCTTGATGAGGTCCCTAAGATAGTATCTAATGGAGGTCCTCAGGTAGGTTCTTGATGGAGTCCCCAGGAAGGTATCTAATGGAGGTTCTTGTTGGCGTTGCTAAGAAGGTATCTAATGGAGATCCCCAGGGAGGTCTCCAATAGAAACCAGTGCCCATGATTCACACAAGAGTGGACAACCATGGAGAGGTGGAAGATGCAATGTTGCTCATTCATTAGCAAAAGTATTCCGACAGTGAGCATGGAGGCTGCTAGCCATTTTGGTTGCTGTGGTTCAAACAATTACAAATGTATGTCTACATCATCAGTGTCCATGAAGAGTCTCAATTCAATATGCAAGTGGAGCACAAGGAACAGCACTTTGCTTCTCATACATTCTACATCAAAATTTTGTTCAGAACCCAAAAACTGAAAAGGATTATCAGTTCAAACACAGACACTCCTGTGCAATTGACTTTGCAACTGAAAATGATGTCATGAAAGGATGTGGTCCAGATTACCAGCTTTCATGTCAGTGGAGTCATGTTGTATATGCTTTAATTGTAATGAAATAAAAATAACATATTTGATCAGAAAAAGGTTTCACTGACTTAAACAAGTAATTTGAATCACATCAAGGACTGAATGCTGTGGTACACTACCATGTGGAACTGCTCAAACTGCTGTTGTAGTGCATTGGTCTGCTGTTGCTGCTGCAGGTAGTATGCCTCGGCGAAAGGGGAGCTGTTGATTGTGGACGTTGGGGGGAGGCCTGGAGACTGAGCGGGGGAGTATGACGGTTGTGACAACGGCGATGTGGGAGATTGACAGCCAGTCTCTGACACATTATTTCTATACTGCGTCATAGACGGCTGAAAGAGTAACCAGGATGTACAGATACCAAACATGATAATGAGGGAGAAATACATTAAATAACAGAAGAAATTGCAATCATCAGTACTACATCATCAGCATTTGAAACAATCACTGGGAAAGAAATGAAAAAAAGCCCAGCCAACTGGAGACAAGTGGATATACCCAATGAAGTCAGTCACAGCTTGCTTCATCAATGTCATATCAGGTTCATGGCAAACATGTGTAAAAGGTCTGGCAACCAGGCCTTCCATTAGTAATTAACTGCAGTTCAAGAACAGCTGTTTCTGCTTTCAGTGAGTGAGTTGGTTCATTGCCACTTTGAACAGGGTCAGATTTCATTTGTTGCGTTTACAAAGCTGCAGATCATCTTTCAAATAAAACAGAAAATAATAAGACACCTCCCTTCTCTACATAAAATGAGACATGGCCTGAGAAGAGTGACTCTATTTTTAATTTGACTGTTGTTTAGATGAATCCACCAAGACAGGAAGCCTTGACCTACAATCCTATTAGCTTCCTCTTGTACACGAAGGGTTGCTAACGTCCCATCCTAGATGAAGTTTAATGACACTTAAGATAGCATTTTGATTACCCCTTTGTCAGGCAAAATGTTGAAGGAAAGCATGCGCTGTGTACACATGTACCACCTTTGGGCCTTCCACAAGCATGGGTATAGCACTGACAAAACACATCTTCCCTAGGCAAGGGAGTAAACTGAATTTAAAAGTCCACTTTCCACCCTTACCAAACTAGGCTGGAATTATGGAGTAATATTTCTCTGGACCAACAGTTCTATGCATAATCCAATCAAAATCACAATTGCTCTGCAGATTTTGGCTGATTGCAGAATTTGAAGAGCACTTAAGCATCAAAAGATACTTTTCAAATCTTTTTATGCTTCATGGGAATAACACATATTATATCAGTCAATGAGATCTGAGTCTGAACTGGGAACCATTTTGTTTGAAGTATATACTGGCAATATGAGAGTTAGAATCTCACATCAGGACATTTATACAAGGGATATGACTAATGGTAGCTCCAGGTGGTGCCATGATCAAGGCATGGAATTCCAGCACAGTAAGAGTGGAAATTGGACCTTTACAGTCAGTACTTCCTGGCCTTGGGATGATGACAAACCAGGATTATGATTGGATTAAGAGCTGTGACCAAAAGATCCTGGTATATATAGGAGAGACAAATCCTGAACTTAACTCTGCCTTGAAACTACTGATTTCCTTTCAGGAGAGGTATTTTGTCTAATTTGGTGACATAAACTTTTAGCTTTAACAGAAAAAGATAATCAAAAGAGTTGCCCAATAACTGAGACTCTGCAACTTACCTTTAAGAAAGCAGCAAATAATACAATGTCTAAAATACCAGTACACAAAATTTGCAATAAGAACATCTAATCCTGGTATTGAGGCAAGTAAAGGCTTTGCATGAACATGTGTATATGTTATAACAGATTGTCAAACATCTCATCATGAGAACCACAAAGTAACCAATTAGAAGACAAAACATCCATGCACAACCCTGTTTGACCACAACTACAACCTAAGTCCTGACATCTCGCCACACACCATGCACTGTCTACACATCAACAGCCTAAAGAATGGGTGTCCTCACTGCCTCCATACCTGTTAACTGGCCTTCCACGCTGCACACCAATTAGAACTTCCTTACAATCACTTTATAATACCTATTCCCAACTATATCTGTTACAGATATGACTTTTCCTTCTAGTAGATTGTTTTATTTCACAGGTTCAGATTTCCTACCCCTATAGCTGATACCATGTATATTTTAGGCCTCTATTGGTATTCAACTAGAAATTGTACTATCAAAATGACATTCCAAAACATGGATGGAAATATGTTAGCATTTTCAGATGAAGTTTTATGATGAATTCTGGTTTTCATCTATATCTCTCTGATGGACTTTAAGTCCATGATGTGCATGCTTAATGCTTATGCCACACCTTAATTCTTTTCTTCAAAGTTTTATTACCACCTTTAGTTCATAGGTAATTCTAGCAGATGACATCCAATAAATGTTTGAAGAGTAGTATCTTTAAGAAATGAACTCTCAATTTCCATATTTGTAAAATGTGGCACAATTTCATAAGTTCAAGTAAAGGCAAAACTGCAATATCTTTCTGCAAGGGTTCAAAATGGCTGTCGATTGTGTCAGCTCATCCAGGAAGTTGATACTGACCTGTGATTGCTGTTCATGTTCACATGATGTAATATGCACCTGCGGTACGCGATGGTGCGGCGAGTACGGCTGTTGCTGTTGCGGAGATGTTTGCGACTGTTGTTGATGTGGGTGAGGGTGGTGGTTATTGTATACAGGGTGTGGAGCAGCAGCCTGGGCGGAGGAGGAGTTGGGTGCTCGGTGACGCTGCTGCTGCTGCTGGTGCATATACAACAGATACTGCTGACGTATTCGGGGATCCACACTTAACTTACTGGGGTCCATATTGCCAACCTACAACCAAACACAGTCACAAAAACACACAACTGAGGAACTCAAACTGAAGCAACTCGAAAACAATGGACTTGAAATAAAAAGAGGAAGCACATGTTTCACATACTAAGGCAAGGGGAACACAATAATCTAAGCAACACTTGTCAGCGGCTAACATGCACCCTTTAGAACCAAAACATTTAATCAAATTTAAATTCATAAAAAATGGACCAAGGAAATTGCAGTTGTTACTTGCCTGGAATTGGACAAGTTAAAAAAGCTTCAGAAAATTTGGAAAACAAGTTGTTATTCCTTCTAAATTAATCCTTGTCAAGAACAAGTACAATATATGCAAAATCTTAATTCTTCAAAGTACAATTAGAAACAATGGCATACATAAGTAGACAGGCATTAGATTATTATATGAATAATATTATCACTATGAATATAAACACTATCATGCAAGATTGCTTTCTGTTTGTCAGTAAGGCTGCCTGTTTCTGTACATACACTGATGTGAGTATATTATTCAAAATACAATGTAATGCCAGACATACTTCCAGTCAGTCAGTTTGCAACATCACTAGTGTCAAAAGGAAATCTATCATTAACTACTGATGGTTAAATCTATTTCTATCAATGTTTAGTTCTTTTGAGGGAATCAAGTAAATCACATTCTCAGAAATAATGTTGTTTACATAAATGAAGGAATGATACACAGGAAATCTTTCTAACCATGATTTATGCCACAAATGTTACAGAAAGAGAAATAGGTTTTACAAAATATTTAACATTTTCTGACATCGTCTAAAATGTATCTCTGCCCTGAAAAGGTTACCATTATAAGCTATTTAGCCATTTTTCAACTGGCCATATGAGCACAGGTCCCAAAGTTTGGTGCTAGAGGGTTTGTTATGATGATGGTAATCTCTATATCATAACATCATGCTGCTACACATCACACCCAAAATCACAATCTAGCAATTCGAAAAACACTCGCCTTGCAACTAATTCTAACTAAATGTTTTTCAAGCTGAGTGCTTAAACCGTAGACAGACAGCCACAGGTAAGAATTTCTACTGTCTAATTTTGTCTAGATACAAAGCTACACTTTACGCACAGTATCAGCTCAACATCACAACAGACAATAATCAGACATACCATCTGCTCTCTAGAGTATCACAGTACTAAATAAGATGCAAACTTAAAATGTTCACTCACTATTTGTCTAAACATGATCAAATTGTTTTGTCCACACATGCAAATTGACCAATCGGTTTTTTTTTCTTACAGAAAAGTCCAAATTAGGTATTTTTCTTGAAATACTTTTCACAGAGCATAACTGAGACCTCTATCTTGAGGGCAGACGGTCAACCTCTGAAAGCAGACATGACACTACAGGAGTACTTACTGGTGGTGAGAGGGGTATCCTCATCTGATTAGTATTACTGAGCACAAGTGGACTAGGAACTCCTTGCGCATGACGACGTCGCTGCCCAGGACTCTGTTGGCTAGTGACATGTTGTTGCTGTGGCGACATGGTCATGTGATTGAGACTGGTTGGGGAGAGGTTTACTGGGCTACCTTGTTGCTGATAGTCTTGTGGTTCAACGTCCAGCGGCGTTGCCATGGGTGATGGGAAGTTGAGCACGGTAAGGTCGGGTAGCGACCCAGTGTTGTTTGAGATGGGTATGTGAGGAGCTCCTGAATCTTGTTCTTGTGATGGGTAAATGCTGCAAAAGCAACAAAATGTAACTACTGCAAAGAACAACTCCAAAGATGTAGACAATTAGCTTATAACTGATCAAATCATCTTTGATGGCATCATCAGGAGCAGACAACCCAGGGGACTACAGTGTGTTAATTTTTTCAATATTCTAACCAGGATGGAAAGTAACATCAAGATAATGCTTCATAAATTGTGCTCATGTACAGAGAAAAACAAGGTCTCGGACAAAAGTGAGTAAGGTTTCACACAGCTTTTAGCAATATTCCAGCAATATCACGACAAGAGACACCATCAGTGGGATTCACACTCGGTGCCCATTTCGGGAATCAAACCCATGGCTTGGGCGAGACATGCAGACACTTTCACCACTAACCTACTTATCCCCTTTAGCGTAGGTAAATATTGTAAAAGCAATGGACAAAGAAGGCTCTGTAGCCTCCCCCATTGTCTCAGTCACACAGCATTAATAGGAGATCAGTGTCCACAGTCTTTTATTTGGTAAGGCGTTGCACGGGGATCAAACAATTCCACCCTCCCAGGCTGCATGTAAAATATTACTCACTTGATGTTGGGTACTTCACATGACTTTGGCCGAGATTGCGCAAGCTGAAGGAGAAAAGCAACAGTGAAAATATCTCCATGGTAAAGTGTGGCAATCACTCAGTAGGCCGTTACATATCACTGACAGTCAGTGAGGGAGGAAAGGCCCAGTGTGATGTAGAACAAAGGTGTTAGAAACCACACTCACAGGGCTGAGGTCACGACTGGATTTGAACACAAGACCAGTATATTTGGCAGCTAAGGAACATTACCATTCATAGAATCTCCTGTGAAAAGCTTTGGCCTTATCACTTATCTTGTCCTTATAGAAAAAGTCAAACAAAATCAAGAAAAAAAATTCTTCCTTTTCAAATGCTGGCAAGATGAAAATCTTAAACAAGATTTTTTTTTCAATATATCTATTGCTACAAATGTAAAACAAATCATATTGTTTACAACAAACAAAAAACTACATATGATATAAATGACTTTTCAATCTTGACGCAAAAAGGGTAATCATATTTACATTCTTGGGCAAATTTTTAGAAAATATATAATTTTCAATGTTTATGCCTTTAACAAATTTGAACCCACTTTTATGATCTGAAAAGTTATTTCAGTTTCTACTGAGTAGTTTTAGAGGAAAAGACCTCAGTCAGCTTCCCAACCACATCATGTGATACTATGATTGTGAAAGTACAGCAAAACTATATATAATTATTAAAAAGCTTGCTAAGCACATGAAATACATGAAACGAAAATTAAACACCCAATTATTCTTTCTAACTTGAATTTGCCCAAAATACAAACATGGTAGAAAATACAACATTTTATATCCAAAAAAAGATAAATCTCTCCCATCATAATTGAAAACATAGACCACAACCCTACCACACCATCAGTACAAACAACACAGTTGATGAGACTTGGTTTGAAAGAAAGGATTTTGTAATCTAGCCAAGAAGCCATTGAGAGGTTCCTCTTGATCTCAGATTGCAATCTGCTGCAGACTGAAACTAAAAGGATACTCCAGTAGCTGTAGATCAGTTTAACAGAGCTTATGCCCAACCACAGACACAGAGAGCACAGCAGGGACTACCAGTTATTTCACCCTCCTCATCAATCAACACACCTTTTTGGGATCCCAGTAACCTCCGTCGCCCATATTCTGGCCAGCAACTTCAGCTACTGGGGAAGAAAATTACACATGGTATAATCAACATTGTAAGAAAAACATAACACAAACACAGTCTTGTCAATAAATCCATTGTTGAATGTAGAGTTGTGGCATTGACATATTGACCCAATCCAAAGCCCTATGCTAAGGTACCAAACTGTGTATAAGAGTGAGTGAGTAGGTAAGGTTTTACGCCACTTTCAGCAATATTCCAGCAATATCACAGCGAGAGACAGAAGAGGGCTCACACATTATACCCATGTGGTGAATTGAACCTGGTTCTTCTGCATGACAAGTGGACACATAACCATTTGGCTATCCCGCCACCCTTGTGTATAAGGAAACATATACGACTCAAACAAGTTAAAGAACGGCCATGGAAAGTCAGGTGTTTTGAGTAGGAAACTATCGTGGGGTGAGTCAAGTTACATTTGATGTAAATCCAGAGGACACACAAAACAAATCTCATTTCCTCCCACTCAAAGCAATTATGTCGTAGGGGGACGAATAGAATTTTATGGATAGACAACTTCTTTACTGCAATAGTGAGTGAGTGAGTGAGTGTGGTTTTACGCCGCTCTTAGCAATATACCAGCAATATCACGGCGGGGGACACCAGAAATGGGCTTCACACATTGTACCCATGTGGGGAATCGAACCTGGGCTTTCGCCATGACGAAGCGAAAGCCTTAACCACTAGGCTACCCCACCACCCCCTTTATTGCAATAGATGCAATGTTTCAGTGTAGATGCTAACACCGTTATCAAGCAAGACATGACCAGCTTCTAAATGCCACTTAAGGAAGTAATTACTTCCAAGTCTTTCAATAATTGTTGCAGCCACCTAACATTAATTTATGGAATTATTTTGTTCTGGAACTGTATAGAGTTGCACCAGCGTAACAGGAAGTTACATGAAGACACATATTAAAACAAGATAATAAATCACTCCAGAAATTAAAGGGGATCAACACACAATTATTTTCTAAAATCTGTAATTTGCATTGTGTTTTGCAGAGGAATGAGAGGTGTCAGATGCATGAGGCACAAGCCTGCACCACTGAGGCACCAAACGATACCTATCAGGCAGTTAGCACTGAAGTTTCCATGGCCATATTTGGTTTGTTTCTAGCAGCTCTGACAAAGGTTTGAGTTGTGTTTTACTTAACAATCTAACAAGGAGCAACTGAGACATAAAGTTCCTTAGGAAAGCCAGCACATAATTAAAGCCTGATGCCCTCCATTCAAATCATGCTGCTTCAATCATTTCAAGTGGCATCATAAGGTTCAGCTTTTGGCTTCTTTTTTAGTAGCAAACATTAGCCAATCAAATGCAGGAAGTTACAAAGTGGCACTACTCAGGGAGCCTCACAGCCACCATGGCTGGTTTCTGGAACAAGTCAACAGAAGCATTTATCAGTCTGTGGTATTTTTTTACTTCATGAAAACACTGACAGAAATCTTCAAATTATTTGGCAATAACATTTTTTACTGGTGTCAGTACTTAAGACAGCCAAGGGTTCATGCCACTGACAAAAGCGGATGTTCCACATGCCTGACACAATATTGCTTTGTTCCTTATGTTGTGTGCTTGACTAAAGATGTTCACTGCTTTACAACACAACACTTCAGGGCAGAGTCGTGTTCCAAACAAGTGATCAACATTGGGTAGGACATGGTTGCATAGCTAACAATACATATACACTGTACTTAGAGATTTAACAATCAATATTCAAATTACCTGACCCATTTATTCAAGTCTTCATCTCCGGCTACGTGTATGAGTAAAGCACTGAAGGAAGGTGAAAATAGGGCTTCTATTGATATAGTTGAAGGAAACACTCTATAACAGCATGTGACACCGGTTACAGAGGCACCTGCTCATTCATGGCTTGACAGCTGACTGTGTCATCGCTGACAGCATGGCAGTGCTCATGCTCTTCTCACCATTCCATCTGCATTCACATATGAGTGAGTAAGTGTGGTTTTCAGCCGCTTTTAGCAATATTCCTGCAGTGTCACGGCGGGGGACACCAGAAGTGGGATTCACACATTGTACCCGTATGGGGAAATAGATCTCGGGTCTTCGGCGCGACGAACGAACACTTTAACTACTAGGCTACCCCACTGCCCCGCATTAATATATATGAAGGCAGGGTGATTGATACTGTATCATCTGGCACCGATTTCTCAAAACAAATTAAGTCTGAGTTTTGACTTAAGTTAGAGTTTTGACTCAAATTTGAGAAAACGTAGGAAAATGCATTTCCCAGAATGAACTGAAATCGATATTATACTCAAACATAGTAGACAATTTGAGTTTGGTGGATTGATTACTTAAGTTGTTTGGGCTTTTTTTATTTTAAAAATGCAGTTGAGTTAAAAATTCAGCTGTTGCAATTGTCAAACTCAGTTTGAAATTTGAGTAAAAAAGTTTGTTTTGAGAAATCGGGACCTGAATGTGTTCTATGGCCTCAACCAGGTGTATTACAAACTGACATGACAAAACTGGAAAGGGATTGCCATAAAAGAACATTCACTCAGTCCTTTCCTGAACTTACTTCTACGATGTGTTGGGGGTGTGTTGGGATGAATGCTGTCTATGGGGGCCATGGCACTTGTGTGCAGGGCTGAATCAGAGTTGGTTCTGAAAAATAAGCAAAACAACATTGAACCAGGCCATATGACTGTACCCATTGTGATCAGCATTAGCTGCAGGATCCCATTGTCCACATCTTCTGTCTGTTTTTCCTGAACTTGGTGAAATATGCAAAATACATTAGAAACTCGGACCCTGATAATACCCATATGAAACAAATGACACTTCACTTATACCGGTCATGTGCTTCTACTGAAAATGTTTCTTGCTGTAGCTCATGCATGTGAACAGTAAATCTTTAGTTTGAAACATCTGAGGTACAATTATTTCATGCGTGCATGCACACACATTCCTGTGGAATGGAAATATGAACTCTCCTCTAGAGACTGTCTGTAAAACTGTAGCGTTTACAAGTGTTCAGCTACAGAGGTACAAGTATAAATGGTGGTTACTTCTGTAAAATATGCACCTCAGTCCATTTGAACAGCTACATATAATACATTTACATTATCTTGATCCTAGTGTAGCAAAATCAACCTTGATCCTAGTGAAGCTGCAAAACGTTGATGAATTAAACAAATGTCCCACCATACCAATTTGCATGAGGCTGACACACACATTAATGAGCATAACAATGTTAATATACATCCGTCTTGTAACGACTTCCATTCCTTACACTAGACGTTCACTGCATCCTCACAAACATGAAAACATCACAACCTGAGCTGCGAGACATTCCCCTGGTGTCTGGCCAACATGACTGGCATAGCTGTGAGTGTGTCAATTATCTACACACACAACCCACAAGCTGCAGCCATCGCATCCAGAGTACACACTTAATCCACTTTCTCAAATTACATGAAACTACATATACATCTGGTAAATAACCGTCTTTAAAAAACCCATTACCTAATAATAAATTTAAATGCTCCATAAAATATATTCTTGCCTTATTTGCCCTCTGAAGTGAGTATTATATTTTATCATTTAAATGCATATCAGTATCATGGAACCCAGGACTGACCAACTGATTAGAGCTGTGACGATATATCGTAGTATCGATAATCGTGATACTTTATCTGACGATAAATATATCGATACGTTTTTTCGTATCGTGATATGTATCGTTAACCTTAAAATTGTTAATTTTCATTAGATATTGATGGTTATGTCAAAATTTCTTGCTATAACCTATATTTTTTACAGAAAATAACTAAAGAAATCATATCGTGATATGCATCGAATCGAATCGTATCGTTTCAAGATATCACGATATGTATCGTATCGTGAAATTTCTGTATCGTCACACCTCTACAACTGATTACATTTGTTAGATTAAACCAGTAACAAATTTAGGAGAGATATTTAGCCATAAATGGCGCGGATATTTAGTTTTAACATAAATTGATCATGAAATTTGTTTCCTTGCTGATGCCATTCCACATCCACAGTGGTCTGAGCTTGCTTCACAATGCTCAAAACACTAGCTAGTATCTAGTTCATTATTAAGGAGAAAGTAAAAGCCTCTTATTCACAAGTGGTTGAATGTATATACGGAAATTAGGTCCCACTGGGGAAATCTAAAGGTCTACTCAGTGTTGGAAAACCTTTCTATTTCCATGTCTATATTTTCTATTAAATCAGAGTTTCTAATGCAAATTAAGCTGATTTTCTAAATTCGGTTGAATAAAAAAGTTGTATATATTTTTCTACATTTCTAAGATAAAACAAATTTTCAGTTATTAATGATTATTTAAGTTACAAATACAACAGCACAATTAATATAACATAACAATAACATAAACCTCATTCATAAATTTTTCAAGTATTCTTCTCTATTCAGAAAATGGCAGTAATACTGAGACCCTGTGCTATTACCTGCTCTTGCTAGTACATAAAACCTCATATTTTATCCCCAAGCCTTAATTGGGGGTAATGAAAGGAGGAGCACTTTTGCCCCGCCTGGCCATAAACTGACAAGCCCTCATGAGAACTGTTCTTTTGTTATGGCAATAAATAACTACAGCATTTTGCATCAGATGTCGGCATCAGGAATACTGAATCTGAACAGCTCAAAGGATTCAATTGACAAATGGAATCGATATGGCCTGAACACTGAAGATTTACCCCATTCACTGCAGTGTTGTCAGTGATCAAAGCCAAACAGCACACAAATAACCACTTGGGCTGAAATAGATATGGGTCACTCTCACTCCATACACGAAATCCAAAACTAAAGGAGGTTACTGATGATGGTGTGATATGGACTGGGTGATGATGGTCAGTCCCAGATGGTGGTAGTGATGATGATCGTGATGATGATAGTGATGATGGTAGTGATGATGGTGGTGATGATGGTGGTGATGATGGTGATGATGGTGTGTGATGATATGTGGTATGATGATGGTGGTGATGATGATGGTGGTGATGATGGTGGTGATGATGTGGTGATGATGGTGGTGATGATGGTGGTGATGATGGTGGTGATGATGGTAGTGATGATGGTGATGATGATGTGGTGATGATGGTGGTGATGATGGTAGTGATGATGGTAGGTGATGATGGTGGTGATGATGATGATGATGTGATGGTGATGATGATGGTGATGGTGATGGTGATGATGATGGTGAGTGATGGTGATGATGATGGTGGTGATGATGATGGTGATGATGGTGGTGATGATGGATGGTGGTGATGGTGGTGGTGATGGTGGATGGTGATGGTGATGTGGTGATGATGATGGTGATGATGATGGTGGTGATGATGATGATGATGATGGTGGTGATGATGATGGTGGTGATGATGATGATGATGGTGATGATGATGGTGGTGATGATGATGGTGATGATGATGGTGATGGTGATGATGGTGGTGATGATGATGATGATGATGATGATGATGGTGATGATGATGGTGGTGATGATGATGGTGATGATGATGGTGATGATGATGTGATGATGATGGTGATGAGTGATGATGGTAGTGATGATGGTGATGATGATGGTGGTGATGATGATAGTGATGATGGTGGTGATGTGATGATGGTGATGTGATGATGGTGATGGTGATGATGATGATGATGATGATGATGGTGATGATGATGGTAGTGATGGTGGTATGGTGATGATGATGGTGGTGATGATGGTGGTGATGATGGTAGTGATGATGGTGGTGATGATGATGGTGGTGATGATGATGGTGGTGATGATGGTAGTGATGATGATAATGTGATGATGATAGTGATGATGATGGTGGTGATGATGGTGGTGATGATGGTGGTGATGATGGTGGTGATGATGGTAGTGAAGATGATGGTGGTGATGATGGTAGTGATGATGGTAGTGATGATGGTGGTGATGATGGTGGTGATGATGGTGGTGATGATGATTATGATGTGAGTACAATATACAGGAGCAATATTCACGACACATCAAGCTGATGAGAATTAATAAGTATGATCTGACGTCACTTTTTCGCAATATTCTTCAAATCATTGTCTCCAAAAAGATAATAGAGCCCACCCTTTCGGCTTGAAAAACCACTTTAACCACTAAGCTATCCTACTGCTGCTGCTGCTGATGCTGATGATGATGATGACGATGACGATGATCACGTAATATTGATAAGCAGGACTGACAACACATCAACAAGATGGCAATGATGGTATAGTGATGTGATGATGGCGAAGTTTGATGGTGAGGCATTGGAAATTAAAATTATTTCAACTTTTAAAAACAAGATAAAATTAAACATGAGGGAGATGGAAAAATATTACTTCAGCATCACTTCAGCTGTTTCCAATATTCAGGAGATGAGGAGGATGAGTATTGTAATGATGAAGGTAATTTGACAAAATATACAAGTTATACACTGATAGCATCTACCCAGGCTGAGAACTATTCACATTATGTCTTAAATGCAAGCATAAGTGAACTCAAAGTTCATCTCCAGTAGAAACAAGCTGTAACTTAATTCCCACTGAGACAGGTGGAAGTGTAACTGAAACCCAGATATACCACATACACAGGTAACCTTGCGCCACACCATGGTTAATCCCTTGAACATGGACAGTACAAAGTTTCTATTCAACAGGATTACTTTTCTGTACCAAAGCAAAGGGGATAAAACTTGTTAAAACTAACATCACGTTATGCTGTAATTCAGTGTTCTTCTCTGGGGATATCATGGATACTGTCTGTGGGGGCATATATAGGACCGTATACACCAACTGCCAGATTTGGGTGAAAGCACACACAAACACTGCCACAACAACACCCAAGGGCATACACAACATAATGGGCTCTTTGGATTACAAGCGTGGATTAAGCACTATCCCACAAGCCTGTAACAGTTAAATTCTAGGGGTGAATTCACTACAGGGGCTAACACTGGGATATAACCAATTGAGGCAGTGATATGGGCAATATACACTCCAGAATGTAACCAACAGAACCAACAGCAGTTACACTGAGGCAGAGGTCCAAGCGAGGTAGCTCCCTCAGGGATCTATCAACAGTAACAAGATCACCCACATCATTCAATTATCAGGAATAAGATTATCCCACTGCCCTTAGAAATGATAAGGAATTAACCCCAGCTTACTTAAATCGGTCAAGGGGTTACTCCAACAGCACTGTACAGCGGGTGCATTCAAGAGTTGAAGGGTTACCATAGTGCTCTACTGACAGTACAAGGGTTAATCTGGTTCCAACATACATGGACACCCACTCCCAACACTCACATGCTCTGCTAATTTCTGTTTCTCTACAGATCCACCTCACAGGTTAGTGGGCCAATTCAATTATTTTATTCAAATTTTCACCTGTTAATGTTAATGTAATTAATATTTATTTATTACATATTTTAAATTTTGCAAAATAATGTTTCAAAGGCAATTATTCATTTCAAACAATATTTTGAGTATATCTTCAAAGACAATGTCATTGGCAGCAATGGCAGCATGGTTATGCAGTATCATTATCCAGTGAATTATTTCTCAATCCTGTAATGATAAATATCCTGAATCCATTCACCATCTGAGCTCCGATTCAACTGAATGATGCTAAAAATAGCTGTCCAATCAAATTTACACTCAAGAGCAATAGAAACTCTGTGATAAGTTAGTGGTGAAAGAAACCAAGTTGGCAATAGGTCTTGGGTGTTTATCATAATAGAATAAAGATATCACTACGTGGATAATAACAGATGCAAACAGCTTTGATATTTTGGTTTTACTGTAGAGAAACAGACTGAATATTTGGATCCTGTAATATCAATAGATGCATACATTCAGATATATCTGCAACAGAACATCACGCTTTTTCCCCAGTAATATGACCAAAAAGCATTAAATATGCAAGATCTATTAACCATGGACATGGAGAATGTATGTAATGGCGGCACTGGTCATTATGCCTGTGTCTGTATGCGCTCAGTCATGCATGTCCCTGCCAACCTTTGCAATTCTCATCTCCATGCATTGATTCCAAGATCTCAAGAAGACTTCCACAGCAAAGCATCAGTACTTGATAGTCACAGCAAAGACAGGAAGCATTTGGCACAGAAGCCAAAAATTTAGTTTAGAATATGTAGAACCTTTCATATAATATTTAGGACAAATAGAATTAATTATTTAATTTTAAAAGAAAAACCCAAAGTATTTTTAATGTTGGGGAGGTCATTAAAGATTGTGAAGAGATTGCATAAAATTTCCATTTTACAGAGTGAGATTGAGAATTGTAAAGGCTTGATAACACCCATGGGGTATGTAGCATAAACACAAAGATATGGTGGGAAAAAACTCACCGCGATAGCGACACTCCATTAAGATAACGATACATCCTGGAAAGGGGCAAACACAAAATAGTAAAAGGAGAAACAAAACAGGAACAAACACGGGATGCAGCTACTCATTTTATAACAATGCATTGTATTAACAGGTCTGCACAGTAGCTACATCCTCGTAACTAAAACAAAGGGAAAAAATGAGATATAATTGCACACAGAGAAACTGTGAAAAGGGTAACACAAATAGAAGATTATAAAAGGAAAAATGTCGTGCTATGTCATATGTAAAACATCGAGCAGTGCAGGCATTATACCATAGAAACCACAACCACAATTGACTATGCAGCTTCCATTTTAAGATACATGATACATTGTAGCACAGATGCACTGCCACATGTGATAACGAGCAGTATCACATGGCTTAATATATACACACATGCACGGAGGAAATGGATAAGGATGCAATCCCAACAAGAGAGCTTTACTGTGACAATTGGCTAAATATGTTCCCAGGACAAATAGCATATATATATGCAACACTGACATGCAGAAAGTGTTTATGACTGTCAGATCTATATAAGCAGTACTTGAAACAAGCCCAATGTTGGTCATAAATACTGACTACTGGTTTCTTCTGACATGGTCTGTTTCGTTGATGTAAATTAATAACAGTGGGCAATATGTCCACACGTTATAAAGCAAGAACAATATCCATGTTGAAAGGAAAGGATATTCTGTTCAATGAAAATGTATTGTGTTTAGCATTACATCATGAAAACTGAAGTTTCTCAGTAGTGTTGTGTTGTTCTCTCCAATAATGGTCCCCACACAAGAGCAGCAGGTGCTTGTTGCATATTGATTATTTCTGCAGTACCATCTATTTCAAGTTGCACAGCTTGTGACCTACTGAACAAGCTACCTGCTTGTTGTACAGTCCAATCCACCTACAGCTATCTGAACAGCACTTTGTGTTGGTCTGGAGTCTCAAGCTGTGGCTGAAGCAAGCAGTCAACATGAACCTTACAATCATTACATTTCATGAATCATTTCATGGACTTGACAAAATAATTGACGTATAAATAACTCAATTTCAGGCTCTTTACACACTCTGCCATGTCAAACACTAATGTCAAGTTTCAAACTATTCTTACTCTTCTGATTCAACACAAACAGGTTTCAACTAGCCACAACAGTCCTTGACCCTCACTCCCGACCAATGACAACTGCAATACTCTAGTTTCTTACCTCTCTACGGGCCAACTTGGCACCTGCAGCCACTTAGGTTTCTACAGGCCAAATGAGTACCTACTGCCAGTAGGTTATAGACAGGACACCTGGTACAAAAGGCCATGTGAATGCAGCCAGGACACCTGGTACCTACAGCCATTGAGGTGTAGTCAGGACACCTGGTACCTACAGCCATGGAGGTGTAAATAAGACACCTGGTACCTACAGCCATTAGGTTGTAGACAGGACACCTGGTACCTACAGCCATTAGGTTGTAGACAGGACACCTGGTACCTACATCCATTAGGTTGTAGACAGGACACCTGGTACCTACATCCATTAGGTTGTAGACAGCATCCATTAGGTTGTAGACAGGACACCTGGTAGCTACAGCCATTAGGTTGTAGACAGGACACCTGGTACCTACAGCCATGGGGATGTAGACAGTACGCCTGGTACCTACAGCCATGGAGGTGTAAACAGGACACCTACTACCTACAGCCATGGGGGTGTAGTCAGGACACCTGGTACCTACAGCCAGTAGGTTGTAGACAGGACACCTGGTACCTACAGCCATGGGGATGTAGACAGTACGCCTGGTACCTACAGCCATGGAGATGTAAACGGGACACCTGGTTCCTACAGCCATTAGGTTACAGACAGGACACCTGGGTCCTACAGCCATGGGGGTGTAATCAGGACACCTGGTACCTACAGCCAGTAGGTTACAGACAGGACACCTGGTACCTACAAGCCATGGGGGTGTAATCAGGACACCTGGTACCTACAGCCAGTAGGTTACAGACTGGACACCTGGTTCCTACAGCCATTAGGTTGTAGACAGGACACCTGGTACCTACAGCCATTAGGTTACAGATTGGACACCTGGTACCTACAGCCAGTAGGTTGCAGACAGGACACCTGATTCCTACAGTCATTAGGTTGTAGACAGGACACCTGGTACCTACAGCCATGGAGGTGTAAACAGGACACCTGGTACCTACAGCCATTAGGTTATAGACAGGACACCTGGTACCTACAGCCATTAAGTTGTACAGGACACCTGGTACCTACAGCCATGGGGATGTAGACAATTCACCTGGTACCTACAGCCATGGAGATGTAAACGGGACACCTGGTTCCTACAGCCATTAGGTTACAGACAGGACACCTGGTTCCTACAGCCATGGGGGTGTAATCAGGACACCTGGTACCTACAGCCAGTAGGTTATAGACAGGACACCTGGTACCTACAGCCATGGAGATGTAAACGGGACACCTGGTTCCTACAGCCATTAGGTTATAGACAGGACACCTGGTACCTACAGCCATTAAGTTACAGACAGGACACCTGGTGCCTACAGCCATGGGGATGTAGACAATTCACCTGGTACCTACAGCCAGTAGGTTACAGACTGGACACCTGGTACCTAAAGCCAGTAGGTTGCAGACAGGACACCTGGTACCTACAGCCAGTAGGTTGTAGACAGGACACCTGGTACCTACAGCCATGGAGGTGTAAACAGGACACCTGGTACCTACAGCCATTAGGTTATAGACAGGACACCTGGTACCTACAGCCATTAAGTTGTAAACAGGACACCTGGTACCTACAGCCATTAGGTTGTAGACAGGACACCTGGTACCTACAGCCATTAAGTTGTAGACAGGACACCTGGTTCCTACAGCCATGGAGATGTAAACAGGACACCTGGTACCTACAGCCAGTAGGTTGTAGACAGGACACCTGGTACCTACAGCCATTAGGTTGCAGACAGGGCACCTGGTTCCTACAGCCATTAGGTTGTAGACAGCACACCTGGTACCTACAGCCAGTAGGTTGTAGACAGGGCACCTGGTACCTACAGCCAGTAGGTTGTAGACAGGACACCTGGTACCTACAAGCCATGGGGGTGTAGTCAGGACACCTGGTACCTACAGCCAGTAGGTTATAGTCAGGACACCTGGTACCTACAGCCATGGAGGTGTAGTCAGGACACCTGATACATACAGCCATGTGAATGCAGTCAGGACACCTGGTTCCTACAGCCATTAGGTTGTAGACAGGACACCTGGTACCTACAAGCCATGGGGGTGTAGTCAGGACACCTGGTACCTACAGCCATGGGGGGTGTAGTCAGGACACCTGATACATACAGCCATGTGAATGCAGCCAGGACACCTGGTTCCTACAGCCATTAGGTTGTAGACAGGACACCTGGTACATACAGACATTAGATTATAATCAGGACACCTGGTACCTACAGCCATTAGGTTACAGACAGGACACTGGTTCCTACAGCCATTAGGTTGTAGACAGGACACCTGGTACCTACATCCATCAGATTATAATCAGGACACCTGGTACCTACACAGGGGTGTAAACAGGAACCTGGTACCTACAGCCATGTTGGTTGAGGTCACCAGGAGGTTTCATTGTATGTGCATGACATTAAAGTATCTCATACATTCAGACAATGCGAGTAGATACAGGCTGTGTGAGTGCTTACAGGTCATGAGATTACCTACAGGCCACTTGCCCTACTCCAGATATCCTAGCTGGTTGTCACCCTTCCTTCTCATCTTGACAGCTATACTCATGTTTGACAGCGACAAGTGTAAATATCATTTCACTGCTGAATCATTTAAATATGAAAACCTGTCCACAGAGTACCTGTGTGCCATTACATTTAGAGTACTCCATTACATCATTACAAATCCATCACATCATTATCTGTAGACTCAATGTATTATCTAAGTCTGAAGGCAATAAATCATGAACAAGGTTGTGGCAAGGGTGTAGGGAGATGAAGGAAATCTGGGGAGGTAACCGAAACTCACAATGGGGGACGGGGACACTTCACACATGAGACTACGGGTAGGGGGAGTATGAAGGGTTCAATCAGGTTCAATTCTTGATATTGTGAAGATAAAAGGCTTTTGCATCATGTCGTGGTTGTCTGGAAGGCTTCCGCCACTACACTGTAGCTGCCTATCCACTTGTACAGCTTCTTACATAATAAGTGACTTGGGCCATATATCCTTAAGGCAAAGGTAAGTAAGTCCCTTAATAAATCACATAGGCATGTCATATCTTGATAAACAGCCATTATAACTGGGTAAACACATCCTTATTTCCGAGTCTCTCCCAAAACACTTCATGTAGACAGAAGTTAAAGTCATTGAAAGCATGAGCCACACAATCAAGAACAATGACAATCCTCATTCCTATTTTTTCGTTATTTCATTCACTGATGAAACCCCTCCATTCACTAGTGTCACCCTTATCACAAACATATCTCACATTACCCCTCCATTCACTAGTGTCACCCTCATCACAAATATATCTCACATTACCCCTCCATTCACTGGTGTCACCCTTATCACAAATATATCTCACATTACCCCTCGATTCACTAGTGTCACCCTTATCACAAACATATCTCACATTACCCCTCCATTCACTAGTGTCACCCTCATCACAAATATATCTCACATTACCCTTCCATTCACTGGCGTCACCCACACAAATATATCTCACATTACCCCTCCATTCACTAGTGTCACCCTCATCACAAATATATCTCACGTTACCTCCATTCACTAGTGTCACCCTCATCACAAATATCTCACATTACCCCTCCATTCACTGGCGTCACCCTCACAAATATATCTCACATTACCTCCATTCAATAGTGTCACCCTCATCACAAATATATCTCACATTACCCCTCCATTCACTGGCGTCACTTACACAAATATATCTCACATTACCCCTCCATTCACTAGTGTCACCCTCATCACAAACATATCTCACATTACCCCTC